GCTTTTCTAGGCCATAGCAGAGAGCTGGATTGAAAGTGGAGCAGCTGGGCCGGTGCCGCGGCTCACTAGGCTAATCCTCCGCCTAGCGGCGCCGGCACACCAGGTTCTAGTCCCGGTCGGGGCGCCGGATTCTGTCCCGGTTGCCCCTCTTCCAGGCCAGCTCTCTGCTGTGGCCAGGGAGTGCAGTGGAGGATGGCCCAGGTGCTTGGGCCCTGCACCCCATGGGAGACCAGAAGGAAGCACCTGGCTCCTGGCTCCTGTCACCGGATCAGCGCGGTGCGCCGGCCGCAGCGCACCGGCCGCAGCGCGCCGGCCGCGGTGGCCATTGGAGGGTGAACCAACGGCAAAGGAAGACCTTTCTCTCTGTCTCTCTCTCTCACTGTCCATTCTGCCTGTCAAAAAAAAAAAAAAAAGTGGAGCGGCTGGCACTGCGGCTCACTTGTCTAATCCTCCGCCTGCGGCACCGGCACCCCGGGTTCTAGTCCCAGTTGGGGTGCTGGATTCTGTCCCAGTTGCTCCTCTTCCAGTGGAGGATGGCCCAAGTGCTTGGGCCCTGCACCCGCATAGGAGACCAGTAGGAAGCACCTGGCTCCTGGCTTTGGACTGGCACAGCGCGCCAGCCATAGTGGCCATTGGAGGGCGAACCAACAGAAGGAAGACCTTTCTCTCTGTCTCTCTAACTTTGCCTGTCCAAAAAAAAAAAAAAAAAAAAGAAGAAGAAGAAAGAAAGAAAGAAAGAAGGAGAAAGTGGAACAGTCAGGACTCAAACCGGCGCCCATATGGGATGCCTTCACTGCAGGCAGCGCCTTTACCGGCTATGCCACAGCCCTGGCCCCAAGGAGGGAATTTTGCCAATATTGGGCGGGGCAGGGGTGGAGGTAGAAGGCAGCTGGCAGGAAATAGGGAGTAGGGGGCTCTTTGAAGCCTCTTGGAATTTTCCTCTTATCTGTTTCACAAGCTGCCCTGTGCAGCTTACCTGTTTTGCTAGTTCTTTGCAAGGAGTCTGAGGGAAATTGAGTCTGGTTCCGCACCAAGGATCTCAATGAAAGGGAGGAAATGGGATGGAGAAGGAGGAGGAAAGGGAGTTGGGGAGAAACGTTCGATGTGTCCTTTTAGACTTATTTTATCTGTTATATGTATGAGTAGTGTATATTGCCATATAGCATCAAAAGAAAGATCTAGGGACTGGAGCTGTTGCGTAGCAGGTAAAGCCACCGCCTGCAGTGCCAGCATTCCATTTGAGTCCTGGCTGCTCTACTTCTGATCCAGCTCCCTGCTAATGTGCCTGGGAAAAAATAGAAGATGGCCCAAGTCCCTGAACCCCTGCACCCATGTGGGAGACCCAGAAGAAGTTCCTGGCTCCTGGCTTCGGATCAGCTCAGCTCTGGCCATTGTGGCTATTTGGAAAGTGAACCAGCAGATGGAAGACCTCTCTCTTTGCCTTTCTGTAACTCTGTCTTTCAAAAAATAAATAAATAAATAAATAAATCTTAAAAAAAAATAAACATATAAACAGTGCAATCAAGTGTTATTACCAAGTAAATAACCAAATAAATCTTGAAAGTGACCAAAAAATTGTATGTATTTATTTGAAAGGCAGAGGAACAGAGATCTTCCATCTGCTGGTTCACTTCCCATGTACCTCCAATAGCCTAGCTCCGCCAAGCCAAAGCCAAGAGCCAGCACTCCGATGATGTCTTACCCATGTGAGGAAGGATAGGAAGTGGGGAGTAGCTGGAACTTGAACCAGGCATTCTGACGCTTGATGTGGACCTCCCAAAGAGCAGCTTAACCAGCTGCACTACAATCTCCACTCTTTTTTTTTTTTTTTTTAAGATTTATTTATTTTGAAAGTCAGAGTTGGAGAGAGAGAGAGAGAGAGAGAGAGAGAGAAAGTCTTCCATCTGTTGGTTCACTCCCCAAATGGTTGCAGCAGCCTGAGCTGGGCCAATCCAAAGCCAGGAGCTTCTTCCGGATCTCCCACATGGATGCAGGGGCTCAAGGACTTGGGCAATCTTCTACTGCTTTCCCAGGCCATAGCAGAGAGCTAGATCAGAAGTGGAACACCCGGGACTTGAACCGGCATCCATATGGGATGCTGGCACTGCAGGTGGCGGCCTTACCCACTATGGCACAGGACCAGCACCATCCACTCCTTTTTTAATGAACAAGAAAAATCTCATTTAAGCTAGTTTTTTTTTTTTTTTGGGGGGGGGGAGGGTATAGGAGACAGCATGTAACCTTTCAGATTCACTTGGATATGTTACATTATTAGTAAAAATAATAACACTTATTTATAATAGTTTTTTTTCTTTTAAATACTGAAGTATAAAGACAACAATTAAAGGGGCTGGCATAGCAGGGCAGCAGGTTTGACTACCTTTTGTTATGCCAGCATCCCATATGAGCACCGGTTGTAGTTCAGGCTGTTATGTTTCCCATCTAGCTCCCTGCTGAAGGTCCTGGGAAGGCAGGAAGAATGGCCTGAATGCTTGGTCCCCTGCACCTACGTGGGAGAACTAGATGGAGTTGCAGGCTCCTGGCTTCAGCCTGGGCTAGCTGAGGTCATTTCGGCTATTTGAGGATTGAGCCAGCGGATGGAAGTTTCTCTCCCTCTCTCTCTCCTCTCTTTGTAACTCTGCCTTTCAAATACTATAGTAATAATACAAAAAAAAAAAAAAAAAAAAAAAAAAAAAACCAGCTAAAAATGAACTGTAGTCTGTCTAGATAGACTTACTGATATTTAAAAATAAAATTATGGAGCTGGCAGAGGCTGGCGCTGTGGCACAGTGAGTTAATAAGGCCCTGGTCTGAAGTGCCAGCATCCCATATCGGCGCCGGTTCTAGTCCCAGCTGCTCCTCTTCTGATCCAGCTCTCTGCTATGGCCTGGGAAAGCAGTAGAAGATGGCCCAAGTCCTTGGGCCCCTGCACCCACAGGAAGAAGCTCCTGGCTCCTGACTTTGGAAGGGCTCAGCTCCGGCTGTTGTGGCTATTTGAGGAGCAAACCAGTAGGTACAAGACCTCTCTACCTCTCTCTGTAACTCTTTCTGTTGTGCCTAGATCGTTAGATCCCTGCAGAGACCCCCAGAGAGTCAATCACACCGAAATGCAAAAAACAAGGTTTATTTGGGAGTACAAGTGTGACAGGGACCCCATCCAACCTACCGGTGCATCGGAGGAAGGAGTGAGGCCTTGGTCTTTGTTTGGTAGAGTTTTTAAAGGGAAAAAAGGGCTACATCAGCAGGAAAAAAAAAGTTACATCAGCGGGGGCTTACAGCTCGGAAGCTTTGGGTACAGGGAGTTACAGCAGGGGCTTACAGAAGGGAGCTTTGGGCGCAGGGAATTTCTTTGTTTAGCAATCTCTACTGAGCTGTCCTTGGTCTGCTGAGCTAGCTGTCCCTGGTAAGCTTTGATATCTCTGGAATGCCTGAATGCCTGCTTTTACAAGGACTCGGGTCTGCTATGGGAAACGGAGGCTGCTTTTTATTTATTTATTTTTTTTTAAATGGAGACACTTTGGCTCTTCACTTTCAGGTAAATAAAATAAAATAAAAGTTATGGAGCTGGCGCTGTGGCATAGTATGTTAAACCTCTGCCTATGTCTCCAGCATTCTATATGGGCACCGAGACCCGGCTGCTCCACTTCTGATCCAGCTGCCTGCTAATGGCTTGGGAAAGCAGCGGAAGAAGGCCCAAGTGATTGGGCCCTTGCACTTACGTGGGAGATCTGCAAAAAGTCCCTGGCTCCTGACTTCAGATTGGCCCAGCTCAAGCTGTTGTGGCCACGTGGGGAGTAAACCAGAGGGTGGGAACCCTCTCTCTGTCTGTAACTCTACGTCTTGAATAAATAGATTTAAAAAATAAAAATTTTAATCTAAGGCTAAAAACTGAAACAATACAAAAATGTACAAAATTACTGTTAAAAGTACAAATTCCCTCCATGTCCACACAGCCCCAAAACCACACTTTAGTTTGTTCCATTTTTTCTAACTGAAAGAGAAGCATTTTTACAATACCCCGCCTATTAGCTTCAAAGCTCAGAATCTTCACTGTAAAGAAGAAAAGCCACCCACCGAGGTCGCGGTCGGGTTTCAGATTAATTTGACGCTCGGGGCCACACCCTCCACCTTGAACTGTCGTTAGCGGCAGAGACAGTCGCTCCTGATTGGCTGTCGCGCCTGTCAGATGCTAATCGGGCTCCTGCAGGTTTAGTTCTTTTTCCCATTTTTAATGTAGCGTCGGAAGTGTTGGGAATGCGGTTTGGAAGCTGTCTCTGAAGCAGCCCTTCAGGAGTGCGTCTGTGGAGACTTTGTAAAGGGAGATCAGCGCGGACACTGTCTCGCCATCGCTTACAAGTGCGTGGCGTGCGCGGGCCCGGCGGAGGCGGCGGGGTGTGGGTCAAGACTATACTTTCAGGGATCATTTCTATAGTTCGCTACTAGAGAAGTTTCTCTGAACGTGTAGAGCACCGGAAACCACGAGGAGGAGGCGCAGCGTCGTCCCCTGAGCGTGAAGCCGGCTCTTGGTGCCGCCTCGCTGCGGCCGCCATTTGCCATTGATGATCGTTCTCGTCTCCCTCCGGGGAGCGAGAGGGGGAGGACGCAGTCTGAGTGGTTCCCGTCTTTAAATCTGGTATCTAAAGGAAGTTCTGTCTTTCATACTAGTTATCGTTGCTATGGTGTGAATGTACGGGGGAACTTTTAGAACTGGAAGCTGTTGAAGATTTTCCAGTGTTTTTTTAAGCGTTCATACTTTGTGAGTCTGGATTGTTGTTATTTGTGCCTTTTTCCAGTTTCTTAGCTTTTTCATTTTTACTACTGTTTCCTTTGCTATTCCAGCCATAGTGCAGATTGCAAAATCTACTGGTGTTCCGTGGCGAGTAAGTGCTTAGAGTAGTGTTTTTGTTGGGTTTTGTATAAACTTCCCCTATCTTAAATTCCCCTAGTTGTATCTTAAGGAACCTAATAATATTCGTTTGGATTCTGTGCTTGCTTTACAGGAATTTACGTTGATGCCGTTAACTCCCTGGGCCAGACAGCACTTTTTGTTGCAGCATTATTAGGCCTGACGAAATTAGTTGATGTTCTGGTGGATTATGGGTCAGATCCAAATCAGTAAGTAATAGTGACATCAATACCTAGAAAATAAGGAGTGTCCTAAGTAAGATGAATTGGGGCATTTGGAAGCTAATTTGACCACATATTAAGAGAACCTTGCTAATGTGTATCCATGAAATATATACATAGTTGAAATAATTTTAACTGCTAATAAAATTTTTCTAAGTAGTTATACTGAGTCCTTTGAAATGATAAAATGAGATGAGTGACTTATCAGTTAATAAGTCATTAACAGGACTGTTGGCATGTTTCTACCACTGGGTTATAATTGTATTATATACTTCATTTGCTTAAGTGGTTTAAAATCCCCACAAGTTTTTCACCAGTTAATGTACTTGACATGACTTTGTTAGAAAGGATGACTTTTGCCTGAATTGTATAGTTGTGGCTTAAAAGAATCTGATTTTAATATTGGTCCAGTGTTTTAATATGAAATAGCAACACAATGTAATACATCAATGATGTGTGAACATCTCTTTCTGAAGCATTGTGGCTTTTTCACAGCCTTCTTGCCTTTTTTTTTTTTTTTTTTTTTAAGATTCATTTATGTATCTGAAAGAGTTAGAGAGGGAGAGAAAGAGTTAAAGAGAAAGAAACTTCTATCAGCTGTTTCATTCTCCAAATGCCCACTTCAGCTCAGGCTGGACCAGCCAAGAAGCCAGGAGCCTGGAACTCCAACTAGCTTTCTCATATGGATAGCAGAGACTTAAGTACTTGTGCTGTTACCTGCTGCCTCCCATGGTGTTCATTAGTAGGAAACTGGAGCAGAGGCAGAGTAGCCAGGACTTGAACCAGGGACTCTGAAATGGTACATGGTCAACTGAAGTGGTGACTTAAGCCCCTGTGTCAAATGTTCCCCCTGGAAATCCTAATTTTTAGTATGAAATCTCCCAAAGGTTAAATATTGCCCATCATTTCAAAATTTTCACACTCTGTTGACCAATAAAACACACCTCTGGGTTATCAGATTAGCCTGAGCAGTTTTCAGTCATTTAAGATAAGTCAATAAATAGTACATATTTTGATATTACTTGGGACTGGATTCCTTTGTAAGGTTTGTTGTATATAAAGTTTTACTGCTTTCTTCCTTAGCATTAGTGAGAAATGAAAAATAGTATCTTCTCTCCTTTCCACCCAGCTTTCTTACAGTTTGTGGAATGATTAGAGTAGGGATCGTTGAGATTAGGAATAATTAAAGCAAAGAAAGTTGTTTTTGCACAAGGAGGATATTATGGATCCCACAATGCAGTGTGCTAGACTGCTTGTCTGGCCAGGTGATGGGAGGAATTCCTCACTGATCCCAGAAAGACCCACCTCATTAGCACCACCTGGGACCATGTAAGACCATATTGCTGGGCCCTGTGCTTTTGGATTTCAGTCAGTCCAGGGTATCGTTTGCAAATCTGTATTTTTGACAAGTATCCCAATGGCTCATTAGCTGAAATTACTGTACATCCATACATTGGACGACCAGGCAGCTTTAAAAAAAATTGAGGTGATTTATATTTTCTTGTATGGAACTTTCTCTCAGATAATAGGTCACATGGAAAGATTTATGTGCAGAACAGTTTTAATAGCATTTTTTTTTTTTGACAGGCAGAGTTAGACAGTGAGAGAGAGACAGAGAGAAAGGTCTTTCTTTTTCTGTTGGTTCACCCCCCAAATGGTCGCTGTGGCCAGCGCGCTGCGTCGATCCGAAGCCAGGAGCCAGGTGCTTCTTCCTGGTCTCCCATGCGGGTGCAGGGCCCAAGCATTTGGGCCATCCTCCACTGCACTCCCGGGCCACAGCAGAGAGCTGGACTGGAAGAGGAGCAACCAGGACTAGAACCAGGGGGTGCTGGCTCCACAGGCTGAGGATTAGTCAAGTGAGCCGAGGCGCCAGCCTAATAGCATACTCTTACTCATATTTTTATATATGAGGGAACTTCAGAAAGTTCATGGAAAATGGAATTAAAAGATATGTTTAGGGGAGTAGATGTTTGACGTTAAGACACTGCTTGGGATGCCCACATACCATATCAGAGTGCCTGGGTTTGAGTCCCATCTCCATATGCAATTCCAGCTTGCTGCCAGTGTATACCCTGGGAGGCAGCAGATAGATGATGGCTCAAGTACGTGGGTCCCTACCACCCACATGGGAGACCTGGATTGAGTTCCTGGCTTCTAGCTTTACTTGGCCCAGCCCTGGCTGTTGCAGGCATTCAGGAAGTGAACCATTAAATGGAGGATCTCTGTCTTGTCTGCCTCTGTGTCTATTTCTGTCTTTGTCTTTGAAATAAAATGGAGAAAAGTTCATTTTGGCATCAAAAAATGTGAAATCCATGCATAGATTTTTCATAATACACATTTTTGTGAACTTTTAGAAGATCCCTCATATACATGGACTTCACACATTTTTACACTAAGATAAACTTACCTTTTTTTTTTTAAATGAAGATTTATTTATTTATTTGAAAGGATGAGTTAAAGAGAGAAAGGAGAGACAGACAGAGATCTTCCATCAGCTTGTTCACTCCCCAGATGGCCATAACAGGAGCCAGGCTGAAGACAGGAGCCTGGAACTCCATCCAAGTATCCCACATGGATGTCAGGGATCCAGGCACTTGGGCCATCCTCTGCTGCTTTCCGGGTGCATTAGCAGGGGGCTGGATTAGAAGTGGAGCAGGGGGCCGGCACTGTAGCACAGTGGATAAAGCCGCCGCCTGCAGTGCCGGCATCCCATATAGGCGCCAGTTCGAGACCTGGCTGTTCCACTTTTGATCCAGCTCTCCGCTATGGCCTGGGAAAGCAGTAGAAGATGGCACAAGTCCTTGGGCCCCTGCACCCACGTGGAAGACTCTGAAGAAACTCCTGGCTCCTGGCTTTTTGGATCAGTGCAGCTCCGGCTGTTATGGCCAGTTTGAGAGTGAACCAGCGGATGGAAGACACCTCTCTCTCTCTTTCTGCCTCTCCTTCTCTATGTAACTCTTTCAAGTAAAATAAATAAATCTTAAAAAAAAAAAAAAAGTGGAGCTGTGGGGTCTTGAACTGGCACCCATATGGCTTTAACCTACTGTACCACAGCACTGACCCCTAAACTTACCTTGTAATTCCATTTTCCACAAACTCTTTTGCTGCTCCTCCGCGTGCGGAGGAGCCGCACCGGACCGGACACTTGTTGTTCCCTTTTTTTACAAGTCCTTTCTATAGTAAAGTAAGAATAAGTAAACAGCAAACTCCCAAAGCAAGAATGAGTAGAGAGAAGTGAGAAAGAACGAGGTAACGAACTTCCCCGCGAACTCTCCAACGCACTCTCCAACCAACCCACACCATCATGCCGTCTCTCTCCTCCTATATAGTCCTCTCCACCAATCCGTGCTCTGCTACCCACACGCCGAGCGCGCCGCTCTCCTCCAATCAGGAGCGGCTCCTGCAGCTTGTCAAGTTGGTAAGAGGCAGCTGGGTAGAAGCTGTACGCTCCTCTCCCAGCGCCACATTGTGGGAGAGCAGATGCATAGAATAAGTCTTAATTCCAGTAACAGTATAGTCCGAGTTGCTCCCCACACTCTTTGAAGTACTCTGATATGTAGAAAACTTCTGGAAGGATACAAAAGCCTGTAGTGGTAGTTGCCCCTGACCAAGAGAACTGGGTGTCTGGAATTGGTAAGTTTTTTTTTTCCTTATTTTTCTTTTCTTCCTCATCCTCCTTTTATTCTCTTCTTTCCTTTTCTTTCTTCTTGCTCACTTTCCCCTTCCTCTTCTCAGTTGTGTTTCTTTTTCAACTAAAGTGAGAAAACTCCCCAGATGACTCTGATACAGCTATACATCATGTCCTCATCGTGTACTGGACAGCATAGACTAGGCTGTTGTAGCATTTTCCTGAGGTGTAGATCCTTGACTAGATTGCAGTTCCTAAGGTTCTGTAGGCCTCTACCACAGACATGGGAAGCAGAGCCATTCCTGCACTAGGGAGAATGGACCCTGGGTAATCTGTGCTTAATCAGCCTGACCCCCCTGGACACTGCAGATGTTAAGAAATTGTTTCAGTGCTGACGTTGTGGCATCACAGGTAAAACCATTACCTGCAGTACCAGCGTCCCAAACTGGCACCGGTTCAAGTCCTGGCTGTTCTACTTCCAATCCAGCTCCCTGCTAATGGCCTGGGAAAGCAGTGAAGGATGGCTCAAGTACTTAGGCCCCTGCACCCACCTGGGAGACTGGGAAGAAGCTCCTGGCTCGTGGCTTTGGACCAGCCCTACTACGGCTGTTGTGGCCTTCTAGGCAGTGAACTAGCGGATGGAAGCTCTGTCTGTCTCTGTCTCCCTGCTTCTCTGTAACTCTACCTTTCAAATAAATAAATAAATCTTAAAAAAAAATTGTTTCAGGGCAGCCAGTATCAGGGAGGTGGGGAGAGAACACTGGATTTGGAACCAAACCCACACCTGGGTATGCACTTCAGCTTTTCCCTTTTGTTTCTTCATCTGCAAATTGGGCATTGAGAATGCCTTGAAGAGCTGGCATAAGCATGGAGAAAGGGGTATGTGTAAAGCACCCGTGGTGCAACTAGAACCCTTACTGCTAAGGATGGCCTCTGCAGACTGGCAGCCCTGTGGAGAGTTCCCCCTTGAATCAGCTCCGTGGCAAGTGTTGCCATGGATACTCATTGTACCATCCTCTCCCCAGCCGCTGCTTTGATGGGAGCACCCCTGTCCACGCGGCAGCATTTTCAGGCAATCAATGGATCCTCAGCAAACTGCTTGATGCAGGGGGTGACCTGCGACTCCATGATGAGAAAGGGCAAAACCCGCAGACCTGGGCCTTGGCAGCAGGGAAGGAGCGCAGCACCCCGGTAAGGTGGACCCTGCTCGGTAGCCTGCTGAGTGGAGGAGCACTGGTCTGAGAATCAGGATTCCAGGGGACAGCACAGAACTTGCAGGGCCTTACCACTGGCCTGCGCTGAAGCAGGTTAACCCTGGGCAAGTCTAGTGAGCCTTTCTAGTCAGCCATTCTGTGGGGAGGGAGAACAATGATAATTTTTGTGCTGAGCTGTCTCTGACCACAAATCAGGTGTTGTTGTAACTGTTTTTTTATATTCACTTAGTCTTCACAGCAATCTCTCTGGTAGGTACTTTTGTTCTGATTTCATGGATGTGGAAACTGAGGCCAGTTGACACTAAGCTTGCCTTGAGACCACACACTGGCAGATGTAATGTGTTTCATGAGGACTGAATAACACAAGAGTTGTGAAACACAAAGAACATGCATAGTGCCAGCACCTCCACATGCAGCCTCATCAGCTGTTGGGCCCAGGATAAGTAACTTCACTTCTCTTGGCCTCAGTTTCCTCATTTGTTGAAAGAGGGAGGTCGAGAAAATTATCACCAAAACCTCACTGTGCCTTTAGGAAATCACCTAGGCCCTTCCCTTTCCAGCGGTTTCCCTGTCAGGGACTCCCAGCTCCTCAGACCCGAGCTCATTTCCATTGAAGGTGGGCGTGGCCAGCACTGAGTGTCCTGTGCTGTGTTGCAGATGGTGGAGTTTATGCAGCGCTGTGCCTCCCACATGCAGGCCATCATCCAGGGCTTCTCCTACGACCTCCTGAAGAAGGTAGACTCTCCACATCGGCTCATCTGCAGCCCGCCCTGGTTTGGGGGACTCATGCAGGGGTGAGTGCAGCCTTGAGCAGAGTGGGATGTTCGGCACCACCAAACCTTCTTGTGGGAGCCCTCAGCATGGATACCTTCTGGCATCTGGCCACCCAAAGAGCTGAATTTCACTGGTAAAGGACAGCCAGAGGAGCACCTTAGGCCATCTCTCCTGCTCCCAAGGGGAGGTCTGGTGGAGGAGTGGACTTCAGTGGTTAACAGAGGAGGGGCTTCTCAACTGGGGAGCCCAGCAGGAAATGCTTACCCAGCAGGGCAGCTGGCTGACCTTTTTGTTAGCTCCTGGACTGTAGAGAGTATTCCTTTATTACTAAGATGATAAAGGAGCATGAATGATTAACTTATAGTTTCTTCAGCTGTTTTTAAAATTCTTACTTATTTGAAAGGCAGGGACAGAAAAAATGAAATTACCATTTGCTAGAAGATTCACTTGCCAATGCGTGCAGCAACCAGGACTGATGAAGTTGAAGCCAAGAGCTAGAATTCCCCACATGGGTGGCAGGGACTCAACTACTTGAGCTATCACCTGTTGCCTCAGTGCACTTTAGCAGGAAGCTGGAATCGGAAGCATAGCTAGCTTCCAGTGTGGAATGCAGGTGTCTCAGGCAGTAAACAAACCACACAACCTTGAAGTAAAAGTTGGCTTCTTAGATCTGTGGTCAGTGCTCTGTCAGGTAGGGTTCCTCCCAGATGTGTGTTAACATGAGGCATGGATAGGGGAAAGCAAAGCAAAGCACTGAACTGAGAGGTACAGATGATGCATGGTTGTAGACAACTGTAGTTAGTAACCCCTGCTTCCAGCCAGGCCAGGCTGAAAGTGGCATAGACATGGACTGTGAAATCTAGGTAAGAGAGCAAGAAATGCTTGCCTGAGCCACAGCTATTATCCTGGTCACTGTGAGAGATCAGCTGGCTCCTTTGCTGAAACATAACTCTCACCCTCCAAGAGGCCCCCAGGTAGGGAGCCCCTGTTCTGCTACTTGGGGCAGAGAGGTCCTACTCTCACTGCCAGCTCAAGAGTCTGTTCCTTTGGGCAGGAAAAGGCCTCTATCTCTTGGATTTTTGAGGCCTAAGCATAAAAGCCGTGTTTCTTGAAGAAATTGATTGCCTGTAGGAAAGGAGTCTTCTCCTCATGGGCTGTCTACTCGAATGCAGATGACCATCATGCTTGTCATCTACCCTGGCTATTTTCTTTTCTTTAAAAAGATTTATTTGAAAGAGTTACAGAGAGAGGTAGAGCCAGAGAGAGGTCATCCATCTGCTGGTTCACTCCCCAATAGGCCACAATGCCCAGAGCTGCGCTGATCTGAAGCCAGGAACAGGGAACTTCTTCCAGGTTCCCAAGTGGGTGCAGGGGCCCAGGCACTTGGGCCATCTTCCACTGCTTTCCCAGCCCATAGCAGAGAGCTGGATTAGAAGTGGAGCAGCTGGGTTTTGAACCAGTGCCCTTATGGAATGCCAGCACTGCAGGCAGTGGCTTTGCCTGCTATGCCACAGCGCCGGCCACTACCATGGCTATTTTCAGAGTTAAAGGGGTACTGTCAGTAATGTTGGGACACCAAGTATAAAATGAGATATCCAGTTTACTTCAGTCTAAACTTTGAGCTCTCTTTAGACAGCAGGGAAGGGACACCTGGCACTGATAAGGTGCCAAGGAGGTAAAGCCCAAAATACCTCCCAAAGCAGAAGCATTCACATCTGTTCGTGGCACATGGGGCCTTACAGACCTGTTGTAGGTTGGGGCTGGTGCACACTCTGCCCCCTGCTCCTTTGCCATTGGCCAAGAGAAGGAAAGTGGCTCTGGTAGCAGCAGAATAGTTTTTTTGTTTTGTCCTTCAGTCTGAGCTGAAACTGTATTAGCAAGCATTAACTAAGAACTTACTGCGTCCACAGCACCATACAGGGCTCTAGGAGACAAAGAAATGTGGGGTATTACCACTCTTTCCAAGACAGCTTCCATTAATGAGACTCGAGTGTACAGATGCTAGTTTGGGTGTGGTATGTGAGTGACAGCATCAGGATCCAGTGCCTGCTACTATTCTGTGACCTCAGGGCAGCAAGTTTCCATTCTCTGGGCTCCATCTTCTGATCTATAAAATGAGAAAGTTGAAAAAGGTGTACTTTATGATTCTTTCCAACTTAGACAATCTTTGACCTTAGCAACTTCAAACAGTAAATTTTTTAAAAAAATGTATTTCATTTATTTGAAAGGTAGAGTTACAGAGGGATGAGGGGAAATCCAGAGAGAAAGAGGTCTTCCATCTACTGGTTCACTTCCCAAATGGCTGCAATGGCCAGGGCTGGGCCAGGCCCAAGCCAGGAGCCTGGAACTCCATTTGGGTCTCTCATGTGAGCACTTGGACCATTTTCCACTGCTTTTCCAGGCACATTATCAAAGAGCCAGTGTGAAAGTGGAGCTGTCAGGATGCAAACTGGTGCTCAAATGGGATGCCGGTGTCACAGTGGCACTTAACTTGCTGTGCCACAATGCCAACCCCAAATAGTAAACATTTTTATCTTACACAATTTCTGTGGATCAGGAATTAGGGAAGGACTTAGGTCATTTGTTCTGTCTCTGGGTTTCTCATGATGTTGCTGTCAAGATGTCATTTGGGGCTGCAGATTGATTGGGGCTGGAGGATCCAGTTCCAAGATGGAACACTCATGTGACTGGCAAAATCGAGGCTGGGTGTTGAGCCTCTCTAAAGAGTTTACTGGATGTCCTCTTGATCCTGCCAGAGCAAGTGATCTAAGAGAGATGAAGCAGAAGCTTTGGTGGTTATGGCCTTGAAAGTGACACTGTTGGGCCGGTGCTGTGGCCTAGTACGATAAGCCTCTGCCTGTGGCACCAGCATTCCATATGGGCACTGGTTCCTGTCCCACTGCTCCTCTTCTGATCCAGCTCTCTGCTTGTGGTCTGGGAAAGCAGTGTAAGATGGCCCAAGTGCTTGGGCCCCTGAACCCACATGGGAAACCCAGAGGGAACTCCTGACTCCTGGCTTCAAATCTGCTTGGCTGTGGCCATTGTGGCCTTTGGGAAGTGGACCAGCAGATGGAAGACCTCTCTCTCTGGCTCTCCCTCTCTCTGTCTGTAACTCTGCCTCTCAAATAAATAAATAAAATCTTAAAAAAGAAAAAGAAAGAAAGGGACACTGTCATTTCTGAAGTATCCTATTGAGTTAACAGATCAGCTCTGAGTTGCAAGGGTTATACAAGGGTACATATCTCTAGGGATGAGCACCACAGTGCCCTTGTAGAAGCTGGCTGCTATACCATCAGGAGTACCGTAGTGATAAAAAGGAGTAAAGACAAAAGCAGATACACATTCTGAAAACTTGATTCAGCATCGCTCCTGTGGATGTGAATGATTAATTCTACTTTTTCCTCTCTTAAATATTTCTAGAAACCCTAATGGCTCTCCTAACCGATTACTTAAAGCTGGGGTCATTTCTGCTCAAAATATCTACAGCTTTGGCTTTGGGAAGGTAAGAGTTTGCTGCTGACGTCAGCATTTACAAGACTAACCCATCTCTCACCCTTGCCTACCCTTACCTTCACCAAAGTAATTTTCTTCTTCCCTGCCCCTTTTGAGGGAAAAGTACCTCTTAGTGGTTCTGTCCTTACTAACATATAGGGAAAACCTACAGAGAATCCCTTTAATGCCCCTCAGCTGGTTTTGGGGAGTTTAGAAAATGATCTTTTATTTTTTTTTTATTTTTATATATATTTTTTTTTGACAGGCAGAGTGGACAGTGAGAGAGAGAGACAGAGAGAAAGGTCTTCCTTTGCCGTTGGTTCACCCTCCAATGGCCGCCGCGGCCGGCGCGCTGCGGCCGGCGCACCGCGCTGCTCCGATGGCAGGAGCCAGGAGCCAGGTGCTTTTCGTGGTCTCCCATGGGGTGCAGGGCCCAAGCACCTGGGCCATCCTCCACTGCACTCCCTGGCCACAGCAGAGAGCTGGCCTGGAAGAGGGGCAACCGGGACAGAATCCGGTGCCCCGACCGGGACTAGAACCTGGTGTGCCGGCACCGCTAGGCGGAGGATTAGCCTAGTGAGCCATGGCGCCGGCCCAGAAAATGATCTTTTAATTCCCAAAGAGGACCCCACACATATTCTATACAGTGAGCAATGAGGTTAATGAGCATAGTTGGAATGCTTTTAATAAGTTGAGATTTTAAACTTAAAAACGTGTTGAGGGCGAATGGCATGTTTTGGGTCCTCGGTTTTGCATTGATGGGTAGATGGATTATGTTTGTGGCTGCTCAAAATTCTGTTTGCTTTGTGGAGGCAGCCTGCGGGGCTGGAGGGAGAAGGGGTGTCTTTGCATGCAGGCTTTTGTTCTCTGGGGACCATAGCAGGCCCTTCAGTTCCAGCCATGGTGTATGTGTGTGGTTTTTTTTTTTTTTTCTTTTTTTTAAGATTTATTTATTTATTCGAAAGGCAGAGAGTTACAGAGAGGAAAAGAGAGAGAAATAGAAAGTCTTTCATCTACTGGTTCACTCTCCAAATGGCTGCAACAACCGGAGCTGGGCCAATCTGAAGCCAGAAGCCAGGAGCTTCTTCTGAGTCTCCCTCATGGGTGCAGGGCCCAAGACCTTGGGAATCTTCTACTGCTTTCCCAGGCCATAGCAGAGAGCTGGATCATAAGTGGAGCAGCCAGGACTCAAATCAGTACCCATATGGGATGCTAACACTGCAAGTGGCGGCTTTATCCACTATGCCACAGCATCGGCCCTAAGCCATGGCATTTTAAGCATGTGTCTGACTCTTTCTGTGAACCTCAAGTTTATTAGTAAAAGGCAAATAATAGTAAAACCTTGCAGAATTTCTAGAGGGGTTCAAGAGTATGTAGAGAGAGTAGTGTCCAGTGCAGAGCAATGTTCAGTCAGTTGGTAAATAGCCTTGTTAATTTTGTTAGCTGGTTGATAAGATGTTGCAGGTATGTTGTTTTCCTCTTTTCACACCAGAATTTGAAGCTGTGTTTTGGTTTCAGTTTTATCTCACAGGGGGGACACAGCTCGCCTGTTTAGGGTCTCTTCCCATAATTGGAGAAAAGGAAGTGATTCAAGCTGACGATGAGCCCACCTTCTCTTTCTTCAGCGGCCCCTTCATGGTCATGACCAAGTAAGCAGGGGCTGGCCAGCGGGAGGCCTGACTCAGTCACACAAGAAGAGTGGGCTGCATGGGACTTCCTTAGTATAGAGTGATTCTACTCAAACACAGAGAATGCTTAAGACTAAATCAGGGTTTCTCTGCCTAGGACACTATTGATATTTTTGGCCGTTTTCTGTTGCTGGGGGTAGTGCTGAACATTGTAGGATGTTTGAGTGTGTACCTAGTCTTTATCTGCTGGGTGCTAGTGGCAGCCTTCACACCCCCTGCTGTTGTGACAACCAAATGATCTGCCAGATGACTTCTGTGGGAATTACTACTGAGTCTGGGAAGAACTCTGAGAGCTGACTCATGACAGTAGTTGGACCTCTCTGCTTTCTAAAGAATTAGAGGCAGCTTAATGGTGATTATCTTATGTCTGATACTGACTGAAGGGTATTGAGGCCCCTGTAGAAGCTGCCTCAGGCATCAGCTGAGGCCTTCACCAATCAACACCAGCAGAGGTAGAAGTAACAGGATTTGCTTATGACCCTAGTCCCTTGCGTGTTCTTAATCCCTAGAAACTCAGTCCTTGCATGGTCACAGGAGTTGTCCTAGCCAAGATCTCTCAGCCTCCTTGATCCTGACTTCTTCTTTCCTGCTTATAAGAAATCCCTTCTTAAAAAACCTCTGCCAGATTCCCAAGGCCCTCTGTCCCCTACACGTATGCTCCTTGTTTTCCCCTCTGTGCCATAAATTTGTTGTCAGATCTGCTTCTCCTCTTTCCCATTGCTGTTGCCTTGCCCAAGTCATCACCATCCCTCTCCCAGACTGTTTCCCTAACTGGTCTCCCATTTCCTGGACCACACATGCAGTACACTACCCAATCCCCACACTGCTGGTGCCACTGTATTTCTAAAGCATAGACCTGATGAAGTCACTGGCTTTCTTGAATCTTTCAGTGACTTCTTGCCACCTGTATCTAATTCTCCAGAGTTAGGAATGGTCCCAGGGTCACTGGGTTCTTTCCTGAGTAGGCCACCCAGTTGTCCCTAGGGACTGTGTGAACGCCACTTCTCTGGTCTCTGGCTGGGAAAGCTGGCTCACTGAAGAGTTTGCTGCTCACCTTTTCTCCTGACCTTGTAGCCTGGTGTGGAATGGGAGCAGGGTCACAGTGAAGGAGCTGAACCTCCCCACCCATCCACACTGCAGCAGACTACGACTGGCAGACTTGTTAATTGCCGAGCAGGAACACAGCAGGTGAGAGGGAGACCCATGGGCCCCATCTGTTGTGTTTCTAGTTCACTTTACAAACCCAGGATCCTGGCTATGTAGAGCTGTCCCTGAAGTAGAGCTCTTCCCACAACCTCAGCATTTCCTGACTTTTGGAATTGGTTGACTTGACTGCCAAGAGAGAAAAAGGAATTAGTGAAAAGCCTGAGGGCATGGTGGTGGTGAGGGGCTCAATTGTGTCATTTGCCCCATGACTCATATCTCTGGATGGTCCAGCTGCTAGGCCCATCTAATTCTGCTGAGGCCCATGTCATCTGGGGCTCTGTGCCCATTAGGATACCACACAGCTGTCCTATGTACATAGAGTATAGCTGTGCATGAGATGCAGAGGTCTGAGGACCTTGTCTCTGCCATTGAGGACATGTCCATGGTCTTAGTTCCTTAGGTTTCCTGTGGCTCTAAGGTTAGGTCCTTCAGCTCCTGCTGGGTCAAGCCCTTAATTCACTGTTTCACTGAGGCCTGGAGTAGACCCAGACTCATTGAGCTCTCTCCTGAGTAGACCACTCGCCTGCTGCAGGAGGTGTCTCTAGAAAGCCCAAATCCTCCCTTTAGGGGAAGTCAGCCTAGAGGACCCAAGGGAGCTAGAAGAATGTGTAGACAAATTGCGGACTTTGATGCGAGATTGAATGGGAAGTGTGACCTGGCTCAATTTCCTGACGTTTCTGAATCATTTCTAAAATGGTTAAAAGACTACATTTCTTGCAGGTGGTTGTTAGGGTCTCAGATGATACATACCAAATATGCGGAGGGTCTTGCTCAGTAGCTCTTGGCAACACTGTTGCCATGGATGACTTAAGACTTCAGGGTCTTATCAGTTAGAGACCACAGATGCCACCAATAGAGACCACTCTCCCATCCTGTTTTCTTAGAAAAATAGTATTCGTTTAGGATGCATTCAAAGCATCCATGTTTGTTTTCATCATGTTCTCCGCTCTCACCCTATCTGAAGCTTCTTTTCTTTTGTAGCAAACTGCGGCACCCCCACCTGCTGCAGTTGATGGCTGTGTGCCTATCCCAGGACCTGGAGAAGACTCGCCTTGTGTACGAGCGCATCACAGTGGGCACGCTGTTCAGTGTCCTCCATGAACGAGTAATTGACTGCTTCTGTGGATTTTCCCCTTGCCACGTCTCCTCCCTGCCATCCTCTCCCCATTGCCCCAACAGTAGACTTCCTATTTGTGCATGCATGGAAGATAAGTCTCTTTTAACTTTTTTATTTTATGGGGGCTGTAGTACACACCATTGAAGGCTGATAAGTACATGGCTGGAACCAGTTTGATTTTATTATTGTCAATCCTGCTTCCTTACCAGATATCTGAGAGCTCACAGGCCCAGAAGACACTGCTGCATTTCTAGCTGTCTGTAATCTAACAGCCACTGGCTGTGTTTTCTTGCATTTTCATTTATGATTCATTCTGCTTTGTTCACACAGAAGCCTTTGTCACTCCTCTCTCACCTCTCAACTGTCCTGGGGTGGTGGCACGTCTTCCAGGGCCAGCAGATGGTCTGGGAAGTGTGCTTTGGGCTGAGCTGTGACTTCTGAGAGCTCCTAGAAGATTTGGCCCTGGGTAGGAATACAGAGAGACCCTCCAGGAAGGGCCTTTCCCCCAAATGGCCTGCCATTCCCTCTGCCTGATGACCTCCTAGTGGTGCTCTGGATTGTTTTGTTTGTTTGTTTGTTTGTTTGTTTTTTCCTGAGTGAAGGAATTACCTTAAAATGCTGTTTCTCTGGGGGAGAGGCCCAGTGTGCCATTAGTCAGCTGGATAACATTGGTGTGAGTCAGTTTCTGTCTTCTTTGGACAAACTTTCTCATTCATCTGAGAGGAGTAGGGGCTGGGTTGGTTCTCTGCTTCCTGAAGGGTCCTGTGAACTAACTACCAGGTTCTCACAGCTACGGGGATCAGGATGGAGGGGGCAGGGCAGGTTTGCTCTAGCAGTGGAGGACCTCCCCTGGTAATTTCCTCTAGGCCAACTCTTGGTGCACATATCAGACTTTGAGAATTTTCTCCTCATTTTTCATGGCACAAAGCTGCTCAGTAGAGGGAAGGGAGCCCAGGTCTGGAGCCAAGGGTCTTGGGTCAGTTGGACCTTACATCTGTCTTTTAACCTCACTGAGCTTTAGGTTCCCCATCTGTAAAATGGGGATACTAGGTGGCTGTGAAAATCGGACACAAAGACTGGCAATTACAAAGCACTGTAGTGTCAGAGGGCCCGGGTCCTTTTGTTCCTGGCATTTGATCTCTCACTTGCAGCGGTCTCAGTTCCCGGTGCTGCACATGGAGGTGATTGTGCACTTGCTGCTGCAGATCTCTGATGCCCTGAGATACCTGCATTCCCGAGGCTTTATCCACCGCTCCCTCAGCTCCTACGCTGTCCACATTGTCTCTGCAGGGGAAGCGAGGCTCACCAACCTGGAGTACATGATGGAAAGGTGGGTACCACCTTGAGTGTGACTTCCTTCTGAAGAAGATCTCCCCCGGGGGACTTTCACTGTAGAGACAGAATCTGATCTGGGTGGGGCTGGCTTATTGGCAGAGGAAGAAGTTTCCCAAATGTCCACTGTGTCTGCCAAGGTTAAAGTGACTTTGGGGAAGTTACTTCTCAAGACATTCTCATTTTAATAATTAGTTAACAAGTAAATATTAGCAGTATGTGTAAGTGCTCTAACACTTCACTCTAAATTATTCAGTTGTTTGACACAGGTGTGCTTTTCACTGACCTTGGAATCCAGTGTGTGTTGGAAGGGGCCACTGGGTCCCTTGTTCCCTCATCCGTGGCTCTGCCACACCCCAAGTCTCAGTTCCCCACTATGTCCTTTGCGTTGCTGGTCAGTGAGCAAGACCAAGCACAGAGGGATGACCTCAAGGGGCTCAGCTTACTGAGACAGGCCATCAAAAACAATGTCCTCATTCGAGGATTTGTGGATGGACTTTTAGCTTCCTGTTGTGCTGGAGTCAAAGTCTTTCTGAGAATCAGGGGTTGAACCCCAGTTCTGGGAGGCAGAGGCTTTCCCCTGTACTTCCTTGCTACCATCCACAGTTCTGCGCCTTGAGCCCAGTGTTGGTTCTTCTCTGCTGAGAGGCCTCAAACTCTAGGCAGAGCCCTTGCCTTGACCCACCTACCTCCTCTTCCCCATGCCCCTCACCTACCATCGCTCATGCTTTGCTTTTGAGACTCTCAGCAGGACTTTGCAGCTTACATACTTGTCACATGCTTCCCGAGGGCAGGGGTTTCTGTTCTGTTTACTGCTGCTTCTCAGATGCCTGGAACAGGATTTCATACAGCAGACTCTCAGCATGCTTTTCTGACAATTGAAACTAAAAGACCCACCATGCCAAATCTGGAGTCCCTTTTGTCCTTCTGCCTGGAAATGGCAGGGGGCAGATTGTACTTGGCCTTGTGGGCCTTGGTAAAAGGTCTGAATTTTATCCTAGGATACTGGGATGCTGTGGAAGACAGTTTTTGAGATTTCTGGTGTCACATGTGATTTTGGGGTTAAGAACATTCCTTTCAATTCTTTGTGTGGAGAAGGGGCTGTTAAAGAGCAAAAGAAAGGCAGAGTAGCAGTCAGGGTATGGCTAGAATTGTTACATTTTTGTACATGGAAATGGACAGAGGCCAGCTGAGTATCACCTGTCGAGCTGTTGAGCCTCAGGTCAGGTCCATTTCTCTCTCTCTCTCTCTATTTTTTTTTTTTTAAACAGATTTATTTATTTAGTTGAAAGTCAGAGTTACACACAGAGAGAAGGAGAGGGAGGGAGGGAGGGAGGGAGAGAGAGAGAGAGAGAGAGAGAGAGAGAGAAAGGTCTTCCATCCACTGGTTCACTCCCCAATTGGCTGCAACAGCTGGAGCTGCGCCTATCTGGAAAGAGGAGCCAAGAGCTTCTTCCAGGTCTCCCACATGGGTGCAGGGGCCCAAAGACTTGGGCCATCTTCTGCTTTCCCAGAGCATAGCAGAGAGCTGGATCGGAAATGGAGAAGTGGGGACTCAAACCAGCGCCCATATGGGATGCCGGCACTGTAGGTGGCAGCTTTACTAGCTATGCCACAGCACTGGCCCCCAGGTCCATTTCTCAATCCTTGTTGAAACCTTTCAAGGGCTCCTCATTGCCTACAAGGTGAAGTCCTGGCACCTTTCAGGGTATGGAAGGGTGCTCCACCTGCATTCATTGCCAACTTCATCACTTCCCCCTGCTCCTGGCCATTTGAAGCCACTTTGAGTCCATGCTGTTTCATGACACTGCTGCTCAAATCTGGAATATGTGGCTCATCCTCACTTACCCTTTTTATTTATTTATTTAAATTTTATTTATATATTTACTTATTTGAAAGGCAGAACATCAGAGAAGAAGAGAGAGAGAGAAAGAGAGATCTTCCATATGCTTGTTTACTTGAGAAATGCTCGCAACAACCAGGGTTGGGCCAGTCCAAAGTTTGGAGCCAGGAACTCCATCTGGGTCTCCCAAGTTGAGGGCAGGGACCCAAACACTTGGGCCATCACCTACTGTCTTTCCAGGTGCATAAGCAGGAAGCTAGATCAGAAGCAGAGCAGGCCGGCGCCACAGCTCAATAGGCTAATCCTCTGCCTGTGGCGCCGGCACACCAGGTTCTAGTCCCGGTCAGGGTGCCGGATTCTGTCCTGGTTGCTCCTCTTCCAGGCCAGCTCTCTCTGCTATGGCCCGGGAGTGCAGTGGAGGATGGCCCAAGTGCTTGGGCCCTGCACCCCATGGGAGACCAGGAGAAGCACCTGGCTCCTGGCTTCGGATCAGTATGGTGTGCCGGCAGCGGTGGCCATTGGAGGGTGAACCAATGGCAAAGGAAGACCTTTCTCTCTGTCTCTCTCTCTCTCACTGTCCACTCTGCCTATCCAAAAAAAAAAGGCAGAGCAGCCAGAATTCTGATTTGAGATGCTGCCATCACAGGCGGCAGCTTAACTTGCTTGTGCCATAATTCTGGCTCCCACGTTGTCTTTTTAAATACGTTGCAGACCCAATCTTGCACACTCCATGAAGCCTACACTGATGCTGTCATCCCCAGAGGTATTCTGCATATTCCTCTCCTCGCACTCAGCACTCAGGTGTCGTACAGCCGTTTGTATGCTTGATGGCTGTTCTCCTTGATGGCTTGCTATCAGGGGACAACGACTGTGACTTGTTCATCATTCTGTCTTCAGCACACCCACCCAGCTCAGGGCCTGCCACATAATAAGTGCTCAGCAAATGTTTGCTAAATGGTTGAGTCTAGATGAAGGAAAAACTTGAAGTAGTTCAGAGCAGGTTGACAACTTTGGCTACAAGTTCAGCAGCAGGGGAGGCTAAAGGGGTTTGTTTTTTCTGTTGGTTATTATCAGAGGCTTTTGAGGAAGACTGTGACAGAATCCAGGCTTCTGGTCAGTGACGGAGCACCATCTGTCATTGAGACAGAGGTACAACAGTTTCTTCCACTTTCATTCTCTAAAGAAATGTGAATTCTGGAGAGAAAATGGAGCTGTGGGGATGGCTAGGCCCACCCCGCCCTACTGTGGAAGAGGAGGCAGGCCTAGGGGTGAAGGGGTAGTGTGAAGTTCCCGAGTTGGTTGGTTGGAGGCACAGCTGGGGCTAGAATCTGGTGGTCAGACCATAGGAGCAGGATGGATTTGAGGAATATCAGCTAGGAGGCCACAGGATGGGGTCTTTTGGAGACCAGATGACCAAGGAGTCAAAAAGAAAGAGGTGAAATGCACTGAGGAGCCTGAGTCAACAGCTGGCCAAATGAGGGTTGGAGGTTGTCATGGTCTGGGAGTGCCTCACGGAATGGTAGGGAGCTGTGAGCTCTCACTTGAGCTTATTCACCTCAGAGTGGAACTGGGGACAGAAATGCAATCAGCAGCAGTAGCACCTGTGACAGTATAACCTTCTTCAGAAGCTGAGAACAGGAGTGGGCTGGTTATCCAGAAACCCAAAATGGCCTTCAATTCTGCATTTATTTTTAGCAAAATTCTTCTCAGGCACATTAGGTTTTTGAATGTCATTGTCATGGTCTGCTCCATCTTTCAGTGTAGAAATGGTACAGAAATTTTTTTCTACTATTCAACTCCTTTTTTAAAAAGATTTATTTATTTCTTTGAAAGTCAGAGTTACACAGAGAGAGGAGAGACAGAGAAAGAGACAGAGGTCTTCCATCTGATGGTTCACTCCCCAGTTGGCTGCAATGGCCAGAGCTGCGCCCATCCAAAGCCGGGAGCCAGGAGCTTCTTCCGGGTCTCTCTCATGAGTGCAGGGGCCCAAGCACTTGGGCTATCTTCTGCTGCTTTCCCAGGCCATTGCAGAGAACTGGATGGGAAGTGTAGCAGCCGGGTCTCAAACCGGTACCTTTAACTCCTTCTTAATGGAATATTTAGAGCTGGAATCAGCCTTGAATGTGGTGTCATATAGCTGCAGCCAAATGTAATTTTAATAATATCAAAGTTGGAAGTCCAGAAAAATACCATCCTAGAGTGATTCTCAAAAGAGAGGTCCCACTAACCCAGGTAGTTTTAAAGAGGATGAAGGGATTCCAAGAGAGGAAGTAAAAGAAGAAGGGTTTAATTTTTGTTGTAAGTGACTTGTCCTTTGCCAGAGCCTTAGGTAAGCCTGAAAGGATTCCTTGGAGAATTGTCCCCTACTCCTACCCCGATTTGAAGAGCCGAGTATGCTAGTTTCTCAGAATCTCTCTCTGACAATAAAAGGCTCCATTGCTTTATCTGTGATATTAATATAATTTGCATTAACTAATGTATAATATCTAATGTATATGTGTTACATTTACATTGAATACATAAATACTTGTCTACTTATTAATTAAATATATAAATACTTATATTCTAGATTTGGATGAACATCCACACTGTTTACATGATACAAGGCCACGCCTCATTATTCAACAGTGCAGCTAAAACATTAGTGCCAATTTTTATAACGTCCTGGCTTCTGCCATTTAGCAAAAGCTCTGCAAGAGGAAACATTATCAGGAAAGTTTGCTCAAAGTCTTAGAATCCCACCTCATCCTCTAAAAGCTGCCCTATGCCAGACTAGCAAAGAACTTACTGTCATACGCTTTTTTTTTTTTTTTTTTTAAGATTTATTTATTTGAAAGAGTTACAGAGAGGCAGGGGCAGAGGCAGAGAGAGAGACAGACAGACAGATCTTCCATCTGCTGGTTCACTCCCCAATTAGCTGCAACGGCTGGAGCTGTGCCAATCTATAAAGCAGGAGCATCTTCTGGGTCTCCCACCTGGGCGTGGGCCATCTTCCACTGCCTTCCCAAGCCATAGCAGAGAGCTGGATCAGAAGTAGAGCAGCTGGGACCCAAACCAGTGCCCATATGGGATGCCGGCACTGCAGGTAGCAGCTCTACCCGCTACACCACAGTGCCAACCCCTGTCATATGCTTTTGAAAACTTAATTGTCAACAAGCAGTCATCTAGCCTTCACCTGATACCCACCATAATGTTCACATCAGTTGCTTACTTGGCAGAGGATTTTACAGCTTCTGGGGTGTTTCCACATCCTTGATTTCGTTTGATTCTTGTGACAGCTTAGTGTAGAAGTCAGCCGTGACCTCACTCTAAGGACTCTTGTTGGCTCAGAAGACATTTAGGATGCCCTGCCTTAGCTCGCAGAGAGTCTGGGAGTGCGGATGGTCAGTGCACCACTTCACTGTGGTGACACTGGTATCTTGTATCAGAGTGCCAATTTGAGTTTTGGTTATTCCACTTCCCATCCAGCTCCCTGCTAATGCACCTGGGAAGGCAGCAGATGATGGCTCAAATAGTTGGGCCCCTGCCACCCATGTGGGAGATCCAAATGGAGTTCCTGGCTCCTGAATTCAGCCTGACCCAACTCTGGCTGTTTTGGCCATTTGGGGAGTGAAACAGTAACTCTCATTCTCCCTCTCCCCCTCCCCCTCCTCCTCTTCCTCTCTCATTTTACCTTTTATTTATTTATTTATTTATTTAGACAGGCATAGTGGATAGAGAGAGAGACAGAGAGAAAGGTCTTCCTTTTTTGCCGTTGGTTCACCTTCCAATGGCCGCCACGGCTGGCGCGCTGCGGCCGGCGCACCGCGCTGATCCGAAGCCAGGAGCCAGGTGCTTCTCCTGGTCTCCCATGAGGTGCAGGGCCCAAGGACTTGGGCCATCCTCCACTGCCTTCCCTGGCCACAGCAGAGAGCTGGCCTGGAAGAGGGGCAACTGGGAAAGAATCCGGTGCCCCGACCGGGACTAGAACCCAGTGTGCCGGCGCCGCTAGCTGGAGGATTATCCTATTGAGCTGCGGCGCTGGCCTCATTTTACCTTTTAAATACATAAATATATGTTTTTTTAATAAAGGAAAAGTCTGGGAAGAAGAGGTGGGTGGCGAATCAGTGAACCTTTGAGTGCTAAACTGAGAGGACCCATCCCCAAGAGGGCAGGAAGTTAGAACAGAAGCAGCATGAGGAGTTGGAGAAGTGGCAAGTAGCTTTGATAAAGCAGATGGGGTTTTGGCGGGGTCTTGTCTTACTTTCATTTTTTCATCAGTGAATATTAAGGTCCTAGTGTAATTTTAGGAATACAGTGACATAAAAAATAAGGAAGGTGCCTATTTTCATGATGCTGACTCTCTAATAGAGGGGAAACAGGTAATACATGACTGAACAAGGAATTCATATAAGTGCTATGAAGCCAGTAAAACAGGATTACTTTGGATTAGGTGGTCAAAGAAGACCTCTCTGAGGAGATGGCTTTTGAATTAATAGTTTAGTCATTAGAAGCATCTAGTTGCTCTAGGATTTTGTAGGTAGAGCATGCCAAGCGCAAGCCACCAGTGCAGTGACATAAAGTGGCAATGTGCACAGCATGTTGGAGAACTGAAACAAAACCCCTGTGTCTTGAGTAGAGTGGCTGAGCAGGAGAATGTGACCAGATAAGGTGGGAAGCACAAGGGATTATAGGAGTTAGAACAGTATAAAGCAGCATAAGTTAGCTCAGTGTCTGGCAAGCTTTTCAGAATCTCATGAAGGTTGCCTTTATGTTTCCTTCTGTAGCCAGGATGGAGGTGTACACAGGGACCTGACTCGAGTACCTCTCCCCAGCCAACTGTACAACTGGGCTGCACCAGAAGTGATCTTACAGAAGGCAGCCACGGTGAAGTCAGACATCTACAGCTTCTCTATGATCATACAGGAGATTTTAACAGGTGATAAAGGTGCACGCTGATGGTTGACCAAAGTCCTTATTTGTAAGTTGGGTTTCTTCCCACCAGGAGCCAGTTTTATGAAAACATAGGACTTTAAAAAAAAAAAAAAGATTTCTTAAAGGAAACCTCTCTGTGTTCATGGAAAATAGACAATGATGTCTCAGAAAACTTTCCCTTTTAGCTTTTAAGACTCAAGAAAGCACACTCATCTGCTTGTTAATGAGAATGCATTTAATTCAAGCTAAATTTTTAAATTCAATATTGATGACCATGCTTAGGGATCATAAGGTACCCCTTAAGCATTTGTAAATGAGAAGAAAAGATTGGTGTCAGGCCAGTGCCGTGTTTCACTAGGCTAATCCTCCACCTGTGGCACCGGCACCCTGGGTTCTAGTCCTGGTTGGGGCACTGGATTCTGTCCCGGTTGCTCCTCTTGCAGTCCAGTTCTCTGCTGTGGCCCGGGAAGGCAGTGGAGGATGGCCCAAGTGCTTGGGCCCTGCACCCGCATGGGAGACCAGGAGAAGCATCTGGCTCCTGGCTTCGGATCAGCACAGCACGCCAGCCGTAGCGGCCATTGGAGGGTGAACCAACGGCAAAAGGAAGACCTTTCTCTCTGTCTCTCTCTCACTATCTAACTCTGTCTGTCAAATTAAAAAAAGAAAAAAGATTGGTGTCTGAGTAGTAAACTATGAAATTAAACACCCTGAGGGCCTAGAAAGTGTATATTAATGATGCTTAAAAGAAATGAACCAAACCTACATAACTTTATAGTGTGAAGAAAATAGCTCCATATCTGGAGACAGGACTCCTTCAGCAGAGGGATATGCACACATACAGAGAGTAAATGAGCAAGAGCCATTTCATGGTGTGTACAGGCCCACAAGCCAGTCACTTTCCATGAGATGAATGTATTGGGCTACCAGCTTAATGCTATGTAACATTCCCTGTACCAAGGTCTGCCTATGTAAAGATGATACTGAGGCTACTCTGTCCTATCTCTGTGGCAGGGAATTCCTGGCAAGTGGGTTCTCATTCGTGATTGGGCTTTTAGGTAGTTTTTTTTTTTTTAGCTTTTTATTTATTTATTTGACAGGTAGAGTTACAGACAGTGAGAGAGAGAGAGAGAGAAAGGTCTTCCCTCCGTTGGTTCACCTCCGTTGGTTCACCTCCATTGGTTCACCCCCCCAAGTGGCCGCTACGGGCAGCGCTGTGCTGATCCGAAGCCAGGAGCCAGGTGCTTCTTCCTGGTCTCCCATGCGGGTGCAGGGGCCCAAGCATTTGGGCTATCCTCCACTGCCTTCCCGGGCCACAGCAGAAAGCTGGACTGGAAGAGGGGCAGCCGGGACTAGCCAAGTGAGCCACAGTGTCAGGCCTGCTTTTAGGTAGTTTTTACAGAGAGTTTCTTGACTAAGTTACCCAACTTTGTATGATTTTTTTTTTTATCTTCTTTGAATGGTTTAATTTTACTCCTTCCTGTGACTTTTTCCTTACAGACAACGTACCTTGGAATGGTTTAGATGGCTCGGTTATTAAAGAAGCTGTAGTCTTGGGAAATTATTTAGAAGCAGATGTCAGGCTTCCGAAACCTTACTATGATATCGTTAAGTCAGGCATCCAGGTCAGGCAGAAAGACCGAACTATGAATCTTCAAGATATCCAGTACATTCTGAAGAACGACTTAAAGGCAAGTCCTGAAGCTTTTGAAATTTTATTTCTGCTCACCTATCCAGGGGAATGGGGAGTTGGAGACCAAGTTGTAAGGAGTTTTGGAAATCCTTATTTTATGATTCCCTTTCTGTGTTCCTGAGAAAGCCTAACAACTTGATTTAGTGTGAGTGGCAGGGGATTGAGTAGTGGATCTGGGGAGGTTCAACACATAGTGGGGACTCTCTGTGGGGACATAGTAGAGATTCAGTGAATGGTAGCAGTTATCACTTTCAAGATACTGGTAATGACAAGAAATCAGTTAATTAGGATAGGACTACAATCTACCCAACAGAGTAAGAGGGAATTTTGTCTGTACTTTGGTTACTAAACAACAACACTAGTGACATCCGGATGACAACAGATGTATCCTTTTTTTTTTTTTTTTTTTTTGATTTTTAAAATTTTTTACAAACCCTTGTGTCAAGGGCTTTCAAAAGATCACAGCAAGGGAGCTGCTCTGCTACATACGAAACCCCGACAGTTGTATCCTTGACAATACCTGCTGTGTTATAGGAATTTATTGGAGTACAGAGAACTCAACCAACTGAGAGCCCCAGGGTGGAGAGATATGAACCTCATCCTGATGTCTATCTAGGACTGACTTCAGAACATCCAAAAGACACCCTTGACTTGGAAATCAAAGAATTGAAAGAAATGGGTATGGCCTTAATTCACAACTTAAGCGTCTCTCTTTTTTTATTTTTAAGATTTATTTATTTATTTGAAAGTCAGAGTTACACAGAAAGAGGAGAGGCAGAGAGAGAGAGAGAGAGAGGTCTTCCATCCGCTGGTTCACTCCCCAGTTGGCCGCAACGGCTGAAGCCAGGAACCAGGAGCTTCTTCCTGGTCTCCCATGCAGGTGCAGGGGCCCAAGGGCTCGGGCCATCTTCTACTGCTTTTGTAGGCCATAGCAGAGAGCTGGACAGAAAGTGGAGCAGCCAGGACTCGAACCGGTGCCCGTATGGGATGCCAGCACTGGAGACAGCGGCTTTACCCACTATGCCACAGTGCCAGCCCCCCTTTCTTTTTTTAAGATTGATTTATTCAAAAGGCATAGTTACAGAGAGAGAGGGAGAGAGAGAGAGAGAGAGAGATCTTCCATCTGTTCGTTCACCCCCAAATGACTGCCATGGCCGGAGCTGGTCCAGGTCGAAGCCAGGAGCCAGGAGCTTCTTCCACGTCTCCTATGTGGGTGCAGGGGCCCAAGGACTTGGGCCATCTTCTGCTGCTTTCCCAGGTGCATTAGCAGGGAGCTAGATCAGAAGTGGAGCAGCCGGGACTTGAACTGGCACCCATATGGGATGCTGGCGCAGCATGAGGCAGCTTTACCTATTATGCTACAGCACCAGCCCCTTAAGCATCATTTTGACACGAGTGTGTTCTTAGAGTCACATAAGCTGTAACTAATTGACTCCTCCAAACTGTACGTGTAACTTACACTGGGGGAAAAAATGGATGCCTTAGGAAGAAATCAAGATCCATATGATGCCTGAGTTTGATTCAGAACTAAGTAGTAATGATGAGTTTATTTCTAGCATAATTATTCAGAAGCTTATCTAATTACTTGTCAAGTAAAAATTAATTTTAAAATTTAAAACTACCGTGTGCCGGCGCCGCGGCTCACTAGGCTAATCCTCCACCTAGCGGCGCCGGCACACCAGATTCTAGTCCTGGTCGGGGCGCCAGATTCTGTCCCAGGTGCCCCTCTTCCAGGCCAGCTCTCTGCTGTGGCCAGGGAGTGCAGTGGAGGATGGCCCAAGTGCTTGGGCCCTGCACCCCATGGGAGACCAGGAGAAGCACCTGGCTCCTGCCATTGGATCAGCGCGGTGTGCTGGGCGCAGCGCGCCGGCCGCGGCGGCCATTGGAGGGTGAACCAACAGCAAAGGAAGACCTTTCTCTGTGTCTCTCTCACTGTCCACTCTGCCTGTCAAAAAAAAAAAATACTGTGTGCTCATTTCAGAAAATTTAAAACAGTACAAAGAAGAAAATTACCATTTTAATTCCACCTCCTTGAAAAAATCTGTTAACATTTTGGTGTTTCCTTCCTGCTTTATAGCTTTTTAGCACATTTGGAAATTTTAGAACGCAGAGCTAGAAAGGACTTTGCAATATTCAGACTTAATGGCCCCATTCTACAGATGAAGAAAACTAAGGAGGATATGATCTGCTTAGAATCCCAGAGCTTGTTACAGAACAGGAATCAGGGCTTCCAATTCCAGCCAAATGGTCATTCACTCACCCACACTTTGACAGAGATGGAGGCCTTGAGTGGACCCTTCAAGCTCTTATTACTTTGGTTCCTTCATCCCATTCTCTGCAAATTGTGTACCTCTAGATGGTTAGTCCTGGCATTGATTTTCAGTTATTTATTCCTGCTCTGATGCAGAAAGTGAGATCCTGGATCTGCTGGTTTATTCCCCAAATGGCTTCCATAGACAAGTCTCAGCCAGGCTGAAGCCAGGAGCTGGGAACTCCACCTGGATCTCTCACGTGGGTAGCAGGAACCCAGATACTTAGATCATCTTCTGCTGCCTTCCCAGGCACGTTAGCAGGGAACTGGATGGGAAATAGAACAGCCAGGACCCAAGCGACACTCCAGCGTAGGATTCGCGTGCTTCAGGTGGTAGCTTAACCTACTGTGCCACAACCACGACCCTTCTCAATTGCTTTTATCAGGTGATCACCAAGAGCATAACTTCACCTGGTGTAGTCAAACCCCTTTGTGTGTGAAGAAAGTTATGAAGGTAGTGTTTAATATTCAGGGGCCTGCAGTTCACATGTACTGACAGTTATGAATGTTTTGAGCACATCGTAAATGAAGCTTAGAATATTTCCCTGAGGGTTTGACTCCACTGCTGCCTTTTTTTTTTTTTTTTTTTTTGACAGACAGTGAGAGAGACAGAGAGAAAGGTCTTCCTTCTGTTGGTTCACCCCCCAAATGGCCGCTATGGCTGGCGCACTGCGGCTGGCGCACTGCGCAGATCTGAAGCCAGGAGCCAGGTGCTTCCTCCTGGTCTCCCATGCGGGTGCAGGGCCCAAGGGCCTGGGCCATCCTCCACTGCCCTCCCGGGCTACAGCAGAGTACTGCTGCCTCCTTTTGCCCTGCCTTGTGCCCCCAGTTTCTGCTTCATCCCATGTCTAAGTGGGAAACTTCCTTTCAGTTAGAAATGCCGGTTTACCCTCTGATGGGTTTATGCAGTCGTCTAGACAGCCAGGAAGGGAGCATTCTTGTGCTTCTTGACCAGAAAGCTGAGGCTGCTTAGCTGCTGAATGTGAACACTGTAATCAGTTGCTTGTCTTTTTTTCAACAGGCAGTCCACTTCATTCACCAAGGGGTCACTCTTCTCCCACTGAGGAAGCCACATTGGATCCTGTGACCCCAGAACCAAGTGTGATGGCCCAGGAGGCTGTGCATCAGCCTGCTCCTTCTCTTGCTCATTTGGTGGCAGAAGAGGCGAGGAGCCCCAGCACCAGTCAGGCGAGCCTCTGCAGCTTCGAAATCAATGAAATCTACTCAGGCTGTTTGAACCTGGGAGATGACAAAGAGGAAGAGACCCCAGGAGCTGCTTCATCTCCTGAGGGGGAGAGACCAAACCAGGCAGACGAACTGCAATCCATGGAGGAAGAGTTGGATAAGATGGAGAGAGAGGCATACTGTTTGTGTGCTGACAAGAGCTCTTCAGAGACTGACCCAGAGCTCTCCTTTGGGGACTGGGACTGGCAGAATGACTCACTCAGTTCGCCCAGCCTCCCTGAGTCAACCAGAGAAGTGCAGGGCCCTGTGAGCAACAGGTCCATGACTGAAGAGTACATCAGTAAGTGTGTCCTGAACCTGAAGATCGCGCAGACACTGATGCACCAGAGTGCTGATCTGCTGAGGGATACCCAGCAGGAAATAGGTCAGCTGGAGGTGATGCATAACGAGCAGGAGGAGTGCAGGTCTCTGTGGGAAGCTTCACGAGAATTTGCAAATGTCTGTCGCTCACCTTCAGCCCTGGGCCCTCCAGCTCCAAGTTACATTCCTCCTGCCATGCATCTGTCAGGGGGCCAGCAGCCAGACACCAGGGGCAGTTGCCTAACCCTAGCAAGGTCTCCAAGAACAGCGAGAGATTTTCAGGGAGGACATTTTGGCAAAAGGCCCAGAAAAAGAAGTGGCTGTGACTGGAAACCTCTCACCCAAGTTTCTGAAGAAAGTTCTGGGCATCAGTCAGAGACAAGTCATCAGGTAAAGTTACACAGGAGGAAGGGGAGCCTAAGCAGTACTCCCAGCTGGGTTCAGCATTGGCCTTGCCCTGTGTGCAGGGTCTGATGTGTAAATGCAAGCAGTTCATAGCAAGGCCCTCTTACCTTTGGGAAATAAGGCCTTCAGGATGGATTTTTCAACGTAGATGCACTCTACCTTCCATGCCAAATCCTGTCCTCTGTAAATTTATATGGCTCACTTCAGGAGATGCAATTTTACAGGTCAAAATGATCAAATAATGGGATTTTCACATGGTTCAATTTACTATGCAAAGTATCTTGGGCAGTTATTAATTTCCATTTTAAATTGCTTATTCATCCATTTACTCACTCAACACACATAGAGCCAGCGGCTATAAATATAATGAATAAGCCACAAGCTCTGCCCATAAGTAGCTCAAATGCCAGTGTAGGACTGAGGACCCGAGTGATCAAAGATGCCTTAGAAGAGCTGAGCAGACGCCATGGGAGCTGACCTGAGTGACTTGGCTAGAGGCTTAGTGAGATTGTAGGGTGTCTCCCTGAGAGTGCCTTTAGGACAGGGCCTAGATCTTACTCTGCGTTCCGTCATCCAGCATGAGGCCTAACACATACATAGAAGTACTTGATAAGTGGTCACTGACAGAATGAGGGAATGAATGACTTTGAACAGGCTCATATGTAGAATGATGGCTGCCTCTCAGATCAGAATTTTGGAGCTGGAAGACTCTCCATACGTGGATCAACCCTATAATTTTAGAGCATTAAGCTCAAGTTTGGTGATGGAAACTTGCCATGGTCTAGTGGTGTTACCGAGGTGGGAGTGGAAAGGAGAGGACTACTCTGTTGGAGGGAAGATTCTGTGCTCCCTTAGAATTCTCATGGTCAGGCATTTGACAGGGTTCACCTGGGCAGTTCTATTCCACATGGCATTGGCTGAGGGTACTTGCTCAGTTGCATTCAGCTGGAGGTTGGGCTGGAGGCAAGAAGGTCCAAAGAAGTCCTTACTCACATGTCTGATATCTTGAGCTCTTCCATGTGGCCTCTGTCTCTGCACTTGGTTTCTCATCATTCCACAAGTAGTCCCAGCCAAGCTTCTCCATAGCGTGACAGCTGGCTTTCTAAATGAAAGCTAAAACTGCCAGGCCTCTTAAAAGCTAGTCCTGACTATAGGACAGTGTCACTTCTGCTGCTTTCTGATGGGCAAAGAAAATCATGAGGCCATCCTAGGAACAAGGGGAGGGAACTAAGCTCCAGCTGCCGATGGGACAAGTGGCAGGGCAGACAGGGAGGGAAGGAGTTGATGGCAGCCATCATTGGAAACCCTTTACCAGTACATGTGACTGTACCAAACAATTACACTGTGTTTATTTTTTCCTTAAAAAGTAACCCTCTCTTTCTAGCATCAAAATGGAACATTAAGCATTGCCACAGAAGTGAATTTTTCAGACAATTAAAATGCATTCCTTTAATTTCATAATTATTAAATGTTTTAATTATACTGAATGCAAACATTACAGACTTCCAATCATTCTAAACGTCTATTCTAAATACATTTTATATGCTAAGTTACCCTAACCTTTCCTTGGTGACAGTGGCATTTTTCTGAACATCTGCTACTATGAGTTCCATGATACAGTGCTGTCTTCAGTTCCTTCTGAGGAATGTTAGCCCACATAAAAAGGCCTCTGGAGCTCGTATGCCAGGGAGCTTGTGATAATTTTTTATGCATCCCTCCCTTTTTTGGGTGGTGGTGGTGGTATTTATTTGAAAGGCAGAGTGACAGAGAGGGACAGACACCCTGGGAGATTTTCTCTCTACTGATTCACTCCCCAAATGCCCTCAATTGCTAGGGGTAGGCCAGGCAAAAGATGGGAGCCCAGAACACCCAGCTCCTCCACTTCTGATTCAGCTTCCTGCTCATGTATACGTTATGAGGCAGCAGTGATGACTTAAGTACTTAGGTCTCTGCCACCCATATGGGAGACTCAGAAGGAGTTTTAGGCTCCTGGCTTTGGCCTGGTCCAGCCCTGCCTGTTGTTGGCATTTGGGGAGTGAAGCATCAGATGGAAGATCTTTGTCTTTCTGCCTTTGAAATTAAAAAATTCAAAAAAAATTTTTTTAAATCATGTTGAAATTGGAATAAACATCTAAAAGTCTTTTTTGAACAGAAGGTACAGAATTTCATTTATTTTACTTCTTTTGTTCCAGAGTATTATAGCTTTCATTTTATTGTGTTTTATTTTCATAGCATCCTTACTGGTGAGTACTGTCCTGTTTTATGAGTAAGGAAGGAAACTCTAGTTTCCTTAGGTTATTTCCTTAGGTTATTCTGAGTAAAGCTTAGACTAGACTCCAAAGCTCAGGGTTCCTGCTACAGAGATTTGTGGCCTTCATATTAACGGTGCGGGGGAGTGTGATGCTCAGGAATGTGTTTGAATTTTGATTTCTATCTTGTCTGTTCCTTGTCTCTGTGCATGCTTTCCTGACTGGGTTCCTGCAGGCCAGCATTTCTGGGTAAGGGCCACCAGGTGAGAGATGGGCTTGTAGACAAGAAGTGTGTAAGGGAAGTCATGTTGGTAGGTCTGGCTGCTTACACATGTTTAATAAGCGTGGCTCTGGAAATAGAGAGTGAGAGTGAAGAGAAAGAGAATTCCCTTATCAGAGCACTAAAATGTAATTGTTTTTTAAACAGACTACTCTTGGTGGCTCTGGGAAAGACAATACAGGTGAGCAGTTTCAGCACACTGAAGGAGCCAAGGTCAGTTTGGACAGAAGCCGAAACCAAAGTACTAGTAGGTGGGTCAACATTTTATTATCCTTTGTGTTGTCATGCATTAGACTCCATGTGACCTGGAGGCCCCTTAATGATCTTCATATGTCTTGACAAGGGACTGTGAGTGACAAACAGCAATGCAGAAACAGCTCTTGTCAGGCTCTCTGCTAAGTGATGGGGTAGAGCAGTGCAGTGGAAACTTGTAGGCAACTTTTTTTTTTTTTTTTTTTTTTTTTTTTTTTTTGACAGGCAGAGTGGACAGTGAGAGAGAGAGAGAGAGAGAAAGGTCTTCCTTTTGCCGTTGGTTCACCCTCCAATGGCCGCTGCGGCTGGTGCACTGCGGCCGGTGCACTGCGCTGATCCGGAGCCAAGAGCCAGGTGCTTCTCCTGATCTCCTGTGCGGGTGCAGGGCCCAAGCACTTGGGCCATCCTCCACTGCACTCCCTGGCCACAGCAGAGAGCTGGCCTGGAAGAGGGGCAACCGGGACTAGAACCAGGTGCGCCGGTGCCACATGGCAGAGGATTAGCCTATTGAGCCATGTTGCCGGCCTTGTAGGCAACTTCTAAGATAAAGTTGCTGGCAGGTTAATCAGACAGAACTCATCATCTGTCAAAAGCAAAGAATGTTGCCTTTCCAAAACTGCCCAAATAGTTTGTGGTTTTTTTTGTTTTAAATAAAAAGAAATGTCAGGTACTGCATTTTCCAGTCCTCCAGAAACCAAACTAATTGGAAACCAAGGTGGTTTAAAGTAAGCAGCATGAGGCCGGCGCTGCAATAGCTCAATAGGCTAATCCTCCACCTGTGGTGCCGGCACACCGGGTTCTAGTCCCGGTCGGGGCGCCGGATTCTGTCCCGGTTGCTCCTCTTCCAGTCCAGCTCTCTGCTGTGGCCAGGGAGTGCAGTGGAGGATGGCCCAAATGCTTGGGCCCTGCACCCCATGGGATCCAGGAGAAGCACCTGGCTCCTGGCTTCGGATCAGCGCGGTGCACCGGCCGCAGCAGCCATTGGGGGGGTGAACCAATATAAAGAGTAATCAGCTCAGTTATTTCTTCTCATTTTGAGTTTTAATTCTCACACCAGATCCTTGTTATCCAGTAGAAGACAAAATATTGTTGAAATAAAGGCTTTTGTGTGTGTGTGTGTGTATATATATATATATATATATATAAAGACACAGATGCTTCCCTAACTGCTCCTATGAATGTTGTCAGTTCTGCTGTTATTAGGTTGCTGGTGACCCCAGCTGGGAAAATGTAAGTCTAATACAAAATGACATAAAGGAAGCTACATGTAGGCAGTTTTATATTTTGATTTTTTACTGTAAGAAGATGAGCATTATCCTGTTATTTTTTTTTAAAAAAGCTCACACACTGTAAATTTTCTTTCAAAATGGTTGCATTTCTCCCATTGTTGAATTTTATGTTGTTTCATTCTTATTCTATATGAACAGGGCCACAGTGACTTACAAATAAAGCTTTTTCTGTATATTTTTTTGCTTTATGTCCTCAGAATACATTCTCAGAAGCAGAATTAACGGGTCAAAGGGTTTGAGCATCTTAAAGATTCCTGATAGCTCTGGCCAAATAAGCTAGTGAGCTGGGGAGTTTGGCATTCTAGCAGGGAGTTTATGTATATGCCACAGAGAGTATTTTTGAAGAGTTAGCTTAGTAGATAAAAAGTATAAATAATCATGAGACATTTAGAGGAAAAAAGCCTCCCTAACTTTGCAGATGATGAAGCTTTGGTCCAGAGAGATTGATGTTTGCTGTTGTCAGACAGCTACCCTAGCACCATGTCAGGTCTAGAACTTAGTGAGACTGGATTGGCTGTAGATCTCTGAATGTTCTTCAGGATGCCTGGTGCCTTAGGAGCTTCTTTACAAATATTAGCTGTTGTGCCATCACTGATATGCAGGTGGGCCCGTTACCAGATAATTCTTGTGGGAGGGCAGGAACAGAACCTTCACCTGAGTCATCACCTGTGGTTTGTGGCATTTGGGGGGAGGAGGGGCAGAGGGGGCACTCAACAGGGACTCCCAGGATCAGGATTCTGTCTGGTAAAACTTCCTTTCAGTTGTGGGTTTCTTCTACTTCTGAAAATGTTCCAATAGCACTTTTAGAATCATGAAATGTAAACTTGCAACCTGAAAGAAACCTTAAGAGATCTTCCAGCTAAGTGTTTTCATTTCTTAGCCAAGGAGGGTCTAGAGAGTTGAATGCCCAAGCCAAAGGCACACAACTAAATAGTGCATTCTTCACTGTGTCAAGCCACCCACGAGGAGCTTCTGGATCCCCCAGCCCTAGCCAGGACTCTACCAAGTAAGGAACCTTGCGGGATTGGGGAGTGGCGTTGTTGTTTTGGTGGCGGTGGTCTTACGCTCTCTGGTGGTGGGAAGCAGTCTATGCAACTCCTAAGACTTGCTCCTAGAATAAGGGAGTGGTTTCTGTGGATGGTCTTTTGAGTTCCACTAGGAACTTGAATAAACTGATGAGTTTGTATCCATTTCATTCTCTTGCCCCCTCCCCCAAAAAGTATTAGTGTGGAAGCTGTGACTAATGAAATCTGTAATGCAAAGTCAAGAAATGAAGATGATGGAAAGGTACACTTAAAATGGAAAAGTGAGTATAAAATTGTGAATCTTGCTAGTCAAAATGAAGCTTAAGGTGCATTTCTAACATAACTGATACCTGTAAGTACAATAAAACTCTTATTGCATTGTGTAAACTCATAGCTACATTTGCTCAGATTCTTTTCTTCTATATTCTATTTTAAAAGCAAAATCCTACTGATTACAAACTGCTGAAGGGAAATGCTTTTTTCATTTCTGGACTTTATAGGAAATATTTGTATCATAAACAAATGCAGATTATATAACAAGTATAATAAGATAAAACATCATATAGATTTTTTAAAAATATTTATTTATTTAAGAGGTAGAGTTACAGATAGTGAGAGGGAGAGACAGAGAGAAAGGTCTTCCTTCCGTTGGTTCACTCCCCAGTGGCCTCAACGGCTGGAGCTGTGCAATCCGGAGCCAGGAGCCAGGAGCTTCTTCCTGATCTCCCACGCGGGTGCAGGGGCCCAAGCACTTGGGCCATCTTCTACTGCTTTCTCAGGCCATAGCAAAGAGCTGGATTGGAAGAGGAGCAGCCGGGACTAGAACCAGCACCCACATGGGATGCCGGCGCCGCAGGTGGAGGATTAACCTACTGCGCCATGGCACCGGCCCCATCATGTAAATTTTTTTTTATTTTGACAGAGTTATAAACAGTGAGAGAGAGAGAAAGAGAGAAAGGTCTTCCTTCCGTTGGTTCACTCCCCAAATGGCCGCCACGGCCTGCGCCCGGCCAGCCCGAAGCCAGGAGCCAGGTGCTTCTTCCTGGTCTCCCATGTGGGTGCAGGGGCCTAAGCACTTAGGCCATCCTCCACTGCCCTCCTGGGCCATAGCAGAGAGTTGGAGTGGAAGAGGAGCAACCGGGACTAGAACCCAGCACCCATATGGGATGCCAGCGCTGCAGGCGGAGTATTAACCAAGTGAGCCATGGCGCCGGCCCCATCATGTAAATATTTAACATATAACATTATTGAAGTGGAGAGTATGCAGCATCACTGTCACATAACCCGAGGGCATTACCCTTTTGTATTCATATTTTAAATTTTTTATTGAATTTTATTTGAAAAGAAGAGAGACAGAGAGATAGACATCTTTTATCTTTTGGTTCACTCCTCAAATGTCTGAAACAGCCAGGGCTGGGCCAGGCTCAAACCAGGAGCTAGAAACTCAGTCTTGGTCTCCCACATGGTGGCAGGAACCCAAGTACTTGAGCTGCCTCCCAGGGTATGCATTAGCATGGAACTGGATCAGAAGCAGAGGAGCTGGTGTTCAAACCAGATACTCTGATACAGGATACACACATCTCAGTGGCAACTTCACTGCTGTGCCAAGTGTCCACCCAACTTTTTGTTACAGAGAGAGAAAGGGAGAGAGAGAGGGAGAGAGAGATCATTCATCCCCTGGTTCACTCCCCAAATGACTGCTTCATCTGCGTCTCCCAGGAGGGTGCAGGGGTCCAAGAACTTGGGATATCCTCTGCTGCTTTTCCAGGGGCCTTAGCAGAGCACAGAGTCAGAAGAGAAGCATCTGGGACACCAGCCAGTACTTATTAGGGATGCTGGCATCACAGGTGGCAGTTTAACCTGCCGTACCACAACGCTGGCACCTTATCTTGTAAACTTAAAAGGAGACAATGTCTACTTTTTTAATACTAGTGCTAAGTGACATTAGCAGAAGTATAGTACATCTTCAATGAAACTGTGTATATATGTACGCACACCCCAAAGTATGAGTTTAATGAAGTCTTGAAAGCCTGAACAAGCTCAGATAGAATCCTTTCTGTTAGTCAAGACAGACTGGGAACTTCAGCTTGTCATTTTTCTTGTTAAGTCAGCAAGAAAGTTCATTTACAAGTTCTCTTTGCCTTCAACTCTGGAATTCAACAGTATAGGTTGTTATTTGGGGATCACTAACTGATGTTCCCTTCCCCTACTCTGTCATCAGTTCTCCCCTCTCCTCTCCTTCAAGCTAAGGATGGTGCGACTGTAAAAACTATCATATGAGCTACAGTAAAGTTACTTGTCTCTTTAGGATGAAAGCTTGTTTCCCCCTGGTGTTAAAAATTATTTTTTAATGCTGTTTTCTCTTGTGCCCAGTGGAAGTGGAAGCAATAGCAGAGAAAGCAGCTACTGGACAGCTCACAGTACCTCCTTGGCATCCTAGGAGTAGTTTGACCTTAGAGTGTGAGGCTGAAAACAAGCCTGATCCTCTGCTGCAACCCCCTGCTAGGGGCCCTGAGAACATGAATTGGCAGCGAGCTGTAGAGTATCACAGGGATAAGGATGAACCAGCAGGAAACAACAAGTTTGACAGATTGGACCACAGTGACTGTGACCAGCATAGCAGACAGCCTGGGCCTCGGAGCTTCACCAGTAAGTTCAGTGGAGGGAATAGGGATAGGTGAGCTTTATCAAGTTATCAGTTTTCAAAAACAGGCAAACATCTGGATTCTTTGCTTTGCTTAATCTTTTCTCCTTTCCTGCATCTCTGGGAACTTTGAATTCCATGGGAAAGCAAAATACATTTTATATCCCATTGTGCTTCCTACAGGGGAAAAAATCCAGACCCTCATGATTTTTTCTGTAACTGAAACAGAACCTTTTGTCCAAAGACAGTAAAAATAATCTCCACCTGCTGGCCCTTGTCTTGCGTCTAACCTGGCAAGAATCAAACCTTCTTTACCTGAAGGAACATGGGCCACTACTTCCTACTGTCTATTTCTTTGCATTGTATTTTCTTTTTTTTTTAAATTTTTATTTATTTATTTATTTATTTTTGACAGGCAGAGTTAGTGAGAGAGAGAGAGAGAGAGAGAAAGGTCTTCCTTCTGTTGGTTCACCCCCCAAATGGCCGCCACCGCTGGCACACTGCGCTGATCCAAAGCCAGGAGCCAGGTGCTTCCTCCTGGTCTCCCATGCAGGTGCAGGGCCCAAGCACTTGGGCCATCCTCCACTGCCCTCTCGGGCCACAGCAGAGAGCTGGACTGGAAGAGGAGCAACTGGGACTAGAACCTGGTGCCCCAACTGGGACTATAAGCCGGGGTGCCGGCGCTACAGGCGGAGGATTAGCCAAGTGAGCCGCGGCGCCAGCCACATATTTTCAATTGGAGATACATCCACTGGCTACCAAGTCTCTGCCAGTGGAACCTAAAGATCCATGAAATTTCCTGTCATCAGTTTATAGATTACAGGTTAGAGATTTACAGGATGTATAGCTCTACCTGGTAATTTGTTTACAATCAGGTCATGGGATATGACTTCATAGTCTGTAAATCAAAGAAAAGCAAATCTGAAATTATCACTTAACCTAGGTAGAAAATCTATTGGCTTGGGTTTTCATGGTTTTTTGAATTCTTTGTCAAACATCACTTTTTTTTTTTTTTAAGACTTTATTCATTTATTTGAAAGGCAGAGTTACAGAGAGAGAGAGAGATCTTCCATCCTCTGGTTCACTCCTCAAATGGCTGCAACAGCCAGAGCTGGGCCTATCTGAAACCAGGAGCTTCACTGGGTCTCCCACATAGGTGGCAGGGGCCCAAGACCTTCAGGCCATCTTCCACTACTTTCCCAGGCCCGTTAGCAGAGAACTGGATCAGGAATGGTATAGCCGGGACTCAAACTGGTGCCCGTATGGGATGCCGGCACTGCAGGCGATGGCTCAGTGCGCTGAGCCAGAGTGCCAGTCCCAAGCATAACTCTTGAATGGGTGGGCAAAAGGGTGTATGATCCTAGGCTGCATTTTGGGGCCAGTCTGAACTAAGTCTCCACTCTCTGGACTAAACCTAACTGATGGGCACTGTTACCCTTGTCAGTACATATGCATCTGTGTCTTCTTTCTCATACCACCTCTTTCCCTTTGCATGGCATCCAAATGTCAGTGAATGACTTTGGCTCTGATTGTATTATTAGGTATCAGGCACCTGTCCCTTGGAGAAAATGAGCAGCCAGAGTATAGTGAAGCCTTTCAAGCAAGTTCTGAGGCATCTGTGGTCATCGAGAAGTCTTACAGTGTAAGTTATATGGCCTGGAGAGCCAAGTTGAGCCTAAGGATTGAATAAAATAAAACTAAGTTGTTAGATATTATGATACCAAGATAATATCTATACTAGTTTTTTTTGGTTGGAGTATGTGCCCTTGGGTCACTGTTAGGAATAAAGTAGTTTTTTCCTCTCTGCTTGATACTTTTTGAGTCAGTTCAACTCATTTTGTGTGTGTATCTTTGGGAAAAACACAGACTAGTGTCAGGTTCAGCTCTGGGCTACCCTTCTAGTTGGGTAGACAAGACCAAGCTCATGGCCCAGAGGTGACTAAAGTCAGATTGGCATAGAAAAGGCAAGGCTAGGATCGTGATGAGAGTGCCTTCACTTGCAAGATCCCCTAATTCAGCTCTCAACTCAGTGGAGGGCATGCTTTTGTGCCAGATGAATGTGCCTCAGTGGGATCCATGGGGCCAATCATTCACTAGCGTTTGCTGGGCAGTTAGCTTTGCTTCAGGGATTTAACATGCTCTGAGCCATAGTCCAGCCAGAAAAAAGAACCCACAATAATTAAAGATTATAAACAGCAGTGGAGAATGACACACTATATAACTACTATAGAGAAAAAATGTAAGGTCTTTCAAAGAACACAGTATCACATTTAGACATCGCATACAAACCACTCAGGGGACTATTCATTCTTCCTCTCTTGAGGGCTAGAACAACATTAAGCAGACTGGCTTGACTGGAGAAGCAGGGCCAGCAGGGCAGTGGGGAAGGTATGGGGGAAGCCAGGCTGGTTTGAGAAATTTCAGTTTGAAATGAGAGGTAAAAGGGAACAGCTGTTCAGTCACAGGGAGGGGTAGTGTCTGGCAAAAGCAGCATCCAAAAAAATAAGCCACAAAATCCCCACAAAGGGATGACCGAAGGTGGACAGAAGAACCAGTTGTCTGGTCATATGGTAGTCAGGGCCTGAACATGGTAAAATAAGCAGAAAAAAGGGGTGGGCAGAGATGCTGAAGAAATAACCGTTAACTTTTAATGTTCGATTTTTACTTTTATTTTTGATTACATTAATGTTTTATTTATTTATTTATTTATGACAGGCAGAGTTAGAGAGAGACAGAGAGAAAGGTCTTCCTTTTGCCGTTGGTTCACCCTCCAATGGCCACTGTGGCCAGCGCACCACGCTGATCCGATGGCAGGAGCCAGGTGCTTCTCCTGGTCTCCCATGGGGTGCAGGGCCCAAGCACTTGGGCCATCCTCCACTGCACTCCCTGGCCACAGCAGAGAGCTGGCCTTGAAGAGGGGCAACCGGGACAGAATCCGGCGCCCCGACGGGACTAGAACCCGGTGTGCTGGCGCCACAAGGCGGAGGATTAGCCTAGTGAGCCGCGGCGCCGGCTTTAACTGTTACTTTTTAATGTTTGATTTTTACTTTTATTTTTGATTACATTAATGTTTTATTTATTTATTTGTTTATTTGTTTATTTATTTATTTATGACAGGCAGAGTTAGAGACAGAGGGAAAGGTCTTCCTTCCATTGGTTCACCCCCAAAATGGCCATTATGGTCCGAAGCCAGGAGCCAGGTGCCTCCTCCTGGTCCCCCATGTGGGTGTAGGGCCCAAGGACTTGGGCCATCCTCCACTGCCTTCCTGGGCCAAAGCAAAGAGCTGGATTGGAAGAGGAGCAACTGGGACAGAATCCAGCGCCCCAACCGGGACTAGAATCCGGGGTGCCGGCACTGCAGGCGGAGGATCAGCCTAGTGAGCTGCGGTGCTGGCCAACATTACTGTTTTAAAAATCATGCTATGTCGCTCCCCCTCTTCGTGGAGGAACGACATAGGACCCTGCGTTGTTCTTTCGTCTGCTCGGCCCTCCCTGGGTTTGCTGCTGGTTCTTCCCGGGTTGGCTACCGTCCCTCCACCTCCGTGGAGGGGCGGGCCCCCTGCCACTTTCCCCACTTCCGCAGGGGAGCGGCACACCGCCGGCCGGCTCTCTCGGGGGCTGAACAGGTGTTCCTTCAGATAGATGTTCCTGGTGCATGTCGTCTCCTCCTTTATAGTCCTCTTCCGCCAATCCCAACTCGGCTGCCCACACGCCGAGTATGCTGCTCTCCTCCAATCAGGAGCAGGATCAGCTCCTGGAGGTCATCACTCAAGTTGGCAAGAGGCAGCTGCGTAGAAGCTGTTTTCTCCTCTCCCAGCGCCATATTGTGGGAGAGCAGATGCATAGAATAAGTCTTAATTCCAGTAACTTAGTCTAGTCCGAGTTGCTCCCAGTTGCTCCCCACAATGCTATTTCGGTGCCAGCGCCATGGCTCACTAGGCTAATCCTCCATCTTGCGGCACCGGCACACCGGGTTCTAGTCCCGGTCAGGGCGCCAGATTCTGTCCCGGTTGCCCCTCCTCCAGGCCAGCTCTCTGCTGTGGCCAGGAAGTGCAGTGGAGGATGGCCCAAGTACTTGGCCCAGCCATGGCGGCCATTGGAGGGTGAACCAACTGCAAAGGAAGACCTTTCTCTCTGTCTCTCTCTCACTGTCTACTCTGCCTGTCAAAAAAAAAAAAAAAAAAAAAATCATGCTATTTCACTTGTCTGTAAGATGTAACACCTGAGGGACTCCCAAATTCTGAGTAACTTAAGCCTCCTATGTGTAGGATGATGTCAGTACATGGGCTGTGTGTGTACCCTTTGAGGGATCAGGGTGTTCAAATTCAGTTTCCAGCTTGAGTTGTCTAGGACCTTTCTTCTCACTTGGAATTCTAGAGCAGGAAGATCCTCTAATTCATACCCATCCTGCAGATAAGGATGCTGAGACTCAGAACTGTCATTCTGCACATTTCCTATGGCAGTTCACAGTTGCCCCACACCACTTGGAAGGCAGGCAGAGGCACGTGTGTTAACAGGCAGGAGGAGTTAGCTCAGAGTAGCTCACTGTAGTTTTGGATAAACCTGTTATCGCCACCGAATCCAGATGCAAAAGGATTTGTTTACAACTAATAGCAACTTAAAAGTGATCTCATTATTAATAGGATCGGTCTGTGCAATCATCTTGCTCACCAGAGACTTCTGAGGACATAACAGATGAATTTTTAACTCCAGACCATGAATATTTTTACTCCTCAACTGTTCGAGAAAACTTAGATCTAGAGGTAAAAATTAGAATCAGCGTAAGTTACATTTTCAGCTTTCTTTATTGCCCTATTCTTTTTAAATTATTTTTATTGAGAAAAATAGGTAGCATAGTTTCTGCTAAAATCATGGTTCCTGCATTTGTACATAAATTTGTAATTTTTAAAAAGACTTTTGTTCATGCTTCCAAATTTAAACGTCCTTCCTGTGGGAATAGAAGAGAGCTATCATTTCTCTCTGTGTCGAAGGACTGGTTTTGTGCCTGCCAAGCTTTAGTGGTGGGAGAGCTAGGATTAGAGGGTTCAGTAACAAACACAAGACTGTCCAGCACACCAGATTTTCTCAGGACTCTGCTAACCTTTGCAAGATCAAGAGTGCTGTCATCTCTAGAATGAAATACATCGGATTCTCTTATTTACTTATATAATATCTACCATACTTCCCCTCTAACCTGCCATTTTTTGGGACTTTTCACCAATATGAAAGGTGAGATAGATGAAAGGAAGGATTATGCATGTCAGTTGCAGATGATACTTGGTGCATTAAAAGCATAATTTCCATTTGGTTGTGGTTCTGAAAATTCAGTGACATCAATTTTACATTGTTAACAATCCTTTAAATATTCTGCATTTTTTTCTTTGAGTAGACTAGGATATTAAGAAATCGTTAATAAAATAAACACACACACACACATACATACACACACTGAGTGGGCCTTTTATATCCATAGGTTCTACCAAACACAGATGGAAAATATTCAGGAAAAAATTATGTCCGTCCTGAACCTACACAGGCATTTTTTCTTGTTATTATTTGCTAAACACTGCAGTAGGACAACTGTTTACATAACATTTACATGTATTAAATATTGTAAGTAATCTGAAGATGATTTAAAATATGCAAGAGAATGTATGTTATATGCAAATGCGATACTGTTTTATTTAATGGACTTGAATTTCCGCAGATTTTGGTATCCCTGGGGTACTTCCTTGAAACCAGTTCTTGAGGACTATATATGAAGGATAACTCAGAGAAAACTGCACAGAGTTTAAGTGTGTGAACTTTCACAAACCGAACACACTATATATACCCAGCACCCAGATCAAGAAGCATAACATTAACAGTCCCCCAAAAGACTCTCTTGTGCTCCCTTGCAGTTACTGTATCCCCCTAAAAAGAACCATTGTTCTGCCCTCTCATCTCATAGAGTAGTTGCGCAAATGGGGTCATTTTTTTCAAACTTCTTCAGCTCATCTGATATAGCTCCCAAGAATCAAGCCATCTTTGTTGGCAGAGAATAGTAATATAAAGAGGGGAAAAGTCACATAATTCCTCCTCACAATGGGATGAAGGGAGGGCTGATTGAGGGGAATGAAGAGCACAAATAGGTACTTAATATCTGTGAAACAAGTTTGTTCTTTTTCTATGAAAGATGTGGGGTCCTTATAAAGATTCTCAAGGTTTAAGAACATCAAGAAATTCTCTTGATCTTTGGCTGATATGTCTGCCTCCAGTAAACGTTTCCTTGCTCTTCTTTCTTTTGTAGACTTCAAGTCCCATAGAAGACTTTGAAGGAGTACAAGGAACATTGGCTCAACCTCAAGTCTCTGGTAAGCCCATAGACTGATTCCGTTGAGAAGCACTTAGTTTTTTAATGTTCTGTTGAAGCACAGATGTTTAGAGCTAGAAGGGTGCTTAGAGATCAGCATGTCTAGGCGTGTTGTTTTACAGATCAGAAAGCTGAGGCTCAGTGAGATTTCCTGTTAACATGAATCTCCTGGGGCAGGTGTGTGGCACAGTATATAAGCCGCTCTCGGGACACCTGCATCCCATGTCAGGAGTGTTGGTTCCCATCATGGATGCTCTGTTTCCAATCTGGCTTCCTTCATAAATAAGAGTGTCAATTGTTAAATCAACAATGGGAGTCACTGTGCACTTACTCCCCATGTAGGATCTCTGTCCTTAAAGTGTTGTACTACATGAATTAATGGTAAAACTAGTACTCAAACAGTACTCTAGACTTTGTGTATCTGTGTGGGTGCAAACTGTTGAAATCTTTACTCAGTATATACTAAGTTGATCCTCTATATATAAAGGTAATTGAAAATGAATCTTGATGAAGAATGGGATGGGAGAGGGAGTGGGAGATGGGATGGTTGTGGGTAGGAGGGAGGTTATGGGGGAAAAGCCGCTATAATCCAAAAGTTGTACTTTCAAAATTTATATTTATTAAATAAAAGTTTTAAAAAAATCTGCTTCCTGCTAATGTGCCTGGGGAATAACAGATGATGGCTCAAGTACTTGAGTTCCTGCTACCCACATGGGAGACCCAGATGGAGCTCCTGGCTTCTGGCTTCAGCCTGACTCAGTCCTGGCTGTTGTGGCCATTTTGGGAGTGAACCAGTAGATGGAAGATATCACTCTGTCTGTCTGTCTCTGTCACTGTGCCTTTTAAATGAAGAAGTATCTTTAAAAAAAAAAAAAAAATGAATCCTCTACTCCTCACTGCCTCATGACATCCACATATTTTATTACTTATATTGCCTTTTGCATTTTTATAGCATACATTGTAATAGTTGCTTTTTTTTTTTAATCTGTTGTCTTTCACTAGATTTTAGGCTCCTTGGTGGCACATTGCAGGTGCACTATCATTTTCTGATCTGATTTGAGGGATTTGTCCAAGTCATTAAACTATTTATTTATTTTTATTTTTAGTTATTTTTTAAACCCCCCCTTTTTTTTTTGACAGGCATAGTGGACAGTGAGAGAGAGAGACAGAGAGAAAGGTCTTCCTTTTGCCGTTGGTTCACCCTCCAATGGCCGCCACGGCTGGCGTGTTGCGGCCGGTGCACCGCGCTGATCCGAAGGCAGGAGCCAGGTGCTTCTCCTGGTCTCCCATGGGGTGCAGGGCCCAAGCACTTGGGCCATCCTCCACTGTACTCCCGGGCCACAGCAGAGAGCTGGCCTTGAAGAGGGGCGACCGGGACAGAATCCGGCGCCCCGACCGGGACTGGAACCTGGTGTGCCGGCACCGCAAGGTGGAGGATTAGCCTAGTGAGCCGCGGCGCCAGCCTAAACCTTATTTTTAATTAGCAAACAATAATTAATGTTTGTGGGGTACAAAGTGCTAACAGTTTTTTTTTTTTTTAATATATTTATTTGAAGGGCAGAGTTACAGAGAAAGAGGGAGATACAGAGAGAGATTTCCACTCACTGGTCCATTCTCCAAATGGCCACAAGGGCCCTGGGCCATACTGAATCCAGGAACCTAGAACTCCATCTAGGTCTCCCTAGATGGCAGAGACCCAAGCACTTGGACCATCTTCCGCTAGGTTATCAGAGAGCTGGATCAGTACCAGAGCAGCCGGGATTTGAGCCGGTACTCCAGTATGGGATGCCAGGGTCAGGCAGTGGCTTAACCTGCTGTACCACAACACATGCTCCACAGCTAGCAAAAACTAGAAGTAGGTTTTCAGAAGGCCTAGGTTCACCATCATTCTCCTTTTCTTAGTATCATCAGCAAAGAGTTCATAACAGCTAGCAGTTCAGATTAAAATTTAGCAACCACCCTTGGGGGCCTTAGGTTCTCTATAACTTACCAAGAGTTTTCCAGTATGTAAGAAAGGAACCTTGCATCAGCAGCCAGTGATGTGGCACAAGGCAAGATATGTTTGGTCTGTCATAGACACTTTAAAAAATGTTACTTTTGCTTGTTTAAGGTATGCAAGAATCTCTTTGTGAATGACAGCTGCCTATGGTCATGTTTCAATACAGAACCCAGACAAGGGAGGAGGTCATGGACTTACTGCCTTGCCCCCACTGCACATTCTGGCTTTCACATCTAACCTGATTTGGGCCCCTGCCAGAGTGAGGAGCATTTTAAGATAACAGCTTTTAGGCCGGCGCCGCGGCTCACTAGGCTAATCCTCCGCCTTGCGGCGCCAGCACACTGGGTTCTAATTCCAGTTGGGGCGCCGGATTCTGTCCCGGTTGCCCCTCTTCCAGGCCAGCTCTCTGCTGTGGCCAGGGAGTGCAGTGGAGGATGGCCCAAGTCCTTGGGCCCTGCACCTGCATGGGAGACCAGGATAAGTACCTGGCTCCTGCCATCGGATCAGCGTGGTGTGGCCATTGGAGGGTGAACCAACGGCAAAAGGAAGACCTTTCTCTGTCTCTCTCTCTCACTGTCCACTCTGCCTGTCAAAAAAAAAAAAAAAAAACAGCTTTTAGGTAAACAGTTAAATTCTCAGGATAGTATGTATTAAAAGTCTCAAGAGCCTTGCACCACCCACCTCTTCCTGAGAAGCCCCTGCCTATGACCACTTTCTGTGGGTCTGGCCTGTATATGACCATTTCACTTGTGTTTGAGGAGGGTTGAGAGGGATGGAAAAGGTATAGGGTGGATAGTTCAGAAAACTAGGGCCAGTTCAATACAAATAGCTGAAGTAACATGAAAAAGCCCTTGACTTCTCTTCCATTTCCTTCTTTTACCTCTTCTCTGCCCCCTATTTTCCACTTAGGTCTCTGATGAGTATCTCCTTGCATAGCAGGGGATGTAGTAGGGTTAAGGTGGATTCAAGTCCCATTCTGCTACTGTCTTTCTCCAGACAAGTCACTTCCCTGCAGTGCCCCATTTTCCCCTAGCATAAAATAAAGGATAGGATCAGATTCTCAAATCTCTAAAGTTCTCTCAGCTTTAAATTGTACTTACTAGGAACTACTTGATGCTTTTTAGGAGTTCGTTTTAATAGGGTCACCAGAAGAGTTACGCTGACATCTCCCCACTGGTGGGACATCAGAGCTCCTTGGTATCTGCTGAAGGTGGCACTGTTCTGGTGGGCCTTCCTAGTGCCTACCAGACCATCTGGACTGAAGGAATCCATGGGGGAGGAGTCATGAGCACTTGGAAACAGGCAAAGCTGCTCTGTCTGTTCTTCATTATAAACTAGGACAGTGCAGTGGTGAGAAGGAAAGGAGATACTGGCCCTGTCTCCTTAGTACTCAAGACCCCAGTTCGCCTCCACTCTTTAGGTATTTGATGGCCAAGAGGCACAGTTAGCGTTCTAGGAGTGTCCAAGCTAATGGTCTTTTCTATTTGAAATCTTCAATGAACAAATTCTTGGTCACAACGCCCCCTGCTGTCTGTTGACAGGAATTGGGTCAGCCTGCTTTCTTGAGAAGACAAAACGTTTGTGTCAGAACTGACTATATGGTTTTGTGGAAAGACCAGTAAATGGCCTGATTGTATTCTGTGTATCAGAATAAGGTTCTCCTCTCTGAGCAAGGGAAATAAACTTTCAGAGCAAAATCTATTTCTATACCACTCAAACCAAACCCAATTAGGGAAGCACTTTGTTTACCTAAATTATTTCTCATTCTGGACCAGACCAAGAGAAATCCTAGAGAATGAAAATAATAATCTGAGTTAACAAAAATTTAAGCAAAAAATTTTTTAAAAATTTATTCTTTCAGGTGAAGAAAAGTTCCACCTTGGAAAGAATGCTGAGACTTTGACGAGGTCTCAATTCCAGCCTATACAAAGGTATGGTCTATTAGTGTCTTACTAATAGTTACAGGCTCATAGAAGTATGTTCAATGGTGATAATTTACCCCATCTTATATAATGCTTGTCTTTTTTTAAGTGAGGAAAGAAGACTATTTTATTGTATCAGGGGTATAATTCAGTGAAGACAACATTTATAGATATCTATACTATGGCATCCCTACATTTATTATACTATATGTATATTAACTTACACATATGAGTGAAAAATGTGGTATTTTGTCCTTTTGTGCCTGGGTTATTTCACTTAGCATAATGATCTGCAATTCTATCCATTTTGTTGCAGATGTCAGGATTTCATACTTTTTTTATGGCTGAGTAATATCCATTGTGTATGTACACCACATTTTATTTATCCATTCATCCAGTGATGGACATGTGATTGGCTCCTTTTCTTTGCTATTGTGAATTGGGCTGTAATAAACATAGGAGTAAAGGTATCTTTTTTCATATGCTGCCTTCATTTCCTTTGGATATATTCTCAAAAGTAGGATGGCTAGGCCGGTGCCGCAGCTCAACAGGCTAATCCTCCGCCTTGTGGCGCCGGCACACCGGGTTCTAGTCCCGGTCGGGATGCCGGATTCTGTCCCGGTCGCCCCTCTTCAAGGCCAGCTCTCTGCTGTGGCCCGGGAGTGCAGTGGAGGATGGCCCAAGTGCTTGGGCCCTGCACCCCATGGGAGACCAGGAGAAGCACCTGGCTCCTGCCTTCGGATCAGTGCAGTGCACCGGCTGCAGTGCGCCGGCCGCGACGGCCATTGGAGGGTGAACCAACGGCAAAAGGAAGACCTTTCTCTCTGTCTCTCTCTCTCTTTCACTGTCCACTCTGCCTGTCGAAAAAAAAAAGTAGGATGGCTGGGTCATATGGTAGATCTATTTTTAGTTTTTTGAGGAATTTCCATACTGCTTTCCATAATGGCTGTACTAATTTGCATTCCTACCAACAGTATATAAAGGTTCTTTTTCTCCATCTCCTTGCCAGCATTTGTTATTTTTTGATTTTTTGATAATAGCCATTCTAACTAGAGTAAGATGAAACCTGATTCCCTGATAGCTAATGATACTGAGCATTTTTAAAATGTATTTGTTGGCCATTTGTATTTCTCCTTTTGAAAAATGTCTATTCAAATTCTTTGCCCATTTATTAACTGGATTGTTTGTTTTGTTGTTGAATTTCTTTTGTGCCATTATGTCCATATTCTGGATATTAATCCTTTATCAGATGCATGCTTGCAAATATTTTCCCTCATTCTGTTGGTTGTCTGCTAATTCTGTTGATCGTTTCCTTTGCTGTGAGGAAACTGCTTACTTTGATGTAATCTCATTTGTCTGTTTTTGCTTTTATTGCCTGTGCTTTTTTTCTAAGGCTATACAGCTAGTCAATAAGGGCAGACTAGATTGTGCAGTATAACAAACAGCCCCCAAATTTTAGTTGCTTAAAACAACAAAAATTTCTTTTTGAAAAAAAGATTTATGTGTTTATTTGAAAGAGTTACAGAGAGCAAGAGACTGACAGAGAGAGTAAGAGTTTCCATCTGCTGGTTCACTCCCCAAATGGCTGCAACAGCTGGAGCTGGGCCAATTCTGAAGCCAGGAACCAGGAGCTTCTTCCAGGTCTCCCACATGAGTGCAAGGGCACAAACACTTTTGCAGGCACATTATCAGGGAGCTGGATTGTAAGTGGAGCAGCTGAGACTTGAACCAGCACCTATATGGGATGCTGGTGCTTCAGGCAGTGACTTTACCTGCTATGCCACAGCTCCAGGCCCAAGAATAAAAATTTCTTGCTTATGCTCCATGTGCATGCTCATGAGTTGGCCAAGGATGTTCTGTGCTATATTAACATCTACCAGAGACCCAGGCTGAGGGAGGCGCCGTCTTTATGCTTCCTTGATTGCTAAGTCAGGAAAAATGGAACATGGTGAATTATACATTCCCTTTTAAAAACTTCTGCCCACAAATGACTCATCACTTTCCTTCAAATTTCATTGGTTAAAATAAGTCATAGGGCCATTTATGTAAATTAAAAGGGCCAAAAGTGCTATTCATTTATGTGCTTGGAAGGAGAAAAAACATTTTGGTGAATAAAACAAAGTTACAATGCAACCTAAAATCCATGCTGTTTCTTTTCTTTTCTTTTTTTAATATTTATTTATTTGAAAGGCGGATTTACAGAGAGGCAGAGAAGGAGAAAGTCTTCCCTCTGCTGATTCACTCCCTAAATGGTCACAATGGCCAGAACTGGGCTGAACTGAAACCAGGAGGCAAGAGCTTCTTCCGGATTCAGGGGCCCAAGGACTTGGGCCATCTTCTACTGCTTTCCCAGGCCATAGCAGAGGGCTGGATCAGAAGTGGAGCAGCTGGACTCCAACTGGCGCCCATATGAGATGTCAACACGCAGGTGGCGGCTTTATCTGGCCTCCATGCTGTTACTTTTATACTGTTTGTCGCTCCCCCTCTTCGTGGAGGAACGACACTAAACCCTGCCAAGGCTTCATATCCGAGTCACGGCACCATTATGTCGCTCCCCCTCTTCATGGAGGAACGACACAGGACCCTGCGCTGTTCTTTCGTCTGCTCGGCCCTCCCCGGGTTTGCTGCTGGTTCTTCCCGGGTTGGCTACTATCCCTTCCACCTTCGTGGAAGGGCAGTTCCCCCTGGCCACATTCCCCACTTCCGCAGGGGAGCGGCACACCGCCGGCCGGCTCTCTGGGGGCTGCACAGGTGTTCCCCTTAGGTGTTCCCCTTAGATGTTCCCCTTAGATGTTCCCGGTGAATGCCGTCTCTCTCCTCCTTTATAGTCCTCCTCCGCCAATCCTAACTCGGCTGCCCACACGCCGAGTACGCTGCTCTCCAATCAGGAGCAAGTCCTACAGTTTATTGGTTGAACTGGAGGCAGCTGTGCGGAAGCTGTTTACTTCTCTCCCAGCGCCATATTGTGGGAGAGCAGATGCATAGAATAAGTCTTAATTCCAGTAACCTAGTCTAGTCCGGATTGCTCCCCACAGATCCCCCTTTCTTTTTATTTTTGGTGTTGATACGCGCCTGTCTTCGGTGCCCCGTGGCACACACTCTGCTCTGCTTGCTAGAGTTGCCACAGGTTCTTACAAGTCCTATCAATCAGGCAAACCGAATCCGGGTCCTCTCTTCGCCATGTTGTGAGGAGGTTTTTAGGCGCTGATGCGTGCCTGTATTCGGTGCCCTGCAGCGCATGCTCTGCTCTGCCCGCAGGGGCTTACAAGCCCTAACAATCAGGCAAACCGAATCCAAGCCTTCTCATTGCCGTATTGTGGGGGAGACTTATTAGTGTTGGTTCGTGCCTATCTTCGGTGACCTGCAGCTCATACTCTGGTCGAGCTGCTTGCTGGTGCTTACCGCCTTAATCAGGCAGACCGAATCCAAGCCTCCTAATTGCTGTGTTGTGGGGAGGCCTTACTGATGTTAATTCGTGCCTGTCTTCGGTGACCTGCGGCGCATGAGCTGCTAGCCGCCCGCAGGTGCTCATCGCCTCACTTAATCAGGCAGACCGAATCCAAGCTTTCTCATTGCCATGTTGAGGGGAGGCCTTTCTATTTCTCTATTTCTCTATCTCCGGGCATTCCTATTTCCCCCATTTTACTTCTATCTTCCAGCATTCCTATTTCTCTCATTTTACTTCTGAACTTCTGTTTCTCTTATCCCCGCGGCCTCCCGGTGCCTCGCCCTGCCGGCAGCTTCACGGCTCCGCGCGGCTTCCCGGCGCCTCGCCCCGCCGGCGGGCTCCGCCCCGAGGCTGCTTCTCGGCGCCTCGCCGGCTCTGAGCCGCTTCAGCCCGCACCTCTCTCATCTGCGCGGCTCGGCTTTGCGCGCACACTCCGCGGTCTCTCACTAGCCCTTTCGCGTCTGAACCACGGCCTCGCGCCAGCCCCGCGTTCCCTATTTATTCACGCCCCGTGCTCTCTCTGCACGCGGCGGCTTCCGCGGGTCACACAGCGTAGCTTGCGTCTCCGCCACTAGCATTCAATCTAAGTTCCCCGGGCTAACCTGGCGAATTCAACCCAGCTCACGTTTCTGCGCCTTTCGGTCTGGCTTCCCGTCCTTTGCTCCTCAGGCTAATCTGACGGATTCCAACCTAGCTCATACGTCTTTGCTTCTGGTTTCAACTCTTCGCCCCCTATTCCCGGGCTAACTTGAGAATCCCAAAGTGGCTTTCGTTTCCGCCTTGGCCTGCCCCCCGCGGCTTCAATTTCCCTAACATTTTTCTCTACCCGGTATGTTTCCCCAAGCTTTCCTCCAACAATACTCCTCCCTCATTTCTCCTGGCCTCTCCCCACAGTCCGCATCCGAGTCTGTTTGTTCTAGCTTTCACTTTCGCTTTCGACCTTAGAGATTTCTCCCAGCTTCCCCCCCGTAGTCCGTATCTGAGTCTATGCCTAGGCTTTCAATAGCTTCTTCCGGCACCTTTTTCGTCCGGCTTTTCCCTAGGCTGTTTGCTAGTCTCTGTCTCTGGTATTTTCCCTAGGCTGTTTGCTAGTCTCTCTCTCCGATATTTTCCCAGTTCTTCCCGTTTCTTCCCTCCTAAGTTTGCTATCCGTCCTAGGTTTCCTGTCCGAGCTAGGTTTCCTATCCGAGTCATTTCTTCCCTCCTAAGTTTCCTATCCGAGTCACGGCACCATTATGTCGCTCCCCCTCTTCGTGGAGGAACGACACTAAACCCTGCCAAGGCTTCATATCCGAGTCACGGCACCATTATGTCGCTCCCCCTCTTCATGGAGGAACGACACAGGACCCTGCGCTGTTCTTTCGTCTGCTCGGCCCTCCCCGGGTTTGCTGCTGGTTCTTCCCGGGTTGGCTACTATCCCTTCCACCTCCGTGGAAGGGCAGTTCCCCCTGGCCACATTCCCCACTTCCGCAGGGGAGCGGCACACCGCCGGCCGGCTCTCTGGGGGCTGCACAGGTGTTCCCCTTAGGTGTTCCCCTTAGATGTTCCCCTTAGATGTTCCCGGTGAATGCCGTCTCTCTCCTCCTTTATAGTCCTCCTCCGCCAATCCTAACTCGGCTGCCCACACGCCGAGTACGCTGCTCTCCAATCAGGAGCAAGTCCTACAGTTTATTGGTTGAACTGGAGGCAGCTGTGCGGAAGCTGTTTACTTCTCTCCCAGCGCCATATTGTGGGAGAGCAGATGCATAGAATAAGTCTTAATTCCAGTAACCTAGTCTAGTCCGGATTGCTCCCCACACTGTTGGCCTTATAGGACTATTGCTAGTATTAAAAATGTGCAAACAGGGGCAGGCATTTGGCCTATAAGTTAAGATGCAGCTTGGGACACCAGAATCCCATATCATAGAGCCTGGTTTCGAGTTCCAGCTCTGTTCCCAGTTCTAACTTCCTGCTAATGTGCATCCTGGGAGGCAGTGATGACAGCTCCAATAGTTGAATCCCTGCCACCCATGTGGTAGATCTGGGTTGAATTCCAGCTTCCGGCTTCCTCCCAGTTCATCCATCACTGTTGTGGGCATTTTGGGGTAAACCAGTAGATGAGAGATTTCTTTTTCTTTCTGCTTCTCAAATAAATAAAAATGAAAAAATATGGGGGCAGCACTGTGGCATAGCAAGTAAAGCCGCCGCCTCCAGTGCCAGCATCCCATATGGGCTCCAGTTCAAGTCCTGGCTGCTCCCTTCTGATCCAGCTCTCTGCTATGGACTGGAAAAGAAGTAGAAGATGGCCTAAGTCCTTGGACCCTTGCACCTGCATGGGAGACTCTACCAAAGAGTTGCTCCTGGCTCCTGGCTTTGGATTGGCGCAGCTCCGGCCATTGCAGCCAATTGGGGAGTGAACCAGTGGATGGAAGACCTCTGTCTCTCTGTCTCTCTCTCTCTCTCTCTCTCTCTCTGCCTCTCCTTCTCTCTCTGTAACTCTGATTTTCAAATAAATTAATAAGTCTCAAAAAAATGGGAGCTGGTATCGTGACACAGTGGGTTAAGCTGCCTTTAAACAACATCAGCATCCCATATCTGAGTGCCAGTTCAAGTCCCAGTTGCTCTGCTTCCAATCCTGCTTTCTGCTAACATGCCTACGAAGGCAGCAGAAGATGGCCCAAGTGTTTGTGCCCCTGTCTGCCATGTGGGAGACCAAGATGGAGTTCCTGGCTCCTGTACTTAGTATGGCCCAGCCCTGGTTTTGTGACCATTTAGAGTTATCCAGCAGATGGAAGATTCTTGTCTGTCTGTCTGTCTATCTATCTATCTATCTATCCCTCCTTCCTACCCTCCCTGCCCTTGTCATGTTGCCTTTCAAATAATTTTCAAAACATATGCAAACATTTTTAGCATGAAGGATTTGGGATGGGTCTGGCTTTTAGTTAGTTTGATGAGTATTGAAATTGAGTCTTAGGAGGGCACCGTGGCTCACTAGGCTAATCCTCCGCCTGCATGCCGGCACCCCAGGTTCTAGTCCTGATTGCTCCCCTTCCAGTCCAGCTCTCTGCTCTGGCCCAGGAAGGCAGTGGAGGATGGCCCAAATGCTTGGGCCCTGCACCTGCATGGGAGATCAGGAGGAAGCACCTGGCTCCTGGCTTCGGATCGGTGCAGTGTGCTGGCCGTAGCGGCCATTTTGGGGGGGGGGTGAGCCAATGGAAGGAAGACCTTTCTCTCTGTCTGTCTCTCTCACTAACTCTGCCTGTCAAAAAAAAAAAAAAAAAGAAAGAAAGAAAGAGAAAGAAAGAAAGAAAAGTTGAGTCGTAAATATAGATTAAAGTAGAAACAGGTCCAGTTTATCTTATGGTCTCTCCTGGAACTCTACACCAGGAAGCTGTCTCGCTGTGGTAAGAGAACCTGTGGCTATGCCCCCTTGCTGCAACCTAGAAGTTTCAGCAAAGTGATGCACTCTACTGATTTTCTTAGGAACTGTCATATGGAATCATAGGCTTTTTTGAGAGCTGGGCTGATCCTTAGAGAGTATTTATTCAATCATTGGAAAGGAAATGAGGCTCAGACATGCCAACAAACTTGGGTCTAGTTAGTAGCAGAGCCAGAACCACACCCCACACTTTGCACTTCTGAGCTTAGTAGTTTTTCTGTTACTTCTCACTCTAGACTAATAAAGTGGTGTCTTTGCACTGAGTTCGTGCACTCTGCTGAGGGGATTTATATGATTTTCCTGCTTTCTCTTTTACAGTACTGAAGGTGAACAAGAGCAAGCATTAAAGAAGCCACCAAAAGAACTGAAGGATAAAGACATGTATGGCTACCAAAGAGTTGCCTAAGAGTGCTGTGTAAAGTCTTGGCTTTCAGGAAAAGTATTTCCTTGTTTGTGAGGATCAATATTCTTTCCATTGTTTGTATAGACTTAATATGAGTGGTTTTCTTCTTTCACTAAAATGTTGTTACTAAATTAGTGATGAAATCTATTCTTGATAACATCTTACAACCAAGGAAATACAATGATAATAATGTTGTACTTGAGGAATATTAAATCTGTTTTCTACTGAAATAGTTTATTTTTAGCTGATGGACTATATCTAATGTTAGTATTATTTTATCAAGGATATACTTTCAAAGTTTCTGCTAGGAATATATTATTCAGAGGGGCAGGCATTTGGCACAGCAGTACAGATAGATACCTGCATCTCATATCAGAATGCCTGTGTTTGGGTCCCAGCTGTGCTTCCAGTTCAAGCCTCCTGCTAATGCACACTCTGGGAGGTAGCAGGTGATGGTCAAGTACTGTGTCCTTACCACCCATCTGAGAGAACTTGATTGAGTGATGTGCTACTTTGTCCTGGCCCAGTCCTGGCTGTTATGGGCATTTGGGGAGAGTACCAGCAGGTGGAAGATCTCTGTCTGTCTCTGCCTTTCAAATAAAAGGAAAATAAATAAATAAAACATGAAAAGCAAAAATAGATTTATATCATTAGGTTTTTCTTACTATCTCTTAATTACTGTGTGCTCTGAATTGTTCAGCTCGCTGATAGACATTCAGGACCTGTCTAGTATCACCTATGAGCAAGATGGCTCTTTTAAGGAAGTCTCAAGCAAGACACCCAAAGTAACCCATGCACCTACTAGTGTCAGCACTCCACTCAGCCCAGGTAATCACTCACTGGGAACAGCCTTTTAGGAGAGGAACTTCAAGGCTCTGGGAAGTAAGGCTGTGGGATCAGACCTAGTGGATATTTTCTCAACGCAGAGGTGTTTCCTTAGGACTGAAGCTGGAGGGGACAGTCCCATGAGGCCACATAGGGGTGGTGGTGGTTATTAAGCAGCTGTCAGGTTTTGGTTAGGATTAGAATGGCAGAGAAATGAAAATGTAAAGTCTACTGTGTACTCTAAGCACTACCAAACTCAGTGTAAATGCTGAATTCTCTAGAGTTTGCAACTTAAATAGTACCTTGTATTTAGACATATATGTGTATATATAAAAATATAGTATGTGTGTATATAAAGTGTGTATATATAGAAAGTTCTTGAATCTTATAACTATATGCAACCAGTATTAAATATTGTTTTAATGTCCTTATTTCCAATATTTTCTGTGCTTTAAATAATTTCCCTTTATTTTATTTTGATGGCCAAAAGACTGTTTAAAAACACCTTGAGGAGCTGAGCTGTGACTCAGACCAGCAATTATTTCAGTTATTAACAATTTGGAGAAGCCAGCATTGTGGTACAGTGGGTTAAGGATGCTTAGGATGCCTACATTCCATTTAGGAACTCCTGGCATTGAGTCCTGCCTCTGTTTCCAATCCAGCTTCTTGCTAATGTGCCTTAGGAGGCAGCAAATAATGGCCTGGTACTTGGGTCTCTGTCACCACATGGGAGACCTATGGATGGAGTTCCTGGCTCTGACTTTGGCCTTGCCCAGCCCCAGCTGTTGCAGGCATTTGAGGAGTGAAATAGTAAATGGAACTCTCTATCTGTGTGTGTGTGTGTGTGTGTGTGTCTGTCTGTCACTTTGCCTTTCAAGTAAATAAATCTTAAAAAAATAAGTTAGAAAATCCTAGTTAGGTATAGAATTTTGTGGGTTTTGTTTTTAAATGATATAAAAGATTCAGACACTAACTGCCTTCTTTTCTACAACAGGGTCAGCTTCTTCAGCTGCCAGTCAGTATAAAGACTGCCTTGAAGATATCACATTTCAGGTTAAAACAGAAGCTACTTGTTGCTGGAACAATCAAGAATCGATTCAAACTTTGTCTGGTAAATCTGCAACTGTCCGAGAGAGAGCAAGGAGTCTAGAATCTCTCTTTCCTTCCACTGAAACATCTTCCAGACTGACTGATGTGGTAAATTCATATACCAGTCCTGCCTTATATACTTAAGCAGCCAGCCCAGATGGCTCAGTGATCCAAAGAGCCAAGGTTTTTCCAAATCCATTAAAAAATCAAGAAATAAGCTGGATTCTCTCCAGGTGTTCTTGGGGGCTTCTCTTCTGAGTATATATCATAGGGGACTTCAGTTTTGTTTACTTCTTAATGTCTCTCCTGGCTACTACCTTACCAGCTTTGATTGAACTCCCGAATCAATAGCCTGGAGGGAAAAAAAATTGTGTGCCACATTCTTCCCTTCCTCTCCCATACCTCCTTCTATTATTTGTTATTGTTCTCCTCCTCTTCTTCTTCTCCTTCTTCTCCTTCTCTTCCTCCTCCTCCCCTCTTCCTTCTCCTTCTCCTCCTCTCCTTCTCTTTCTTTTCCTCTTCCTCTTCTGCTTCCTTCTCCTCTTCTTCATCTCTTTCTTCTTCTCCTTCTTCTCTTCCTCTTCCTGCTCCTCCCCTTCCCCTCCTCCCCTCCCTTCCCCCTTCTTCTCCTGCTTCTTCTTCTTCAGCTGCTACTACTTCTATTTCTACTTCTACTTCTGTTACTTCTATTTGCTTTGGCCCTCAACAGAAAATTGTTGACTCCTTTGGGCATTTCACAGAGGGTCTCACTCTGAAGTAGGAAATGTCAAGGAATTTTATGATTTCATTCAACAGACTGTTAATTGGGTGGGTTCTGAGTGCCAGACATCACATCGGGTATGTAGTCCTTGCTCCAAAGATGCTCCCTGCCTAGCGAGAAAGACCACCTGTTGTGGCACAGAGGTGAGTACTGAGTGCTCAGGAGGTAGAGAAGGTTGAGAAGGCTTCCAAGAGGAAGTGACAGGTGCATAAGTTTTAATGTGGAAGTGATCTAGCTGTGTCTGCCTCTTTACCTCAAGACACATGTCAGTTACCATGTTTATGTCTTTATTATAGAAAAGATTGCCTGCGTGTCCTGGGGCTTGTTCCTCCAGCATTGCTATTGCTAAGGCATCTGACATATCACTTCATGCCTTCCAGAAAAGGAGCCTGCCTAAAGGTACCCTGTGTTTAATATCAAAATAAAAGTTCATAGTAGTGAACTTAAATTGATACTCATCTATCTTTGATGCTACAAACAAAAATGCAGTTTCTCCCTTGATTGTAAAGCACAGTTATTGCAGAAAACTTGGAGAATAAAAAAGAACTTAAGATTAAAATGATCGGCTGGCGCCGCGGCTCACTAGGCTAATCCTCCGCCTAGCGGCGCCGGCACACCGGGTTCTAGTCACGGTCGGGGCACCGGATTCTGTCCCGGTTGCCCCTCTTCCAGGCCAGCCCTCTGCTGTGGCCAGGGAGTGCAGTGGAGGATGGCCCAGGTGCTTGGGCCCTGCACCCCATGGGAGACCAGGAAAAGCACCTGGCTCCTGGCTCCTGCCATCGGATCAGCGCGGTGTGGCCATTGGAGGGTGAACCAACGGCAAAAGGAAGACCTTTCTCTGTCTCTCTCTCTCACTGTCCACTCTGCCTGTCAAAAAAAAAAAAAAATTAAAAAAAAAAAAGATTAAAATGATCATTTAACCTTACTGTAATTCTTTAACCTCATGTATATTTTGGTACATATTTTTTCATATATTTAGAAATATATAAAAAATGTTAAGCAAATTGAAATAGTTTGTATTAATTCTGGAGGGCTTTTCTCCCTTGATGATATATTCCAAGGATTTTTGTCATTAAATTATTCATAAATATGTGTAATAGCTATATCATAGTCCAGTCTACATTTGAAGGTACTTTTTAAAAGTTTGTGGAAAAATGGAAATAAAAGATATTTACTTTGGTGCAAAAAAGATTGGAATCTATGTATAGTGTTTTCATAGTATGCATTTTCCATGCACTTTTTTAAACTTTTATTTAATAAATATAAATTTCCAAAGCACAACTTATGGATTACAATGGCTTTTTCCCCCCTATAACTTCCCTTCCACCCACAACCCTCCCCTCTCCCACTCCCTCTCCCATTCCATTCACATCAAGATTCATTTTCAAGTATCTTTATATACAGAAGATCAATTTAGCATATATTAAGTAAATATTTCAACAGTTTGCTCCCACACAGAAACACAAAGTATAAAATACTGTTTGAGTACTAGTTACAGCATTAATTCACAATGTACAACACATTAAAGACAGAGATCCTACATGAGGAATAAGTACATAGTAACTCCTGTTGTTGACTTAACAAATTGACACTCTTGTTTATGGCATCAGTAATCACCCTAGGCTCTTGTCTTGAGTTGCCAAGGCTATGGAAGCCTTTTGAGTTCGCTGACTCTGATCTTATTTAGACAAGGTCATAGTCAAAGTGGAAGTTCTTTCCTCCCTTCAGAGAAAGGTACCTCCTTCTTTGATGGCCCGTTCTTTTCACTGGGATTTCACTTGCAGAGATCTTTCATTTAGGTTTGTGTTTTGTTTTTGTTTTGTTTTGTTTTGTTTTTTGTTTGTTTGTTTGTTTTGCCAGAGTGTCTTGGCTTTCCATGCCTAAAATACTCTCTCCACGCACTTTTTGAAGACTTCTCAAATGTTGTTGCTTAACGATTCCCTAATGTTGAAGATTTATGTCATTCCCCAATTATTTATTCTTTTTTTAAAGATTTATTTATTTATTTGAAAGAGAGAAAGGAGAGGCAGAGAGAGAGAGAGAGAGAGAGGTCTTCCATCCTATGATTCACTCCCCAATTGGCCACAACGGCTGGAGCTGTGCCAATCTGAAGCCAGGAGCCAGGAGCTTCTTCCGGGTCTCCCACGCGGGTGCAGGGGCCCAAGGACTTGGGCAGTCTTCTACTGCTTTCCCAGGCCATAGCAGAGAGCTGGATCGGTAGTGGAGCAGCCAGGTCTTAAACCGCCACCCAGTTGGGTTGCCAACGCTTCAGGCCAGGGCGTTAACCCACTGCACCACAGCGCCAGCCCCCCAGTTACTTATTCTTTTACATAAATTTTTATCTGCACCTCTTATCCTTTCCTCAGGAGAGATTCTTAGATGACAGTTTGTGAATCAAAGGATCTGAGACTATTAACAGCTCTTGAGGCATATTGACTTTGTTATATTGATTTTAAGGGCTTATTTCATTGGAACAACTTAGGATATCCCTCAGGGGATAGGAATTTTGTGAATTATGTTGAGCAGTTTTGGTTCATATTATAATTGAGCAAGACCCTAGGTATGATTGTTCCTATACCCCCTGATCTGATGATCTGTGAGGAAAAGCCTCCTACTTGGCGTTTTGTTCATTTTAGCTGGTTCAGAAACTGTGTCTCTCTAGCAAGCAGCCCCTGGTCCAGATTGGCCCCCAGCCTCTTGTAAAACTTCATACCTGGCCGGCGCCGCGGCTCACTAGGCTAATCCTCCGCCTAGCGGCGCCAGCACACCAGGTTCTAGTCCCGGTCGGGGCGCCGGATTCTGTCCCGGTTGCCCCTCTTCCAGGCCAGCTCTCTGCTGTGGCCAGGGAGTGCAGTGGAGGATGGCCCAGGTGCTTGGGCCCTGCACCCCATGGGAGACCAGGAAAAGCACCTGGCTCCTGGCTCCTGCCATCGGATCAGCGCGGTGCGCCGGCCACAGCGCGCCGGCTGCGGCGACCATTGGAGGGTGAACCAACGGCAAAAGGAAGACCTTTCTCTCTGTCTCTCTCTCTCTCTCACTGTCCACTCTGCCTGTCAAAAAAATAAATAAATAAAAATAAATAAATTAAAAAAAAAAAAAACTTCATACCTTACCTATTCCAAATATTCTTAGGAAGGGAGGGGCACAGGCCAAGGAGTTCTGGGGTAAGGGCCGATGTAGGAAAAGGTTTAGGGTAACGAGGGAGTAAAGCCATTGACGTACTAGGAAGTCTCTACTTAGACCATTACGTAGGGGCCTTCTTCCCCCTCTTGATTTGTTTTCTCACAGAGAAATCCTTAGTCAAGTCTATATGGGAGCTTAGAAAAATCCATTTTGGGTTTAAGTCATGTTCTCCTTTTTCTTTTTGAAGAACTAATAGAAGCTATCTCCCAGCATCACATTGATGAGCTACCACCACCGTCTCAAGAACTTCTTGATGAAATTGGTAAGATTTACTCAATACTAGATGTGTTCCTTGTCCTGCTTGGAAGGACCAACTCACAAGCGTCAGCACTAGAATGAAAGACACTATGAGGCTCTGGTTGAGTGTACAAAATTCAGGGCCAATAAAAAGCCCACAGCCTGGGATGATAATCAGTTTATCTCTGTTGTTGTTTTGTTATTTAAAAGTTTTATGGTAATGATTCTAAGGGGAAATAAAGTGGTTTATGATGATGCTCTTCATTTAGTAAAGGAATTCTTAGCTCCTTTTCAAACTGAAACAGCCATCCCTTAGAGGCCTAAAGGCTGCTCAGGCCAAGACACTTGTATTTTCAGTTTTGCCTTTAAAGTTTTTGGAATTGTAGATAAATCCCTTTTCTAAGAGTAGAGAAGTCAGTGGCACAAAACCTAAGGAGACTAGAATTTTCCACTGGAGGCATGACTGAACAGTACCAGCTCAATTTTATTTGCAACAGATTGGCTGGCCCTGCCTGGCTGAGGTGATACTGAAAGTAATGGTGCATGGTTATAGAGAATAGGAAACCCCCATTGCTCTCTTCTTGGCAGCCTGGCCAACCATCCCCTTGCCCTCACAGGGGACATTTTTTTTTTTAAGATTTATTTTTATTTATTTATTTGAAAGACAGAGTGGGGACCAGCATTGTGGCATAGTGGGTAAAGCTGCTGCCTGTGGTACTGACATCCCATATGTGTGCCAGTTCATGTCCAGGCTGCTCCACTTCTGATTCAGTTCCCTGCTCATGGCCTGGGAGAAGCAGTGGAGGATGGACCAAATGTTTGGGTTTCTGCTAATCATAAGGAGATCAGAATGAAGCTCCTGGTTCCTGGCTTCAGCCTGGCCCAACACTAGCCGTTGAGGCCATCTGGGGAGTGATCTCTCTCTGGTTCACTCCCCAATTGGCTGCAATGGCTAGAGCCTGAGCTGATCCGAAGCCAGGAGCCAGGAACTTCTTCCAGGTCTCCTATGTGGGTCCAGGGACCCAAGGTCTTGGGCCATCTTCTACTGCTTTTCCAGGCCATAGCAGAGAGCTGGATAGGAAGTGGAGCAGCCAGAACTCGAACCGGCACCCATATGGGATGCAGGTGGCAGCTTTACCCGCTGTGCTACTGCGCCGGCCCAATAAATAAATCTTTAAAAGAAAACAGTGATGGAAAGAGAGAGAAAGAGATAAAGAGATCTTCCATTTCTTGGTTTACTCCCCAAATGGCTGCAATAGTCAGGCCTGGGCCAAATTGAAGGCAGGAGCTAGGAATTCCATCTTATTTGCTATATGGGTGGGTGGTACTTTCTGAGGTGCATTAGCAGGAAGCTGAAACAGAAGTAGAGCAGCCAGGATTCAAACTGTAACTCCAATATGGGGTGCCCATGTCAAGTGGTGGCTTAACCCTGTGTACTACAACACTGGACCCCAGAGGGCACATCTTAATGGACCTCTGATGGCCCAATTTTTACAATGTGGCCTATAGAGAAATTCCTGAGAGATAACCCTTGGTTTGCAGGATCTCTGAGGTTTTATGTCTGATAAGGAAGAGGGAGGTGAGTAAGGACCTACTGGTTTGAATCAATGGACAGCTACTCCACTAGGCTCCTTATTATAACCCACAGCCCCTGTTGCTTGGCCTAATAATGTAGGTGGAATCAGTCAGAGCTATTAGAATCTTCCTTGATTCCTTCTTCTGTAGGCATACACCCTTTCTTGCCTCTCCTCATCCCTCCACTGGTGTCACAGGTTCTAGGGTCATTGAATCAGGCTCTTAGGGCCCACACCTCCTCTCCTCCTTTCCACCTCTGGGGTGCTCTGGGCATTCCTGGAAAATCTCTCTCTTCTCCATTTATCTTTTTTTTTTTTTTTTTCCAAGCGGAGTTAGACAGTGAGAGAGAGAGACAGAGAGAAAGGTCTTCCTTCCATTGGTTCACCCCCCAAATGACCGCTACGGCCCAGTGCGCTGCACTGATCCAAAGTCAGGAGCCAGGTGCTTCCTCTTGGTCTCCTATGCGGGTGCAGGGCCCAAGGACTTGGGCCATCTTCCACTGCCCTCCCGGGCCATAGCAGAGAGCTGCACTGGAAGAGAAGCAACCGGGACAGAATCTGGCACCCCGACCAGGACTAGAACCTGGGGTGCCGGCGCCACAGGCAGAGGATTAGCCTAGTGAGCCACGGTGCTGGCCCTCCATTGATCTTAAAATAACAGAACTGTTGAGAGCTGAGATGACCCTGCACATAGCCTAGTCAGGTAGATTCTCAGTACCTTCTGTTCACTAGTCATGGCTTCCGACAGTAACTGTAGTCTCTTTTGATCACAGCTGATGCTTTGTCTCTGGGTTCTGCAGGCCTCTCATTAGCATGTGACCCCTCCCTGCCACCTCCTCCACTTCAGCAGCTGTGTTGCCAGGCTTCCTCCTGGGCTGAGGCCCCTTGGCACTGCTCTACCCCAGTGGTCTCTAGGAGCCTTTCCCATTTCACTCAGGCCCATTATCTGGACCAGGTTTCTGGGTGATGTCTGCATTTTGAGATGGGTTATTAATTTTCCAGAAAGACAGAGGGCAGAGGGTGCTTGAGTAGTTACTCCTGACAATGGACCTGCCCAAACAATTATTGTATATCATCACTCTGTTGTTCCCTCTGACCTTTGGGAAGTGACCTGGAGCTGTCACCTGCTCTTTTCCAGGGCTCACATGTAAAGCTCTGAGCTCTTGATAGGGATCTAAAGTGGGAGAAGGAGGGGCCTTTAGAATTCTTAAGACATAGGTGATCATTTAAGATCAACAGGAGACTGCTTTTATCTAAAAATGGATTTTGAATTTCAACTTATATTAAATGAACTTATGTGGCCCATTGATGCCTAGTAGCTGCTGACTAGGGCTACTTCTTGCACAGAACAGTACCAGGCCAGTGAGCTTAAGATGGCCTATCTGCACTGCTTCCTGGCTGTCTTTCTGCCCTGCTCTGCTCTGCTTTGCCCTGGGGAGCATTTTGAGGGAAAAAACACTTAACAAATGCAAAGCAGCATACTGAGTTTGGCAGATGATTGTCTTGGTCTAGTAAGCATTTCTTTAGGAATTAGAAATGACAGGGATTCTTTCGTCTTCCATTTTTCCATAGACCATGTAGTATGTCATCCTAAGAATATGACATATGGGTCAGTAGAGATGGGGAAACATTTGAATTGTTCGATGATATTACAAACTTTTTGAGGGTGTGTAGAGATTACAACATAAACCTTAGAACTGGACTGCTTGAATGCAAATCTCAGTTCTACCATTTTTTATCTGTGCTTTTAGGCAAATTCCTTAATCTTAATTTTCTCATATAGTAATGACAGTAATACAGTCAATCTCATAGGATTATTTTGAAGATTAGTTATCAACAATAATCCTCAATCTTCAATTAATGTACATGAGTGCTTAGAAACAGTACCTGGGCTGGCACTGTGGCTCAATAGGCTAATCCTCCGCCTAGTGGCGCCGGCACACCGGGTTCGAGTCCCGGTCGGGGCGCCAGATTCTGTCCCAGTTGCCCCTCTTCCAGGCCAGCTCTCTGCTGTGGCCCGGGAGTGCAGTGGAGGATGGCCCAAGTCCTTGGACCCTGCACCCGCATGGGGAGACCAGGAGGAAGCACCTGGCTCCTGGCTTCAGATCGGTGCAGCATGCCGGCAGTGGCGGCCATTGGAGGGTGAACCAACAGCAAAAGGAAGACCTTTCTCTCTCTCTCTCTCACTGTCCACTCTGCATGTCAAAAAAAAAGGAAACAGTACCTGGAGCTGGTTTTGTGGCTGCTACCTGCAACCTCGGCATCCCATGTGGGCACAGGTCTGACTCCCAGCTGTTCTACTTCTGGTCCAGCTCTCTGCTAATGTGCCTGAGAAAGCGGCAGAGATGGCCCAAATGCTTGGGCCCCTGCACCCATGTGGGAGGTGTGAAGGAAGCTCCTGGTTGCTTCCTGGCTTAGGACCAATCCAGCTCCGGCCATTTTGGTCATTTGGGGAGTGAACTAATGGATAGAAGATCTTTCTCTCCTTCTCCCACTGTCTTCATAACTCTGCGTTTCAAATAGTACATAAATCTTTACCAAGAAAAAAAAGAAACAGTGCCTGCCACTTAGGGCTTTGCAAATGTTACCTATCATCATCACTTTTTTTTTTTTTTAATTTTTGACAGGCAGAGTGGACAGTGAGAGAGAGAGACAGAGAGAAAGGTCTTCCTTTGCCGTTGGTTCATCCTCCAATGGCCGCCGCGGCCGGCGCGCTGAAGCGCGCACCGCAGCCGGCACACCGCGCTGATCCGATGGCAGGAGCCAGGTACTTATCCTGGTCTCCCATGGGGTGCAGGGCCCAAGGACTTGGGCCATCCTCCACTGCACTCCCTGGCCACAGCAGAGAGCTGGCCTTGAAGAGGGGCAACCAGAACAGAATCCGGCGCCCTGACCGGGACTAGAACCCGGTGTGCCGGCGCCGCTAGGCGGAGGATTAGCCTAGTTAGCCGCGGCGCTGGCCCATCACTTTTTTGTTTTTTAAAGCAAAGTTATAGAGCAGGAGAGACAGATCTTCCATTCACTGGTCCACTCCCCAAAATGTCCACAATGGCCAGGGCTGGGCCAGGCCAGAGCCAGGAGCTTCTTCCAGGTTTCCATGTGGGTACAGATGCCCAGGTATTTGAACCATACTCCTCTGCCCTCCAAGTGCGTTAGCAGGGAGCTGAATGGGAAGTGGAGCAGCTGGGACTCTACACTGATGCCTATATTGAATGCAGGCGTTGCAGGAGGTAGCCTTTACCCTCTATGCCACAGCGCTGGCCCTATCACTTTTGTATTGGTTTTGTGTGTTGTATGGGAGTTTTTCAGCCTTGAAGTTTCTTTAAAACCTGGAATATATACTCTGAAACAGTGGTTTTTGCACTTTATCCAGCATTAGAGTCACCCAGAGGCTTGTTAAAATATTGATTACTTGGGCCACAGCTCCAGAGTTTCTGTTTTAGTAGGTCTGGGATGAGTCCTGAGGATTTGTATTCTTAACAAGTACCCAGGTTATGCTAATACTGCTGGTCTGAGGACCACTCTTTGAGAACCACTGCCCTAGAAATTGGTGACATGAAAAGGAGAAAATAAGTTGCCTTCTGCTTTTGTACCATGACAGAGTGCTTGAAGCAACAGCAGGCCTCATCCACTGCATTGCATGAGAACACAGCACATGATCCGGTCATCACTGCAAATGGTGAGCTAAATACCCAGTTATCTTACATCATATTCTTGCTTTTACACTGTCCTTGGCAGCAAAGTGGTACATATGGGGAAGTGTGCCTGTGAAGTCAGCCACAATTCCACCTCAATTTTGACTTCACCAGTGATTTTTGCATGGCAAACTGTTTAAAATCTCTGAGACTCAGTCATCCTCACCTGTAAAATGGAAATACAAATTCCTGTCTCCTGCATTACAGCAGCAGCTCCCTGCAAAGAGCTGGTACACTGTAAAATACCTAGCAAATGTTAGTTTATTTTCCTTCATAGGAATGCTGGCAGGATGAAATGAGACAGCATATGTGAAATGCTTGGCATACATTAAAGTGTTCATCCTTTCCCCACCCAAATTCCTTCTTTGGGTCTGCAACCTAGAAACATCTATCTAACCAGAGAAAAACAGGGTAGTCTCTGAAAGTTAGTCTGCATTTTGTTTTCAGGGTCACTTGCCTCCTCCTGGATGTGCCCCTTCTTTTCTTTTTTTCCTCTTAGCCTTGGCACAGGCCAAATTTCCTGTAGCTTCACCTGGCACCAGACAGTTCCCAAGACCCCAGAAGCAGCTGCTGTGAATCTAGGCACTCTGCACACTGCCACCTGGCCCCCTGCTCTCATGGGAAGACAGGAGTGGGAACAAGTGCATCGCATATTTCAGGGACCACTAATTAGCCTTAATTCTCATACTCCATTTTAAGACAGGCTTTCTCTCTCTCTCTCTCTCTCTCTCTCTCTCTCTCTCTTTAATTTGATAGGCAGAGTTGTTAGACAGTGAGAGAGACAGAAAGGTCTTCCTTCCGTTGGTTCACCCCTCAAATGGCTACTACGGCTGGCGCACTGTGCTGATCCGAAGCCAGGAGCCAGGCACCTCCTCCCAGTCTCTGATGCGGGTGCAGGGGCCCAAGCACTTGGGCCATCCTCCACTGCCCTCCCGGGCCACAGCAGAGAGCTGGACTGGAAGAGGAGCAACCAGGATTAGAACCAGCACCCATATGGGATACCAGCGCTGCAGGCAGAGGACCAACCAAGTGAGCCACGGCGCCAACCCCCAGGACAGGCTTTCTCAAAATTTTTTGTTCTAATAGTTATTCTTTCAACTGTTCTTAGATCACAAACATTTAGAAGAACAAGAAACTGATAGTAAAAAAGAAGATAGCAGTATGCTTTGGACCAAAGAAACCCAGGATCTAGAAGAGGACACAGAGAGGTAACAGAAAAAAGCTGGCTGTTCAAAAGGATTTTTAAAGTTGTGTGATTTGTATTGGTTTTTTTTCCCTAATACTAATAAATAAGAAGGGAAAAATAGTCTTTTTTCATATTGCCCTAATAGTCCCCTTTAAATTTTAAAAAATATGATAACATATAATAACATAAAATTTACCATTACCATTTTTAAGTGTACAGTTCAGTGATGTCAAGTGTACAGATGGTCCTTGACTTAATGTTTGACTTTGCAATGGTAGAAAAGCAGTAGCATTCAGTAGAAACTGTACTTTGAATTTTGCTCTTTTCCCAGGCTAGTGATAAGGGGCTCAGTACTCTTTGTGATGTGGGCATCAGCAACCATCTGCAGCTCCCTGTCAGCCCTGTGATCTCAAGGGAAATAACCACTACTATACAGTACATCGTGTTGCTAAGCCAGGATATTCAGTTGGCTAAGCTTATTGACTGTGTTTTCAAGTTACAGTATTTTTTTAAAAGATTTATTTATTTGAAAGTCACAGTTGCATGGAGAGAGGGAGAGACGGAGAGAGAAGAATCTTCCATCTGCTGGTTCACTCCCCAGATGGCTGCAACGGCCAGGGCTGGGCCAGGCCAAAAGCCAGGATCTGGGAGCTTCATCCATATTTCCCACATAGGTGCAGGAGTGGAACAACCAGAACATGAACCAGCGTCCATATGGGATGCTGGCAACACAGAGAATGGCCTCACCTACTATACCACAATGCAGACTCCTCAATTTATAATATTTAACTTAGCATAATATCTTCAAGGTTCATCCATGTTGTCACATATGTCAGAATTCCTTCCCTTTTTAAGGCTGAATAATAATCAGGTGTGTATATAACATGCTCTGTTTATCCAGTCATCTATTGATGGATATTTAGGTTACATTTACCTTTTGGTTATTTTGAATAATGCTGCTATGAGCATCAGTGTACAAATATCTCTTTGAGACCCTGCCTGCAATTCTTTTCGATATATACCCAGAAATGGTATTGTTAGATCATATGGTAATTCTATTTTTAATTTTTTGAGGAGCTGCCATACTGTATTCCACAGCAGCTGTACCATTTTACATCCTTAGCAACAGTACCCAGAGGTGCCAATTTCTCCACATCCTTGCCAACACTTATTTTCTCTAACTGTAGCCATTCTAAAGGGCTTGGTAATAACTCATTTTATTTTGATTTGCATTTCCCTAATAAGTAATGATATTGAAGATCTTGTTGACCATTTGAATATCTTTGGATAAATGTCTCTTTGAGTTCTTTCCCCATTTTTAAATAGGGTTATTTGAGTTTTTTTCTTGTATAATTACTTTTTTTTTTTTTGGGTTTTGTTTTTATTTCATTTTGTGAGGCAAACACAGATTTCAGCTTCTTTCAAAACACTTTAGTTAAAGTGCTTGGAAGAGAATTTTTAGATCTTTCTAGCCAATAAGAGACAGTAGGGGCAATCCCCCAGGAGATTCAGTCTAAAAGTACAAGTTTGCCTCAAGAAACCTGATTCTGTTCCTGCTTTGGAGCTCTCCTTTTACTGTGTTGCAAGGTAAACCATTCAGCTCATCTCCTTTGCCTCTTGATTTTCTTGCCTTCTCTTAAGCTGTCATTCTGGGCCAGGACTAGGGTAAGTTAAGTCAGACATACTCCTCTGGCACAGAACTGAAGGAGGCACCTTCAAGCTCAATAGTCAAGTAATACTTTAATGCAATATTTTAAAAAATCAGATTTAATGCAAAAAAAAGTCCATGGTAAACAAAGTATCCAGATTTTAAAGAAAGATAGGAACTGAGTTTGCACCTGTATTACTTGCCTGGTCCTGATCTTGCCTTTGTGGGTCCTTAGGGAAGTCATGCAGAATGCTCTTAGTAAGTGATAGAAAATGTAAATGATAGAAATCCGCCATTACCAGAGTGCATGGGAGGCCGGGCATGGCTAGTGTTCCAGCTCAGCAGTGCCATCAGGAATCTAGGCTTTTATATTTTTTCCTTTTAAAAAATGTATTTGAGCTGGCGCCGCGGCTCAATAGGCTAATCCTCCGCCTTGCAGTGCCGGCACACCGGGTTCTAGTCCCGGTCAGGGTGCCGGATTCTGTCCCGGTTGCCCCTTTTCCAGGCCAGCTCTCTGCTGTGGCCAGGGAGTGCAGTGGAGGATGGCCCAAGTGCTTGGGCCCCGCACCCCATGGGAGACCAGGAGAAGTACCTGGCTCCTGTCTTCGGATCAGCGCGGTGCGCCGGCCGCGGCAGCCATTGGAGGGTGAACCAATGGCAAAAGGAAGACCTTTCTGTCTCTCTCTCGCACTGTCCACTCTGCCTGTCAAAAAAAAAAAAAAATATTTGAGAGAAAGAGACATTCAGACAGAGAGTGCTCCCACCCTCTGGTTCATTCCCTATATGTCTGCAGCCTGGGCAAAGCCAAGCCAGATATCATAAATTCAATCTAGGTCTCCAACATAGGTGACAGGGACCAAACTACTGGAAATATCACACTGCCTTCCAGGGTCTGCATTGGCAGGAAGCTGGAATCAGGAGTAGAGCCCAGTATCTAACCTCTGATAGGGGACTTGGGTGTCTCTTAACTTTTGGTCAAATGCAAGCCCTGGGACTTAGTCTCTTTTGATCTTGTTGCTCTGCTGTCCATGGCCTTTATGTTCTGGCTGGCCATTCCTGGTTGCAAGATGGCTGCTGTCCACATACCAGACAGATAAGAGGATGGGCAAAGGAATGTTTTAACTGACAATATGGCCCCCTTTTTTTTATCTGGAAAACAAAAATCTTTCCAGAAACCCTTCCCAAAAGTCATCTGCTTACATCTCTTTGGCCAAACTGTGACACGTGACTACCCTCAAGGGGAGATTGGAAATTGAGGTTTTAGCTTCTCAGTTGCTATAGAAGGTGGCAAGGGAGAAAAGTATTATGAATAACTTTTGGGTAATTAATCCAATACCTATCATACTCTTCAAGAACTGAATTAATCTCTATAAGGATGGATGAGAGAGAGAAAGAGATCTGGGAGGGAAGGTTTGGGAAGTAGAGGAAGAAACTGGAGCCTGAGGGCCTGAGAGGAGAGTAGGGAGAGAGGTTTTGGGAAGACAGAGCAAAGGAGCAAAAAGGGAGAAGACAAATGTTTTTTCAAGATAGGTTTTAGAAACCTGTGATATGGAATGTAACTGCATGCCTTTTGTCCTCGCAACACTTTCAGAAAAAACTATGCCATTATTGAAGGCAGGCTGAGTAGCATTTGATTATCCAAATACAAAGTTCTTTGCACATGATAAAAAATTAGCTACTGTTATTGTTATCTCCCCCTTTTCCCAAGAGGTGGGCTCTGTGGGCCACTGATGCTCAATCATCTCAATGCTAGGAATGATGGGTTAGAGTGGAAGTGGGTATTTTTTTTCCCAATGGATAGGACTTTTCTTTTTTTATTATTTTTTTATTTTTTATTTTTTTGACAGGCAGAGTGGACAGTGAGAGAGAGAGAGAAAAAGGTCTTCCTTTTGCTGTTGATTCACCCTCCAATGGCTGCTGCGGCCAGTGCATCGCGCTGATCCAAATCCAGGAGCCAGGTGCTTCTCCTGGTCTCCCATGCAGGTGCAGGGCCCAAGGACTTGGGCCATCCTCCACTGCACTCCCTGGCCACAGCAGAGAGCTGGCCTGGAAGAGGGGCAACCGGGACAGAATCCGGCGCCCCGACCGGGACTAGAACCCGGTGTGCTGGCACCACAGGTGGAGGATTAGCCTATTGAGCCACGGCGCCGGCCTGGATAGGACTTTTCAGGCCTTGTTAAAACACTCTATTTGAAGTGTGTGGACTCAAAAGGCTTCCATAGCCTCGGCAGCTCATGACAAGAGCCTCGGGTGGTCACTGACATCGTAAATAACTGTGTCAATTGTTAAATCAACAACAGGAGTCACTGTACGGATACTCCCCATGTAGGACCTCTGTCCTTAATGAGTTGTACTATGAGAATTAACGGTAAAACTTGTCTTCAAACCGTACTTTATACTTTGTGTGTCTGTGTGGGTGCAAACTTTAGAAATCTTTACTTAGTATGGAGTCGGTCTTCTGTATATAATGTTAATTAAAAATGAATCTTAAAGAAGAAGGGGATGGGAGAGGAAGCTGGAGGTGGAATGGGAGTGGGGGTGGGAGGGTGGAAAAATGACTATATTCCTAAAGCTGTACGTATGAAATTTGTATTTATTAAATAAAGGCTTTCTAAAAAATAAGTAAAACACTCTACTGTGCATCTTCTAGCCTCAGAGATGGTTCTTAGTCAGAAAAGGATGAGGGAAAATGTGTTGAGTTCCAGTCTCAGGTAATGGCCTCTAGTTGAGACAGTCTGGCACCAAGCTTTGGAGGGGGTGATTTCATGGATGCTGAGGCTTTTTGTCAAGGGGCTAACACATTAAAATCAGATCTCAGTAACCTGTATGACTCTAGAAGCAGTCTCGCCAAGTTGTCATTTTATCAAACATGTAGTGAAAGCACAGATTTTAATATCCCTTCCCCTCTTTTGTCACACTTCTTTGTCAGAGGAGAAAGAAAGTGACTGTTGTCTGTCTCTGTTCTCTGCACTTGCCCCTGGACAGAGCTCACTCCACTCTCGATGAGGACCTGGAAAGATGGCTGCAGCCACCTGAGGAGAGCGTGGAGCCACAGGACCTCCCCAAGGGCTCTGCAAGGTTACTGCTCCCCACCAGGGAATCATTTTCTTCTTTATCCTGAAGTGTAGACTAAGTTTTAGACTCCTTGGAGAATGTGTGTCTGGTAATTGGATTGCTGTAGATAAGCCAGCTCTGACTCCCGTCTGTCTGCACCCTCTGCCTTCAGTTGCTCACAGTGCTCAAGATGTTGATTAGTAGATTGATATCAGTTATAGAGAGAGGCCTCCAAGATTGCTGCATTTTGGCTCTGCCACCTTCAACCTTTTCATCAGTCATTTGAGTTAAATCAGAAAAGGCATGCTAATCAGATGTTTAGATAACATAAGTCTAGGAATGAATGCTAACATGATGGGTGACAGACAGGATTCAAAATGGTCTTGACAGTGAAAATGTTAGATGCTGTAAGAGATAAAAGATGCAGAAATTTTAGATCTGAAATTATAGAATGCAGGAGACTTGGTGTGTTTGCTGATGTTTTGATTGGAAGCTCTTACCATAGTGTCATTGAAGGCAGGAAGTGTGTCTTATTTTTACACGAGTAGCACTTAGCATGCATCTTGACACATGGTGAGACTTCAGGCAATTCTTGAAGAAGGCATGGCAACGCCTCTGTGAGTGCTGTGCTTGATGCAGTTGCTGAAAAGGTCAAGCAGCATCAAGGCTAGACAGAGATGTGCTGCCCAGATCAAGGCAGTGTGTGAGACAGGAAACCACCAGGACACAGTGTGGAGTGGAGCTGCTTTCTGGGTGTTGTCTTTTAAAAGAGATATTAACAACCAGAAGAGGGTGGCCATCCACCAGGCAGAGGTCTGGAAACCAGGTCATCTGAGAACAGCGGAAGGAGCGGGTAGGCTCCGGCCGAGAAGAACAGATGGAGCGGAGAATTTGATAGCCACCCTCAGATACCTGAAATAGTGTGAAGTGAAGAGAGTCAGCTTACTCTCTTCTGCCCCAAAGGACAGAGCCAGTGACTAGAAATTGCAGAGTAACAGATTTTTATTCAGCAAAGCACAAACTTTCTAATAGTCACAGCAGCTGATACTTAAGTTTTCACACTTAATTAATAACAATGGCTGCTGCTGCTCAAGCAGAGGCTGGGTGATTCACTTGTCTTGGGTTGTACAAAGGTAGAAGAGAGCCCAAAAATAAAAAAGTAAATTAATTAATTAAAAAGTGCCCAAAGGCCTCCTCCAGCTCTTGAGCCTGTGATGCTATTAGGGACGAGAAGTTAGGAGGAAAGAAAATCCTCTTAGTTGATTTTGTTTTCTCTCTCATTTCACACGTTACTTTTACTGTCCACCAAATTGAAAACAGAATTGCTAAGCGATGTTGTGTTAGTCAGCCAGCACCTACAGAGCACTGTCTGTGAGCCAAACACTGGGCCAGAAGCTGGAGGTGCAACAAAGGTTAACGTCTCTGTCCTTCCACAGCTCAGAGTTGAGTGGCGGAGATGGTTTCTGCTTAACAGTTTGGCAAATTTGGTCTTAAATTGGATATTTCATATCTGAGAGTTTTTCAAGAACAAGAGGTGATTAACCAAAAGGTGGTATTGAAAAGCATATCAATAACAACAAAAGTAAAATGCCTTTAATTTTTTACTTTGAGGAAATATAGTCTAATGGTCAAAAGCAGAGTTTGAGGCAGACTCCCAGGGTCACATCCCAGCTCTAGGACTTACTAGGTATATAATGTATCCTCTGTGTGCCTGAGTCTCCTCATCACTTCATGGAGATGGTGGTGGTAACTAACTCTAATCGTTGTTATGGGAATTAAATTAGTTAATATACATTATAGCACTTAAACCAATGCCTAGCTTACTGGGAACACTCCATCAGTGCTAGCTAGTATACATTTCCTTTGGAGTGTGGTCCTGTTCCTCTGGCCATTATCCATGTGGTTTGATGACCCCAAATTATTGTTATTAAAGGGAGACAAATACCAAGGATCAAAAAGTTGGTGAAAAGAAGAGAAAAGGAGACAAAAACATCAAGTCACAGAGAAGGAAATCAGAGAGCTTTTTAGGGGCTTCTGAAGAAGGTAGGAATGAATGTTACAATGCAATTTGCAATCCTTTGGCTTTGAAGAACATCAAAGTTATTTAGAAATGTTTTGCAGACATTATATGTAATCCTCCTACCTTTGATATTTTCTTTATCCCCTGCAATTTAGCTTAGGTTTTCTGTTAATTACCATTCATAGCTTCATTATAAAACAGTAAGGACTTAAGAATTCCATTTTTAAAGCAACCCTTCAGCCACTCTCATCATCATTACCTCGCACGCACATTGTCTGGAGAGGTATTTTGCTTCATAAGTTTTAAACTTAGCTGACACAGATATTGCAGAATAATAAGAAATCATATGTTACCGAATTCAAGTATGATCCACAAGTAGTGTGAATTTATAAATTAGCCTTAATTTCAAAACTGTTTAGATGGTGCTTTCAGACTTCTGACCATCAACAAACAATGCCTTTCTAATTTTAGTTCCTCTTACTTGGAAAATTAGAGACATTAATTCTTTCAGATCATCTGGTGTCACTTTCATTTCCTCTGTAGTCTCCTCTCATTCTTTTGCTGCCCTGCTTTATGCCTCGGGATGCTGACCCAAATACACAGCTTCTCCTGGGCTTCCTGTTGGCCAAAGGGAGGTTCTGTCAGAAGGTCAGAGGGCTAAAAGAGAGGTTGGATCATTACTTCCTTTCTCTGTCTACTTCAGGCCCTTGTAACTGGTAGAAGCAGTGTCCCTCCACAAGTGCAGCTTCTATGAGGCAGCCCATCCTTCTTCCCAGTTCCAGCTTTCAACTGAGTTCCAGTAGCTGCGCTCCTGTCCCCACCCCTCAGTCCCTTCAAGATTCAGGCTTCCCACTGCTGGTAGTCATTGGATGCCTTGCCATTGCTTGTTTTCTCCCTTAACTCTATCTGCACCTGTGTATGTAATAATTTCATGAAGGAATATGTACTTGAGCCAGTCATGGATACGATACATCGTTTCCTTCAGAACCCTGACTGGCACAGGAAATAAAGTGTGTGGCCTTTTACCTAGTATTGACTTCGCTGAGGAGATAATGGAGGGACTTTGTGACCTAGTGTGAGCAGTGTCCATTGCTATGGCAGGGAGCTATAGAATGATGGGGGCAGGAGTGCTATTAAGTGTGTTCTTAGATTCTCTGGAGGCACGTGCTGTGGTATAGCAAGTAAAGCCACACCTGCAGTGCCAGCATCCCATATAGGTGCCAGTTTGAGTCCTGGCTGTTCCACTTCTGATCCAGCTCTCTGCTGTGGCCTGGGAAAGCAGTAGAGGATGGCCCAAGTCCTTGGGTCCCTGCACCTGCGTGGGAGACCCGGAGGAAGCTTTTGCTCCTGGCTGTAGATCAGCAAAGCTCCCGCCATTGCAGCCAACTGGGGAGTGAACCATCGGATGGAAGACCTCTCTCTCTCTCTTTCTCTCTCTCTGCCTCTCCTTCTCTCTCTGTGTAAATCTTTTTTTTTTTTTAAGATATATTTTATTTTTTTGAAAGACAGAGTTACAGAGAGAGGCAGAAACAGAGAGAAAGATCTTCCATCCACTGGTTTACTCCCCAGATGGCTGCAACAGCCTGAGCTGTGCTGATCCAAAGCCAGGAGCCATGAGCTTCCTCTGGGTCTCCCATATGGGTGGAGGGGCCCAAGGACTTCCACTACTATCCCAGGCCATAGCAGAGAGCTGGATTGGAAGAGGAGCAGCCAGGACCAGAACCAGTGCCCATATGAGATGCTGGTGCTTCAAGCCAGGGCTTTAACCCGCTGTGCCACAGCGCCAGCCCCTCCGTGTAACTCTTTCAAATAAATAAATAAATATTTTTAAAAATCCTCTGTAGAATAGGAAAACCACTATAGAAAACACAATCTACCCTAAACTAGAGAGAGCACTAATATGAATTCTGAATTCTGCCATCCATTGACCCAGAACATAATCGGGTTGTTTGTTTCTTCTCCCTATATTTCATCAAGATGAACTAAAACCCTGTTTTTGGAAGCGACTGGGTTGGTCCGAACCATCCAGGTAAAGAGATATCAGATGTTTGTAAGTCAGAATTTACTGTTTATGGACAGTATGAGCAGAGTTAAAACATTTACCACATCTAGATGGACATTAGTGACAAAGACTTGAATTCAGACAAGGTTGCTCAATTTTTAAAATGGTTATGTTTATAGTTCACTAAAATATAAAATGAGATTAATGCCAACTTTGATTAAATAAATGATAAAATCAAGAACAGTTTTAATATATTTGAAGTACAGAAGATGCTACTGTTGATTGCATGGTAGTTATTTGTCTTTCCATGATACCCTGCTGAACATAATCCCCTTGATTAGAAAGACCCAGATTCATTTCCCTTGGTTCAGTTGAATAGAAAGAGGATGTTGTTTGTGTCTTTAAAAAATATACATACAAACTTCCTTTTTTTTTCTTTCAAAAACATACACACAGGATAATCGTTCTGGATCAGAGTGACTTGTCCGACTGACTGGACTTGGATCGTGGGTGGATTCCTGGCCTGAGTTTGAGTGCCCTGGTTGTGAGCTCCTTTCTTCTTTCATCCGCTTCAGTTGCTATTGGGGCAGTGGTTCCGGTTCTGTAACTTACACTTTGTTCAGCTGCCATAGTAGACGTAATGGTTTGGCCCTGTTGGCAGCACATTTAACTGTTTGTTTTTAGTCAGATTTGAGAAAGGTAGTTTTGATTGTAAAAATTTTTTTCATGTGTCCAGAATGGCTTTTTGGTTTTGTTGATGTAAACTTTTGAAAGCTTTAATTTCTGTTACATAATAAAGTGCTTACTTTGAATTGCCAGTTAGATGTCAGCTGTGTAAGATTTTTTTGTGTGTCTGAGTTAATGGGAGTTGGGAGCAGAGGATTGTCACCAAAAGAGTATTCCACTTCTGTTACTAAGTTTGACATATATGGGCCGGCACTGTGGTTCACTTGGTTAATCCTCCACCTGCAGCGCTGGCATCCCATTTGAGCACCGGGTTCTAGTCCCGGTTGCTCCTCTTCCACTCTAGCTCTCTGCTGTAGCCCTGGAAGGCAGTGGAGGATGGCCCAAATGCTTGGGCCCCTGCACCCGCATGGGAGACCAGGAAGAAGCACCTGGCTCCTGGCTTCGGATTGGCACAGCACCAGCCAGGCGGCCACTTTTGGGGTGAACCAACAGAAGGAAGATCTTTCTCTCTGTCTCTCTCTCTCTCTGTCTATAGCTCAACCTGTCAAATAAGTAAATTAAAAAAGAAAAAAGTTTGGCATATAAGCAGCTACCACTACCACCTATCATACATCCAAACTGGCAACAGCTGCCTGTGATTTATAATAGAAATACTGCCTGTCCACTTGGCCAAAATTTCTGTATTCCCTTTCCAGCTTGAATTTGCTCACATAGTGAAAATATAGGTAGCATAAAAGCTTAAGATATAAATGAACTAACTGCATCTCTGTGTATTTTGCATTATACACCTCATATCATCAGTGTGTTGGAGGAATGAAATTTGTGGTAAGACCAAGATGACAAAATTTTCTCTAATCTATCTCTATCACAAGAGATAACTGGTCCCGGCGCCGTGGCTCACTAGGCTAATCCTCCGCCTTGTGGCGCCGGCACACCGGGTTCTAGTCCCGGTCGGGGCACCGGATTCTGTCCCGGTTGCCCCTCTTCCAGGCCAGCTCTCTGCTGTGGCCAGGGAGTGCAGTGGAGGATGGCCCAAGTGCTTGGGCCCTGCACCCCATGGGAGACCAGGAGAAGTACCTGGCTCCTGCCATCGGATCAGTGCGGTGCACTGGCCACAGCGCGCCGGCCGCGGCAGCCATTGGAGGGTGAACCAACGGCAAAAGGAAGACCTTTCTCTCTGTCTCTCTCACTGTCCACTCTGCCTGTCAAAAAATAAAAAAATAAAATAAAAATAAAGAGATAACTGGCCAAATATATATATATATATATTTTTTAAAGATTTATTTATTTATTTGAAAGTTGGAGTTACACAGAGAGAGAAGGAGAGGCAGAGAGAGAGAGAGAGAGAGAGAGGTCTTCCATCCGATGGTTCACTCCCCAATTGACCGCAACAATTGGAGCTATGCTGATCCGAAGCCAGGAGCCAGGAGCTTCCTCTCAGTCTTCCCACATGGGTGCAGGGGCCCAAGGACTTGGGCCATCTTCCACTGCTTTCCCAGGCCACAGCAGAGAGCTGAATCAAAAGTGGAGCAGCCGGGACACGAACCAGTACCCATATGGGATGCCGGTACTGCAGGCAGCACAGCTTTACCCACTCTGCCACAGCACCGGCCCCTAGATATATTTTTGTATCTAACTTGTTTTTTTTTTTTAGGATTTATGTACCTTCATCTACCTCCAGTTTGGAGTCTTCACATATCAATGAAAACCTTTTCTTGGAAGTCGTATGCTGCTGTACAGTACTTGCTACCTAATGTTTTATTCTGAGTATTTCCTGCTTTATTTGTGGAAACTGAATATTTCCTGTTGTGGATGTCATATTTATACTTCTTAGCTCCCAGAAGTTTTACCCTGCACAGATAAAATGCAAAGGCACAAATCTGCCTGACCGTTTCAAACCAAGTGAACAATTACTTGCTATTGTAACAAGTAGAAAATAGTATGTGAAAGAAACCTTGAGGGATACAGAGATTGACAATGCAGTCCTTTTCTCAAAAAACAAAAAAACAAAAAACACCTTATTCTGGGATAGACACTTGGCCCAGCAGTTAAGGTACTGGTTAGCATACCTTTGTGCTGCACTGAGTACCTGTGTTCAGTCCCTGACCCTTTGGCTCCTGACTCTAGCTTCCTGCTAGTGTAGATCCTAGCCATGATGGCTGAAATAGTTGCATTCCTCCCATCTGTGTGGAAGACCTGGATTTAGTTCCTGACTCCCAGTTTTGTGGCTTCCTCTTGCCTCCCCCGGCTGTTGTGAGTGTTTGAGAAATAAACTAGTGGGCAGGAACCATCTCTATCTGTCTCTCTTCTCAAATAAAAAAAAATTAATTTGTGAAACAAAACCAACATACATAAAAATGTAGTATTATCATAATAAGTGGTAAATTAGTATGGCATTAATATTCATAAGATCTACAGGTTGAACACATATAATCAATCAATGGAGTAGACTTCTGACTGTAAGATTGGCCAATATTAACAGTTATATTGGTAGATACTACTTATTGGTTATAGAGTAATTATTAGGGAACAGATACTATATACACATACAGTAATCTTTTTTCTTGTCCTGCTGCTCTTTCAGTATGTGTCTTCTCCCACTCTCATCAGCTGTTTTAAACTTTCATCCCTCGCTTCCCATCAGCCCTCAACAGAGACATCACCTCCAACTCTAAGAGAAAATAGAAACCATCAGATGGGAATTAGTTTAGCTTTTCACCATCAAATCACCTCACATGATCACATCTATTTCTGTAGAATAGAGCAACAGTTATAGGTGGAGCATTCTAACCTGAACTGGCCTTGGGCCTCTTCTCATCTGTTCTTTTTACTCTGCTTCCTGTTAAACTGAAGAGGATGCCCCACTTCCTTTTTAGGCCATTCCCATTTCCTGTCTGCTCAGGATTAGCCTCCTCAAGTTAACATCTTTTTCTTTTTTTTCCAGTAGCTTCTGTCCCTTTATTATTACTTTTTTTGGTCATAATTAACACACTTGTATTTTCCTATCTTTAAAAACAATTCCCTGGGGGGCCTGTGCCATGGTGCAGTAGGTTAACCCTCCACCTGCAGTGCCAGCATCCCATATGGGCTCCAGTTCTAGTCCTGACTGCTTCACTGCCAATCCAGCTCTCTGCTATGGCCTGGGAAAGCAATACAAGATGGCCCAAGTCCTTGGACCCCTGCACCCATGTGAGAGATTGGGAAGAAGTGCCTGGCTCCTGGCTTCGGATTGGTGCAGCTCTAGCTGATGCAGCCATTTGAGGAATGAACCAACGGAAGGAGGACTTTTCTGTCTCTCGCTCTTACTATAACTCTACCTCTCAAATAAAATAAATAAAATCTTTAAAAAAATTTCCTGGATCTCACTTCTATTTCCAGCAATTACTCCACGGCTCTTCTCTCACTGCAGTTAGATTTCTTGAAAGAGTTTATACCTACTATCTTCAGCAACTCACCTCCCTCTCAACCCACTAGAACCTGAACTCTACTCCTTCCGTTATTCAGCAGTCACTAAGATCACTAATGCCTTCCATGTTCCTAAATTGCATAGACACTCTGACCTCAATGACATGTGTTCTTTCAGCAGAAGCCCTTGGCTTCCTTGATGTTGTACTCTGGTTTTTCATTCTATCTCTGATTACTCCACCTCAGCCTCCTTGAGAGGCTCTGCCTCGATTTTTTCTCACTCAGTTTTCCTTTTAAGAGACTATATTTACTCCCTTGGCTTTAGTTAGCATCTGTATACTGATTGCTGTTATGAGTCTAGGCCAGACATCTCCATCTACCCCCTGCTTTTTTTTTAAAGATTATTTATTTATTTGAAAGGCAGAGTTACAGAGAGACAGAGGCAGAGAGAGAGGTCTTTCATCCGCTGCTTCACTCCCCAGATAGCTGCAATGGCTGGAGCTGTGCTGATCCAAAACCAGGAGCTTCCTCCGGGTCTCCCACGTGGATGCAGGGGCCCAAGGACTTGGACCATCTTCTGCTGCTTTCCCAGGCCATAGCAGAGAGCTGGATCAGAAGTGGAGCAGCCAGGACTCAAACCAGCGCCCATATGGGATTCCAGCACTGCAGGCGGCAGCTTTACCCACCACAGCACAGCGCTGGCCCCCTCCATCTACCCTTATGTTCGAGGTCTCCACTTGGATTTCTTTCAGTTAACTTACTGACATACCCAGTACTGAACTCATAGTCTTGACCTCCTCTACCTCCAGTCAGAGGTGATATTGTCCAGTCAGTCATCAGACTAGAAATCCAGGAATCATCCTTGACTCTCATTCCTCTGCCCTTTACTTCAAAAATTCAATCATTGAAACTTATTTGTATCAGCCTCCAGAATATATGTTACTTAGACCAAGTCTCTCTCTTTCTATTTCCACTATCCTCTTGCCTGGACCATTGCAGCAGCTTCCTCAAGTAGCTGCTTCTATCCATTCCCACACTTAAGAAATCACTTTTTGAGTGGCTCCCATATGTCAAGCACTACAAGGAAAACTGACTGTCAAAGCTTCTAATCAAAAGTTGGATAAAACATTTTTTTAAGATTTCTTTGGTCCTCTTGCTTTCCTTTTTCCTTTACAGTGATTTTTTTTTTTTTTTTTTTTGACAGGCAGAGTGGACAGTGACAGAGACAGACAGAGAGAAAGGTCTTCCTTTGCCGTTGGTTCACCCTCCAATGGCCGCCACGGCCGGTGCGCTGCAACCAGCGCACTGTGCTGATCCGAAGGCAGGAGCCAGGTGCTTCTCCTGGTCTCCCATGGGGTGCAGGGCCCAAGCACTTGGGCCATCCTCCACTGCACTCGCGGGCCATAGCAGAGAGCTGGCCTGGAAGAGGGGCAACCGGAACAGAATCCGGCGCCCCGACTGGGACTAGAACCCGGTGTGCCAGCGCCGCTAGGCGGAGGATTAGCCTATTGAGCCGTGGCGCCAGCCCTACAGTGATCTTTTAAACATACAAAAATAATTACTTCATTCCCATGTTCATATCTTTGCCCACTATACTGAGAAGCACTGGACTTCTTTCATTTCTTCAAATACATCATGACACATACTGTTCTCTTTACCCAGAACGACTCTTCCCCTATATGTAGCTACCTCATTGTTCATTCCTCAGCACTTCACTGCCTCAGGGAGTGTTTTGAAGTCCCTGCACCTAGACTAGGTTAGAACCCTCTGTAAAATTCTTCTTTAGTACCACGCCCACCCTCTTCCCGTATCCAACACATAGACCATACTTTTATTTCCTTGTGTGTAGCACATTTACAAACCAGTAGAATGCTCTACCCGCTATTGCTCGCATACAGCTGCAAGCTCCACAAGGCCAGCGATCATGCCTGATTTGTACTTAAGTATCCCTAGCTCCTGGCACAGAACCTGAACCGGCAAAAATATTAGGTGCTCAACAAACATTTGCTGTGTGTGTGCATGTGTGTGTGTTTTAATGTATTTGTTTATTTGAGAGACACAGATAGAAAGAACCCACATACACTGGTTCACTCCCCAAACGCCTGCAATAGCTGGGGATGTGCCGGGAGCCAGGAATTCAATCTAAGTCTCCCATGTCAGTAGCAGGAACCCAACTGCGCAAGCCATCCCTGCTGCCTCCCAGGGTCTGGATTGGCAGGAAGCAGGATTCATGGGCTGGAGCCAGGAACTGAACCTCCAACTACTGTGATACGGGATGTAGGAAACAACTGCTAGGCTAAATGCCTGCTCCCCTGAGTGATTATTTTAAACACAACAAAAGAAGTTGTGTATTTTATCTCTATTTACAAAAGAGGAGACTTCCCAAAGAGAGTCTGTGAGATTCCCAAGATTATACCGGAGCAAACATTTATATACTTGCAGTAAGACGCAGTAGCCTTCCCCGAGATTATAGCTCGAGGAATGCCCTGAGCAAAGTTGTAGAATTAGGAAAGTGTACCAACAGCTAACTTTAGGTTAAAAATAGAATCCCGGGGCCGGCGCTGTGGTGTAGTGGGTTAAAGCCCTGGCCTGAAGCGCCAGCATCCCATATGGGTGCCAGTTCTAATCCCGGCTGCTCCTCTTTCGATCTAGCTCTCTGATATGGCCTGGGAAAGCAGTAGAGGATGACCCACATCCTTGGGCCCCTGCACCCACATGGGAGACCAGAAGCAGCTGCTGGCTCCTGGCTTTGGACTGGCGCGGCTCCGGCTGTTGCAGCCATCTGGGGAATGAACCAGCGGATGGAAAACCTCTCTCTCTGTCTCTACCTCTCTCTGTAACTCTGTCTTTCAAATAAATAAAATAAATCTTTAAAAAACATTGTGGAATCCCATCCCCATTCCATTGTCTCCTGTTGGGTTTCATACTGAATTTCTGGAACATACTGCGTCTTTCACTTTTTCTCATGATGGGAAAGAGACAATGTAGTGAGTTCCAGATGCACAGCAGATGATTAATAAATAATGACTCACTATTCAGTGAAATTGCTGGAGCACCTGTGGAAATTTAAGTTATTAAAAATTTGCAGAAGGGGCTGGCGCTGTGGAATAGTTGGTAAAAGCTGCTGCCTGCAGTGCTGGTATCCCATATGGTCACTTGTTTGAGTCCCAGCTGCTCCATTTCCGATCCAGCTCTGCTATGACCTGGGAAAACAGTAGAAGATGGCCCAAGTGCTTGGGCCCCTGCACCCACGTGGGAGACCTGGAACAGGCTCCTGGCTCCTGGCTTCAGATCAGCACAGCTCCGGCCATTGTGGCCATCTGGGAGTGAACCATCGTATGGAAGACCTTTCTCTCTGCCTCTCCTCTCTCTGTGTAACTCTTTCAAGTAAATAAATACATCTTTAAAATTTTTTTTGCAGATTAGGGTTGCAGTTGCTTTCCCCCAAATACACTGCTTTTGGCCCCTTTCTGAATGCTAATAGTAACATTGTGTTGATGTTACAGAAATGGTTAATAGTGAGGTGCCCCCTGGGGGCTGGCACTGTGGTATAGTGGGTAAAGCTGCCACCTGCAGTGCCGGCATTCCATATGGGCGCCATTTTGAGTCCTGGCTGCTCCACTTCTGATCCAGCTCTTTGCTGTGGCCTGGGAAAGCATTAGAAGATGGCCCAAGTCCCTAGGCTCCTGCACCCGCATGGGAGACCCAGAAGAAGCTCCTGGTTCCTGGCTTCGGATCGGCGCAGCTCCGGCTATTGCGGCCAATTGGGGAGTGAACCAGCGAATGGAAGACCTCTCTCTATCTCTTTCTCTGCCTTTCCTTCTCTCTGTATGTAACTCTAACTTTCAAATAAATAAATAAATCTTAAAAAAATAGTGACATGCCCCAAAAAACTTGAAAATAGATTTGTCCTCTGGAAGCTAAATAAGTAAAATCCACTCTCTATTTGAATATTATTAGTTGTGTAGTTGATATGGCTAGGATGAGGTTTGTATCCCAAGTGTTTATGGACTAGAGGCTTGGCCCCCAATGTAACAGTATTGAGAGGTGATAGGACCCTTAAGAGGTGAGACCCAGTGGGAGACCATTAGATTACTAGGAGCATCATCCTTGGAAAGGATTAATGCCCATCTCTTGGGAGTGAGTTGTAGAACTGGAATTGTTGCCACTAGGATGGGTTGTTACAATTCAGCTTTTGAGGCAAATCCTGCCTGTGTGATCTCTCAAATCTGTCCCCCTCTTTCCTCTCCCTTTCATGGGCTCCCACCATCTGATGCTGTCCATTATGAGGGCCTTGCCAGAAGCCAATGCCAGTCGTACTCTTGGTCCTCCGAAACTGTGAGTTAAATAAGCCCTTTATTTTTTAAAAAGTAAAGTATTCGTTCTCAGGTTTTGTTTTGTAGCATCACTGAACAGGTTAAGACAATGGTGGAGAAAAATTAAAGGGCTTTCTTTAAGTGCATGACTGAAAAAAGTAAGAGAGAATCGTCCCATCAGATAGTAAGGTACAGTGTAAAGCTGCAATAATTGGGCTGGCTATTTAGCACAGCAGTTAAGATGCTGGTCAAGTTGCCCTTGTCCTATATTGCAGCACCTGGGTTCTAGTCTCAGCTCTGCTTCCCATTCCAGCTTCCTGCTGATGTGCACCCTGGAGACTGCAGATGAGGGCTCAAACACCTGGGTCCCTGCCACCTGCTTAGGAGACCTGGATTGAGCACCAGGCTCCAGCCTTCAGCTGGGCCCAGCCCTGACTGTTGTGGGCATTTGAGAAATGAGCCAGCAGATAGTAGTTTTCTGTCTCTGTCTCTCTGCATTTCAAATGTATACAAAATAAATAAACATCTTAAAGGCTGCAATTATTGACAAGGTATGACATTGATATAGAAATGGAAAGATATATAGAATATAATAGACTAAAAAAATCACCTTGAAGTGTAAAGGTTGGGAATTTAGCATATGAGATGATGTGTGTCAAACCAGATTCTTTTTTTTTTTTTTTTTTTTTTTTTGACAGGCAGAGTGGACAGTGAGAGAGAGACAGAGAGAAAGGTCTTCCTTTTGCCGTTGGTTCACCCTCCAATGGCCACCGCGGCCGGCGTACCGCACTAATCCGAAGGTAGGAGCCAGGTGCTTTTCCTGGTCTCCCATGGGGTGCAGGGCCCAAGGACTTGGGCCATCCTCCACTGCACTCCCGGGCCACAGCAGAGAGCTGGCCTGGAAGAGGGGCAACCGGGACAGAATCCGGCGCCCCGACCGGGACTAGAACCTGGTGTGCTGGCGCCGCTAGGTGGAGGATTAGCCTAGTGAGCCGCAGCGCCGGCCTCAAACCAGATTCTTTAATAGATGATACTGGGATAACTTACTAGTTGTTTGGAAAGATATAAAAACTGGGTCCTTGTACCAAAAAATAAATATCTGTTTAATCAAGTATTTAAATGTAAAAACAGATATAAAAATTAAGAAAATATAGGTGACTATTTTATAGTCTTGGAGTGAAGAAAGCTTTTTTTTTAAGGTTTTATTTATTTACTTGAAATGCAGAGTTACAGAGAGAGGACAAAAGGGAGGAAGAGAGAGAGAGATCTTCCGTCTGCTGGTTCACGCTCCAAATAGCAACAATAGCCAGGACTGGGCCAGGCTGAACTCAGGAGCCTGGAGCTTCATCCCACATGAATGCAGGGGCCCAAGCACTTGGGCTGTCTACTGCTGCTTTCTCAGGTGCATGAGCAAGGAGCTGGATTGGAAGTGGAGCAGCTGGGACTCAAACCAGCACCTGTATGGGATGGTGGCATCACAGGTAGCAGCTTAACCAGCTGTGCCACAATTCCAGCCCCTGAAGAAAGCTTTTCTAAGCCATGGTCTCAGGGTGAGAAGAGATATCGATTTTAGTACATAAAAATGTAAAATTTCTTTACTACCAATATTTCCTGAACAAGGATAAAGCCAACAAACATGGTGAGAATAATTGCAATATACTAATACACAAAAAGATTGTATTCCTAATATTCAAAGATCTGTAGAAAAGATAAACAACCTAATAGAAAAATAGGTAAAGAATTCACAACAAAAGCAATACATATGGACAATTAGCATATTAAAAGATGTCCAGTTTCATTAGTAAAAGAAATGCAAAGTAAAACAGGATATTGAGGAAAAATACTGGTAATATCTCCAGTGAGTGAGAGTGTGGAGAAACAGACATCATTCGCTGTGTTGGGGAACAAATTGGTATTACTTATCTGAAGGAATATTTGTCATTATGTATTTTATATTTTTAAATTTTTAAAAAGCATTTATTTGCTTACTTGAAAGGCAGAGTGATGGGGGAGGGGGGGTGAGAGAGAGAGAGATCTTCCATCTGCTGGTTCCCTCCCCAAATGGCTGCAGTGGCCGGATGTGGGTCTGGTGGAAACCAGGAGCCTAGAACTCCATCTGGTTCTCCCACATGGGTGACAGGGACGCAAGTACTTGGCCCATCGTAGGCTGCCTTCCCAGCAGTGTTAGCAGGGAGCTGGATAGGAAGCAGAGCAGCCTGGACTAGAACTGGTTCTGTGATGTGGGATGCCAGCATTGCAAGTGGCAGCTTCAACCCTTTGCACCACAATACTGCTTGTAGTGTGTATTTTAAATATGAAAATTTTTTGAACTTCAAGTTCCTTTTAAACCATTATTTTAGAAATTTTATCATACATGTAAGTCACTTGGAGATCCTGTTAAAATAGAATCTGAATGAGTAGGGTTGAGGGGAACCCCAAGCTTCTGCATGTATTTTTTAAAAATATTTATTTACTTATTTGAAAGGCAGAGTTACAGAGAGGCAGAGAGAAAGAGAGAGAGAGAGAGAGAGAGAGAGAGAGAGAGAGAGAGAGTCTTCCACCCACTGGTTCACTCCCCAAATGCCCACAATGGCCAGAGCTGGGACGATCCAGAGCCAGGAGCCAGAAGCCTCTTTCAAAGGTCTTCCACCTCTTTCATGTCTTCCCCTTCCAGTCCTTCTGAAGGACTTGAGCCATCCCCTACTGCTTTCCCAGGCCATAGCAGAGCTGCATGGGAAGTAAAGCAGCTGGGACTTGAACCAGTGCCCATATGGGACGCTGGCACTGCAGGTGGTGGCTTTACCCGTTATGCCATGGCACCAGCCTCTTCTGCATGTATTAAGCTCCCAGGTGGTGCTGATGCTGCTGTCTCCTGTACAATTTTTTTAATAGAGAGGAATTTGTTTCTTTTTTTTTTTTAAGATTTATTTAATTACTTGAAAGAGTTACAGAGAAGGAGAGAGAGATCTTTCTTCTAGCGGTTCACTCCCCAGATGGCCACATGGCTGGGAATAAGTCAGGCCAAAGCCAGGAGCGTCTTCCAGGTCTACCCACATTTAGGCCATTCTCCCCTGCCTTTCCCAGGCCATTAGCAGGAAGCTGGATCAGAAGTGGAGCAGCCGGGATACATACTGGCATCCATATGGGATGCCAGCATCGCAGGCTGTGGCTTTATCTACTACCACAATGTGAGCCTGAGACGTCTTTTTTCCGAAGCAGTGGTCCTTAACCCTGGGTGTGCATTAAAACCACCAGAGGAGTTTTTAATCAAAAACTGATGCACAGACTTCATCCCTCAATTACTTGATTGAGTTCATTTTAAAAGCCTGGACTCCTTTCTCTCTGTCTCTCTCTCTCACTGTCCACTCTGCCTGTCAAAAAAAAAAAAGAAAGAAAGAAAGAAAGAAAAAAGAAAAGCCTGGGCTTTTAAAAGCTCTCCAGGTAAATCTACAGTTGGGGGTGGGGGATGTTTGTCACAGCAGCCAAGTTGCTACTTGGGGCCCCTGCATCCCATATTGGGCTGCCTGGATTCAAGTTCCAGCTCCTTTTCCAGTTCCAGCTTTCTGCTAATGGGGACCCTGGGAGACAACAAAAGTTGGCTCAAGTAGTTGGGTCCCTGCTACCCACGGGAGACCCAGAAGGAGTTCCTGGCTTCTGCTTGGCCTAACCTCAGCTGTTGTGGGCATTTGTGGGGTGAACCAGAAGATAGAAGATTTCTATCTGTCTGTCTCTTGTCTCTCTGCCTTTCCAAAAAAAATTATTTAAACAAAATTTCAAGTGCAGCTGTGATTGAGAACTATTTTGTCAAGGAGAAAATTGGATTGTATACAAAAAGCATATATTTACATAAAGATGCTTATTGCAACATTATTTAAAATATTGAAGAATCGGAAACAACTCAAATGTTCAACAATGAAGGATTGGCTTTAAAAAACTGTGGAGGGGCCAGCGTTTTGGCATGGCAGGTTAGCTCTTGCCTATGATGCTGGCATCCCATATGAGCACCATTTCAAGACCCAGCTGTTCCACTGTTGATCCAGCTCCCTGCTCATGTGCCTGGGAAACCAGTGGAAGATGGCCCAAGTGCTTGGGCCCCTGCATTCATGTGGGAGACCCAAAAGAAGCTCCTGGCTCCTGGTTTTGGCCTGGCACAGCCCCAGCCATTTGCAGCAATTTGGAGAGTAAACTAGTGGAGGGAAGGTCTGTCTCTGTATTTCTTCCTCTTTCTATAACTCTGCCTTTCAAATAAATAACACATGAATCTTTAAAAAATAAAATAAAAATTAATTATGGAATGGACATAAGTGGATTAATTAGAAATTATATTAAAGAATAGGTTTATTGGCCGGCGCCGCGGCTCACTAGGCTAATCCTCTGCCTTGCGGCGCCGGTACACCGGGTTCTAGTCCCAGTTGGGGCGCCGGATTCTGTCCCGGTTGCCCCTCTTCCAGGCCAGCTCTCTGCTGTGGCCAGGGAGTGCAGTGGAGGATGGCCCAGGTGCTTGGGCCCTGCACCCCATGGGAGACCAGGAAAAGCACCTGGCTCCTGGCTCCTGCCATCGGATCAGCGCGGTGCGCCGGCCGCTGCGCGCTGGCCGTGGCGGCCATTGGAGGGTGAACCAACAGCAAAAGGAAGACCTTTCTCTCTGTCTCTCTCTCTCACTGTCCACTCTGCCTGTCAAAAAAAAAAAAAAAAAAAGAATAGGTTTATTGACACAGAAAGATGTCTGTAACATGGAATAATGCTACTAGTCGTAGTATGCTAGGAGGTATAATAGAACCCTATTCATGTAAATTATAAATAAATGTTTATATGTGGTAAATGCATAAAAGGAATCTCTGGAAAGATGCTTATTAAAATAGTAAAGTGTTTCTTTCAGGTGATTCCAATTTTTTTTGTTCTTTGTAAAGCTCTCAATTTAGGGGAATAAGAGTGGGTGTTTGGTACAGTGGTTGAGCTGCCATTTGGGACACCCATATCTCATATAGGAATGCTTGGGTTAGAGTGCTGGCTCTGCTCTCCATTTCAGCTTCCTGCTAAGACATACCCTGGGAGACAGCAGGTGATATATGGCTCAAGTAATTGTGTTCCTGCCACCCACATAGGAGACTCAGAGTGCCAGGCTCCAGGCTTTGGCCTAGCTCAGTCCCAACAGTTTGAGGACATTTGGGGAGTGAACTAGTGGGTGGAGAAGATCTCTCTCTCTCTCTCTCTCTCTCTTTCTCTGCCTTTCAAAGAAATAACTTCGGGGTTGGGGCTGGTGTGGGATAGCAGGTAAAGCTGCCACCTGCAATGCTAACGTCCCATATGGGTGCCAGTTCATGTCTTGGCTAATCCACTTCTGATCTTGCTTCCTGCCAATGGCCTGCGAAAAGCAGCAGAAGATGGCCCAAGTGGTTGGGCCCCTGCTACCACGTGGGAGACCTGGAGGAAGCTCCTGGTTCCTGGCTTCAGCTGGCCCAGCACTGGCCATTTGGGGAGTGAACTAGTGGGTGGAAGATTTCTCTGTCTCTCCCTTTCTCTCTGTCTCTTCCTCTCTCTGTGAAACTCTGCTTTTCAAATAAATAAATCTTTTTTTAAATTGAGACAATAGAAATGATTTAGGAATACTTAAACCTCAATCAATAGGAGGCAGAACTAGAATGTCATTATAATTTGCCATAAAGCTAATCATTAATTATAACTAATTTTTAATAAAAACTTCAGCAGAAGAGAATGGTCAGTGTGGAGCATAGACCATCCTATAACCTTGATGATCCTTAGGAGTCAATATTAGAATGCTGGATATGATAAGGTCTATGGGGGGGGGGGGGAGAATACACGTAACATGGAGAAAAAGGTAAGAGTCTCTTCCTTACCCAAAATGGTCAACCAAATTGGAATGTCACTCTAAGTCAAGAGAGAACCAAGTCCAGCTGAGTGATAGCTGACGGGAGAGGATTGTGAGAAAGGACACTAACTTCTATTGTGTGGAATCCATGTACCAGGCAGTAGTTTCCAGATGAAGAAACTAAGGCTTGGGCAAGTTAGTTATCTTGTCCAAGATGTACAATCTAGATCCCTTCTATAGTACTGTACTCTTCTTGACCAAGATATAGGATGTGAGTAACATGGATTTTTTTTTTTTTTTGACAGGCAGAGTGGACAGTGAAGAGAGAGAGACAGAGAGAAAGGTCTTCCTTTGCCGTTGGTTCACCCTCCAATGGCCGCCACGGCCAGCGCGCTGCGGCTGGTGTACCGTGCTGATCTGATGGCAGGAGCCAGGTACTTATCCTGGTCTCCCATGGGGTGCAGGGCCCAAGTACTTGGGCCATCCTCCACTGCACTCCCTGGCCACAGCAGAGAGCTGGCCTGGAAGAGGGGCAACCGGGACAGAATCCGGTGCCCCAACCAGGACTAGAACCCAGTGTGCCGGCGCTGCAAGGCAGAGGATTAGCCTAGTGAGCCGCGGCGCCAGCCTGAGTAACATGGATTTTTACCTAGGGTCAACCAGACCATTCATGAAACGGAAAAGCTAGAGTTCTATTTTTTGACCTGAATACAATGCAGTTTCAAACAAGATTGGGACAACTTTGTACAGTACCTTGTACCTTATTAAAAGAACTAACACAGCATGATTGGTTTGGATAGTCTTGTCTTCACAGGATCTTCTGACTTATTTCTCCTCTGGATAAGTCCCTGGAAATTGCTAGAATTTGGAGAATAAGGGAGGGTCTGGAACCTTCCCTGTATACAAGGAAATTCCGGTTTTGTTAAGAACTTGGCCAAAGGTTTGCTAGTGTCAACTCATAAGGACAAATCCACAATTTCCTTTCAGGTCCTGCCTGGATTTCCCTGAAGAATTGTGGCTGTATGCCAGCATGTTTAATAGGAAGCTCTTTCCTTTATGACATCATTAGACAGAGAGGTAGCTAAGGGGACTACTTGAGACACTCTTAGAACAGCAGCCACTTTTGTGGGAACCCAAGAACAGCAGCTTTTAAAACTCAGGGTGAATATTCAGGCTTCATTAGGATCTCAGATACTAACCAGCCAGTAAAATATGACATCTACCCAAAAGGGCACAGTCTTTCAGATGGTCAAGACAAATAAAATTGGGTCCAAGGTAGCAGTTTCAACACACAAAAGGTCTGAGGTTCATAGCTCCAACCCTCAGCAGGGGCAAGGGTACTTTCTTGCCTCTAGCCAGCGAAGTGCTGCAGTCTCCCTGAGCCCTCCTCCCCAGCGAAGATCAGAAGCTGCACATCCCACCACTCCCCATTCAGCATCCGACTATCCTCGATCTTCCTCCCCGGAGCCAGGGCCCGGCTTCTCTGCAGCACAGTTTTCTCGGGGAACCGAGTCCCGACCAAGAACGGAAGCATTCCACCATTCCTCTCCTCACCGGAAGACCCAGCAAGTTCAGACAGTACCTTCCCATGCTGTCAGCTCGCATCGGAATGCTAGTCCACTCAGAGAGGAATCAGCACGAAGAAGTGGTGAGAACAAGCCAGTACGCGAGGTCAGCTACCGTGGCTCATTAACCCCAGATGCAAAATCTTCTCGTCGATTGAGTTTTTTAGACCAGAAGGATAACTATCAATCACAAATCTTCCAAGAAGAGGATCCACCCTCCAAGGTCCAGAACCCACAAGGGGTCAGAGTTCCTCTTAGAATTTCCATTCATCCAAAAGATGAAGCCGTACAAACCGACCCCATTCGAAGGACTTTGACTACCAGTGAAGTCAGGTCGCCGAAGAATCCCTATTACCTAGAGCAGGGCAGCAGCCGTCTCACTACAGACCATCGGGCAGTTCTGAGAAAGATCCCTGCCCAAGAGCCAGAAATGGGTCCTTACAGTTCAATTCCTTCTGAACCCAAGGCCTCACATAGGAACATCAACTTGGAATCATCCTTGAAACTCTCTGTCCTTAGAGATTTGGATGATAGACACCGAGTTCCATCACGTTCTGAGCCTGAGTCTCTCTGCAAGCATTCTGTCTATGCTGAAACCAAGCCCTCTTCAAAAGTCTTAATGGTGTCACAGGTGGAGTCCAATATGAGGTCCCCAATCCGAGGAGACACTGAGGTCAGTCGCAAAGTCACCATTTCCCCAGGACAATCAGTACCATTAACTCACCGTGCCACAACTCGAACAGTGTCTGAAGGCCCACACAAATCTTCCATGTTTGTCACTCCAGAGCATGTCTATAAAGAGCAATCACAAAGACCAGCAGAAACTAACTACATGTCCCCAGGACCCACACTCAGGTATCAAGAATCTTCCCAAAAGCCCCCCATCCATGCAGAACTGGAACTGACCCCTCGGCCCTTACCCCCTCGATCCTTACCCAAATATGGGCCCGAGTCCTCATGGTGGGGCTTACTGAATCCTGAAGCTGAAATATCCCAAAGCTGGCCGACAACACCTGATTTTGAGCCTAAGCCCTCTCCTCCCCTAGACCCATTCATGTCCCTTTTGGAAATGAACTCAAGCCCTTTCTGTGAGGATCTGACGTTCCAGAGAGAGAAGGCAAGCCCACCACCGCCACCGCCGCCACCGCCACCACCACCACCAAAGGAGTCTCCAACCTGGGCGCCAATGAGGGAAGTGCCAAAGGCCCCCAAGCACACCTGTACACAACCAATTCAAAGGTTTAGTGCTTTCTTCCTGGGTATGTGAAGGAGCAGTCTGCCCAGAGGCAGCCCCAGTTTAGTGAGATGGGATGTCGGGTTGGGGAGGAAAGACCCCTTCTTCATTCTGGGCCTCAAGACCGCCCCCTTGCCAGTGCCTGCACCAGTCCCAGCCTTGAACCTGTTGCTCCATGCCTTCCCTGCCAGTTTCTCTGAGCTCCAGGTGAATGATGTGGGTGATAATGCTGGGGCCCAAGGTGGGACTCTTCCAAGCAGTGCTGCTTAACTTTTCAATGGAAGGAAGTAGAGTGGTTTATAGGATCACAAGCTGATTCCTGGGAACGAAGATGAAGAAATGAGCTGGGGGTGAGGGCTGGTAAAGAGCTGTAAAGAGAATAAGGGCCACAAGTCAATATTTTGGATTCGAAGGATAGAGGATGGGGTATAGATGAGCTGGGACTTGAACTTTCCCAGGGGGAAAGGAATTAACAGTGGCACAGAGAGAGGGTGTAAGAAATGAGGTAAGTGGGAATGAAGTATTTAGTCTTGAACTGAAGGAGAGGATCAAAGGCTGAGGGTACCTTTGGGTGGAGAGATGTGTAGCTAGAGATACAAGTAATAGGGGGAGGGGTATACATCTCATAAAGAGAGAAAAAAGCAACAATCTCTGTTACTTTCAGATGTTTCTGAGGAAATGTGCAATCGGGTCATCTGGTGGCTGAAAGGTCTGTGCATCCCCCATCTCCACCCTTGTGGGCCCATTGTGGGGACTTGGGAGGACAGGTGAGAGGGTGGCCTCTAGGTATTTGTGAAGCTAGGTCTTTTGGGAGAATGCATAGTTCTGATCAGAAGGATCCAGAGGGAATTCTCATCTTGCCTCAGATTCCACCATTAGAGCTCTTCCTTTGGGATTCTGATCCTGTTTCACTTTTGAGAGTCATGTTTTAGTGGGGAGTTACTTCTTGAATGGAGACTAATTTAAGCCCCATGGCCTTTCAGCGTAACTGGTCTTACCTACCATACTAAAAACACCACCAGAACAAATTGACCTTGCTTCGCAGTCTTGCTCAGGGCCAAGTCCACACTAATTCATGTTAAGAGCTCGTCTGTGTCTCTGGTTCCTCAGAACTCTGCTCAAGCCCCTATCTATGACTCAGGAGGTACTTACTAGCTGCTGCCCAAACAGGATCTCCAGGAATGTTTAGGCCTCCTTCTTGAGGCCATCAGTGGATCTTGTGGCCAACTCTAGAATCCTTAAGAGAAATGTCACCTTGTATGGAGGAAGATGGGGACCATCTCTTATAGAGTGAATCTGACAGCAGGGAGTTTTTGCCGTGAGCACTGTTGCTCCAAATATGCTCTAGCTGTGTGAGCATAAGCCACAGTTCTGGATGAATAAGTTCCTGGGGAGGAGAGGGTCCTGGGAAGGTAATCCAGTCACAGCCAGCATGAACCCTCTGAGTAATGGACAGCACCAAGAAGAGGGCAGCTCTGCCCTTTAGAGGGAGCAGAGCTCTATAAAGTAGGGATGTGGTTAAGTATGAACTCTGGACTTACCTCATTGGGTTTGAACCCTGAAGCCACTGTTTTCTGACTGTGCCCTGGGGTAAGTTGTTTTACCTGTACAAGCCTCAGTTTCTCTATCTCTTAACAGGAATAATGGTTTCCTTTTAGAGTTATTATGAGGATTAACCAAGCTGTTATATGTAGAGCACTTAGCATGGTTCTTGGCAGCAGTGAGCACTCAGTGAGTTGCTAGCTGTTGTTATTTGGGCTACTTTTAGTAGGAAGGGATTTAGGCCCAGATATGCTCAAATCCACTGGGTGTCTTTAGTAAAATTCTCTTTTTCCCTTCTGTTGATCCTCTGGATTCCATTTGCTGTCCCGTGGGAATGCCTGGCTTCTACATCTCTGACAGATGAGGAGGTAAGGAGTCCCCTGGGAAGTTACTTTCAATCTTCCTGTTCACTTCCCCTTTTGCCCCCATGATCTTATCCAAGCCCCACTCCTGTCCTCTGAGGGGAGGAGGTTTGGAAGGAGATAGATACAGCTTCTTCCTATGGTTGGACAAGTTGTTCACTGTACAAGGGCACCTGATGAAGCACCAAGTGTGACTGAAAGGTAGCCTGTGCTCCACTTTACCAAGCTGTGCACCTGTGGAGCTGCATCTGCCCAGGGGGCTTGCACAGAAGTACTATAGGGGCTAGCTTACAGCCCTGGAGGGGAAAGAATAGAGACCTGCTGGCAGATGAGGCATCATGCCAAGTGCTCTGTGGAGAGACCAAGCAGCCATGTGTTGGGTCAGTCCCCACCTTGCTCTCCTCTCTCTAGCCTGGGGCGCTGCAGAAAAGGATCATGTTTCTGGGTTACACACTATCTGTCTCCTCAACTTGGAAAGACATAAGGTAGACTCTGCTCACAGCAACCCCGTGTCCTAAATTTGGCAGAGTGTCCTAATTTCACTGTGCATTTGTTGTCCCCCTAAGTCCTTAGGCTCTTCTTGGCCTGTGTTTGATAAGATGGTCAAAGTTCTGCTGCTTCCATCCTTTCTCTTGCCCTTTTTCTCTCTTATTCCAAACCTAGCAATGGCTTTTAATGAGTCCCATTCGTGGAATAGCCCAGATGAAAAGCTGACTACACTTGGAAAACAATTGAGTAGATGAGCAAGGGGTAGTCTGGACTCAGATAATGGAACAGCTGAAAGGGAGGTGTCCAGCAATGTGGCTGCCACCCCCTCTGCATGGATTCTTACTCAGCCCCAGGCCCTGAGCTCAGTGGGAGCTGGGAACAAATACATTTAGAGATTATCTCCCTTTCTCCCTCCCTCCTCCCTTCCTTGCATAGGCAGTTTCTGTTCCCATGTCTAGCACTCTGCTAGGCACTACAGGGAGAAGCATTGAAACCTTAGGGAACAAGCATTGTTTGGTTTTTGAGAAACTTTACCATCTGGTTAGGGAGATAAGACAGACAGGAAACGTTTAGACAACAGAGTGCAATAGTCTGTGCTCCACTGTCAAAATAAACAGAACAGACTGATTAGGTGCTCTTGGAGGGTCTTAGGGGAGATGGGTAGGGGGTCAGGTTATACCCTCTTTCCCAATGCCCAACGCAGATGACCTAATGGCTAGCCTCTTACTCACCCCTCAGTACAAATCTATACCTTTGGGAATGCATATATTTCCCTTTGTTGAGGAGTTGAGGTTTTTGAGTGAGCAGGTTCCTCCCTGTTCCCCATGCTCACTCCCTTTTTCTGTGCATCTTGTTTTAGTTTAGGAAGTCAAAAGCCTTGGCAGCAGGATGGCTCCTTCCCAAAATAGCTCTTATCCTGTCTGGATAATCACAGCTCTCCAGCACTGTTCAGCAGCAGAGCTGTTCCCCAGAAGCTGGGAAGAGAGGGCTGCTGGTCTTCTCTGGCCCCCTGGAGGTAGAGTGCATGGAGGTGGGCCAGGTGCTTTCCCCACAAAGCCTGGGAGAGGGAGCCTTTCCTCAGCCTGGCTGCTAGGCCGCATGACCCCAAGACAGCCCCAGGGTGGAGACTGCAGTGCTGGTTGCTGGTGTCCAAGGCCTCTGGCTCCTCTGCTCTGGGAATGGTTGGCCATAAAGGCTGTTTCAAATTCTGTTCTTGGTAGGGAGTCTCTGGTGGCCCAGCCATGGTGTTTGGCTGTGGAAGGCAGCATGTTTATTGTTGTACCTCACAAGCCCCTCTGTGTCCCCCGACTCAACTTCTCTCCTCATTTCTCTTCTCTTCCCAAACAACTCCTCAAGGCTCTTTGGTCCAAGCACAGATGCTTCTCATCCTTTGATTGGGATGTTAGGGTCTAGAAGTCTTTCCCAGAGGAGCTTTTGCTGGACAGAGCCAAGCATTCCTGCTGGGGGTGCTTTGCTATCAGAATTAGCAGCAGTGCAACAGGAAGATTCTGAAGTGGCTCCACTGGGTCAGTGAAGTCGGCCTTCTCACAGCCCTGGGGAGTTCCTAGAAATAAAACAGCTCTTGATGAGGGGATATGCTAGCCCCAAAGATTCTGTGCCTTCAAGGCACCTGGCCCACTTGCCCTTGAATGTGACTTCTAAGGCTGTCAGGGGACAGGTGGTTTACTCTCTGCTGTATCATGTCAATTATGCAAGAAACTGACCTTGGAAAATGGGCCATGAACCAGAAGAAGTCATCTCAGTGATACCTAAGTGTTTTCAGGGTAACACGTCATTTGACTCCTGAGAGACAGGTCAATCAGCCTTCTATCAGCTTCTGAACCACAGGGATAGGGAATTCTGCTCATAGGAACTCATTTACAAAGGAAAATCCCAAGCCATTGAGGAACCTGGAGAGTCTCTGCCTTCACAGGGTGCTGACAGAATCCTGGGCCCCGGGCTTTCTGAAAGGAACCCTGGAAATGGTCTTTTCCACTCCCCTCATTTCCTCTTGCTTTGTGCAGAGGCTTGTAGTTGAGGAAAGAGAATTGCAGAAAGTGGGGCAGGGCACCTCGGGAGGCTTTTCATAGCAGCTTGAGCCTCAGCACAGCTTCCTAGGAAGCAGGCATCTTCTATCACGTGACTCCTTGTTCACCTCCAGCTTCCATGGGCAGCCAATTCCACAGGAGGATGGAAGGCCCCTGGCCACGACTTCCTAAGCTGAGGACAGGCTAGGTTGCCTGGGACTTTCCTGGCTTTAGAACTGAAAGTCCCATGTCCTGAGACCCTCCTCAGCCCTGGGCAAACAGACAGTTGGTGACCTGGGACAGTCTGCCTCAGAAAGCAGCCCTGGAAGCACAAGGTAGGGAAAGCTGTCGGAACCAGGCAGGTTCCTCATCTGCCTACAACATGGGAGCAGGAGAATGTGGTGTCTTCCTCTGGGCCTTATGGTAAATCTGAGGTCAGAACCTCTCAGTTTTTTTGTGCTGCTAGGAATGATCCCACATAGCAAAGAATCTGTCTCATTCATTTTGGACCTTCCGCCATATCTTTAGAAGCTACTTGGTTCTAACAGGAACCCATCTCCAACATCACATCATTTTAAAAATAATTGTTTAGCTGACACAAGTGACTCATGTATATGAGATCCAGTGTGATGTCTCAGCACATGTTATACAGTGTATAACGGCCAGATCAGGGTAATTGGCATATCCTCACATTGCATCTTTCTGTCACAGTAGTTTGGTGATGTTCAAAATGGCTGACTTTTCAAATGAGAGGAGAAACAGGGGGCCTTGGTGGATGAGGGAGCCACACTTTAGAAGCAGAATGCATATTTGGGTGAGGAAGCAAATCTGTAATCAAGAAGCCACCCTGACAGCTGCTGAGCCAGGGGAAGGCTGTCCTTAGTGGCAGAAATGGCCATGTCCCTTCACTGTCCACTGCTCAGCTGCTTTGGCCCAGCTGCCATGGAGGCAGCAAGAGACAGCTGCCTCTGAATGAAGGCCCGGAGGAAGGGGACAGAAAGGGAGCAGAATGGGAGGTAGCTTGGGCTCTGGCATTGTGGCTGGGAGACCTGGGCCAACCAAAGTCATTTCTACCACAAGCAAAGTCATTTAGCTCCGAGGGTCTCCCCAGTGGCTGTTTTTAGGAACTTGGGCCGGTAAGTCTGCTTTCTAGAGAACAACTGGTATCTAACTGGAGAAGCTCACTCCATAGGTCGTGGCAGCATGGTCATTCCAATGACACTTTAGTCTAAGGCATTCTCTGGTATTCTTTCTCCTCCCAGCTGCCTACACCCGTTAAAACATGCATGCATTAAATCCCTTGGAGGGAAGGTATTTGAAATAGTCGCTTTTTTTTTTTAAAGAGTTTATTTATTTATTTGAGAGGTAAAATTACAGAGAGAGGGAGATACAGAGAGAAAGGTCTTCCATCTGCTGGTTCACTCCCCAAATGGCCACAATGGCCAAAGCTGAGCAGATCTGAAGCCAGGAGCTTCTTCCAGGTCTCATGTGGGTGCAGGGACCCAAGCACTTGGGCTATCTACTGCTTTCCCAGGCTACAGCAGAGAGCTGGATCAGAAGAGGAGCAGCTGGGACTAGAACCAGTGCCCATATGGGATGCCGGCGTCACAGGCGGAGAGTTAGCACACTATGCCACAGCACTGGCCCGGAAATAGTCACATTCGTACTTGCTGATTTGGTGTTGATAATTTTCTCATTAGCAGAGGTAATAGCTACATTCATTTTAGATTATACTATGTAAATTGTGTTAGTGAATCTATAGCCACCTATATTGTTGGTATTTTTCCCCCCTTTCCCAGATGAAGAAACTGAGCCTCGGAGCTTATTCATCAAAGCTGAGAGCACTTTAAGGAGCATCTGGCCTAGGGATTCAACTATGTGGTGTAGACTTCTTTTTCTGTAGCCATATCTTCCTTCTCAGTATTTCAGCAGCACCTTTAGATATCAAGAACTGTGAAGGGAAAATTCCAGTAGGAGGAACATCTGTGTCTTTGCATGTGAACTGGGAGGCAGGAGGTAGGTGGGGCCTGTGAGCAGTTAGAATGAAGGGCAAGAGATGGGTCAGTGGAGCCCAAGGCCCCAAGGCTAATCTGTGCTCTAAAATGAGAGTGGAAAGCTGATCAATGAATCCCTTTTAGTCAGTCTGTATTGATCAGCCATTCCTGGGGGCAGAGCCTGGTCACCCAGGCAGACCTCACATCACATGTTCACTGAGTTGAAGTGAGCAGAGGTTACAGGAGAAGTTAAAATAGAAGATACACTCCCTGCCCTTGAGGGGCTTGCGGTTAATCTGGGAGAGAAAAGTATACAGATGGGTCACTTGAAAGGGTGTGGACATCAAAAGACAAAGTCCAGTGAAATGAATCAGCAAAGCTTCTAGCACGGAGGCACTTTGAGGATAAAATCCAAGGGG